TGCATTACTTTCATTCTTTTTTTAAAATTTAGACATCTTGGGGGGTCGTCTATAAATGATGTCACCCTCGTAAAAGGGAGGGGGATCCGTAATTTTGTGACAATGTGTGATGGGGGGGAGGGGTAAATGGTGTCCACTTTTGCATAATAAGAAAGCAATGTTAGAAAACGAATTTTAGCCGCGAAATGTTATTTCGCGTTTTAGAAAACTGTTTTAATAAATTGTAATAGGAATTGATTAAAATACTCTATGTTGACAGAGTTAAGACAAGATTTTGGAAAAATGACGTAATTTAAGAAAAATTTAACAGCAATTTTGAGGGGGGGGGGGGCTTGTAATCTAAGGTGTGACGTCATTTTAGGGGGGGGGGTCTGGCTTTTTGTGACGGACTGGAGGGGGGAGGTAAAAAATCGTAAAAAAAGCGTGACGTCATTTATGGATGACCCCTTGCCAGCCGTTAACCACCCTTCCTCCATCTAGCCTATATATTTGTTTGATGACGTAAAAAGACCCCCCATACTGTACATAGTATATTGTTATTAAAATACTAGGCCGAGAGGTCAACAATCACATTCTTGGTCATAGGCCATGACGTCAGAGTAAATGAGTCTGTTATTTTTGCCACAATCTATGACGTCAGAGAGGTCGAGTATGAGTTTTGTCCAAAAGCCATAACGCATGCGGGGTCGTATGCTTGAATGTTGGCCCGTTACATATATTTTGAATATTTTCAATAGCTTTAAATAAATTAAAGCCCGCAGACGTTGTTTTTTTAAAAATCTGATTAACGCGCCCCGGTAATTTTCTGTGAAGTGTCTGTCTGGGTGTCCCCTCTCTACCCCCACAGCGAGAGACATGCGGGGCTGGTCATTGCTTATCTGAATCTCAATACAACCAGCTGCTAATAAATCGTTGTACTAGAATATCGATCAAGAACAACAAATCTCAATGCTACACAGTCGAAACAATCTTTTTTGTTCCTAACTGCGACGTCATGCTCAGGTTACGTTTCGTCGCAAAGGACAACAGTCCACTACGCGCACTCGTTAGCGCCTTTTATAGTCTGCCAAATCATTCGCTCTTGGAAGTTAAGAGTTAACGTCCCTTGTTTATGTCAAGAGTTAACCCCCTTTGTTGTATAACAGTATTACAATCTTTCGCCATTGTTCGATTATTAGGCTTACCACTATGGTGTCAAACAGTTGGGGGGGGGGGGGGGTAGGTCTTCAAAGCCCAGACCGCTTGTGTAATAGCCCTTGAAGCACCGGCTGCGTATCTTGACACGCCATAGCCTCTAACGAGCCGTATTTTTCTGTTGGCTTGCTTCCATATCATGTAGTGTCAGCATTATTAAATTAAAAAAAAAAACCTTTCTGCATGAGTTCCCCAACGGACTGAAGGTGTTTTACCGCGTCAGAACTTAATGCTAATGGGCTTGTTAATGTGATTTTAAATATTAAATAACATAGGGTCTATTCATTTGTTTCACCTCGCCTCACGTATCCGTAGTTAGTGTCCGGTGCAGTCGTCGTTAGTCCTTGTTTAATTTATTATGTAGGAAGAGGTAGAGGGTCCTATAGTATATATATGAGCTACTAGTTACACACATCGTGTGACGTAACTGGCTAAAACGTGGATGGGATGTGTTTTGAGTGTATGGCCCGCATGTTCTAAATGTCGGATAAAACCGCTGAGCCGGTGTTTTCTTTTATGTGGCTGCCGTAATCGTAATGTGTTCGAAGACTTTAGGAGAGTTTAATGATCTTTCGCGATTTACTGGCTCAGTGGGCATATCGGGTCGCTGGTTAAAATTTGCGTCAGAAGTTCTGTTTAGCAGTGTTTACGATTGTGCTAGAGAAGGCTTTAAAAAATGCAATTCTTGTGGCTTCTTGGCGGGTTTTTTTCGTGTTATTTAACAGTATAGATTATAGATCTCTCTGGTAGAATTCATGACTATTTCATACCACTTTCGTCTGGACTCATTGAGAAATTTCAGTGGCAAACGTGTTCAAAATTTCCGTGGATAATTCTTTTTTTTTTCGCGGATAAACTGTGCATTCAAAAGTTTTCAGATAGATTATGAATTTCACGGAACAATATTGAATATTTTCTAAATACGTGGACTGCAATGTCTTGGCGTGTCAAATGAGTGAAATATAAAACAATATCCAAAACAAAACATTTGACCAGTCATGTTGAATGTCATAAGAACGTGCTACTGCTAGATCTAGACAATTTGTTTTAGAAAACACGACCTTTGACCTGACTAATTAAAAAGCCTCTGGACTCTAAAAGATAAACATTTCTCTCTTTCACACAAAGGCTACAACATCATAATTTTAAAACATAATTAAACACATCGTTTTTTAACACATGACCACATCGCTTTTAACACCTTAATGTTTTTCAACACATAAGATGTAGGCATACTTTACATAATATTTTCGTTTGTATGGGTTATTCAACACTACCTCGTGATTTAAGTTCAAGTTGTTTGGATATTGCTGAGCACAGCCCACGCTGATGTCAAGTCAATGTAGTGCTCACCTTCTAGTGCTGTAACAATGTCCATCTGGTCACACAAGTGTAAGGACCTAATGCAGATGGTTCACTGCTTAAAGCAAGAAAAAAATAGTGATGAGAAGAAAAATAAAGTCCCCAAACAGAAAAATAGGCGTCGATCGTACTCTTTTATAGGGAGAAGTTACGTTAGCACAAGCTATACAGAGAAAAGTGAGGTCTGCTTATTCAACTGTACAGAGAAAAGTGATCTTAGCTCATTCAAGTCTTCGGAGAAAAGTGGTCTTAGCTCATTGAACTCTACAGAGAACAGTCATCTTAGCTCATTGAACTCTACAGAGAAAAGTGATCTTAGCTCATTGAACTCTATAGAGAAAAGTGATCTTAGCTCATTGAACTCTATAGAGAAAAGTGATCTTAGCTCATTGAACTCTACAGAGAAAAGTTATCTTAGCTCATTAAACTCTCCAGAGAAAAGTGATCTAAGCTCATTCAACTCTCTACAGAAAGATGATCTTAGCTCATTAAACTCTCCAGAGAGACATCACAGTGACTCACTCAGTTATCTGGAGGAATGTGACTCTTTTAAAACTACAAAGAAAAGTGACTTAAGCTCACCCAACTCTACAGAGGAGATTCACCTTAACTTTAACTCACTCAACTCACTGGAGGAATGTGACTTTATCTCACTCAAAGCTATTGAGAAAAGTGACTTTAGCTCACATATCCCTGAAAAGAAAAGTGACATTAGCTCAGTTGACTCTACTGCTGAATATGGCTTTAGCTCACTCAACTCTATAGAGAAATGTGATCTTAGTCATAGTGACTCACTCAGTTCTCTAGATGAATTTGACTTAAACTCATTCAAAACTACAAAGAAAAATGACTTCAGCTCACTCAGCTCTGAATTGAAAAGTGATCTTAGCTCATTCAACTCTAATGAGGAATATAGCCTTAGCTCACTCAACTCCAGCGAGGAAACTAATCAGCGTTCATTTAACTCTATGGAGAAAGGTCAACATAACCCACTCGACTCTCTGGAGAAATGTGACTTAAGCTCACTCAGCTCCACAGTGTGTGGCCCACATCAACAGATTATTAAAAGAACAAGAAAGAGCTTTGAACACAGTAGAAGATCTTCCATCAAGAGCCCATCCTCACCCCATGTTACTTGTAAAGTTAACCCATCCTCACCAGATGTTTCTTGTAAAGTTAACCCATCCTCACCAGATGTTTCTTGTGAAGTTAACCCATCCTCACCAGATGTTTCTTGTAAAGTTAACCCATCCTCACCAGATGTTTCTTGTAAAGTTAACCCATCCTCACCCCATGTTTCTTTTGAAGTTAACCCATCCTCACCCCATGTTACTTGTAAAGTTAACCCATCCTCACCCCATGTTTCTTTTGAAGTTAGCCCATCCTCACCCCAAGTTTATTGTAAAGTTAGCCCATCCTCACCCCATGTTTCTTGTGAAGTTAGCCCATCCTCACCCCAAGTTTATTGTAAAGTTAGCCCAACCTCACCCCATGTTTCTTGTGAAGTTAGTCCATCCTCACCCCATGTTACTTGTAAAGTTAACCCATCCTCACCCCATGTTTCTTTTAAAGTTAGCCCACCCTCACCACATATTTCAGAACTAGTCCAGAAAAACCAGGTCGTTAACTGTAACAATGCCAGTATTCTTTCATCTCAGGTTGTTAGCTTACAAAGTCACATGACAAAAACTTCAGTATTATTCAACCAAAACCATTTCTTGCTGAAATACCTTTTAAACCTGATCAGATTTCTGAGGCACACACACAATCTTAACAACTGTTTACACCTGACTTTGGAACAGTTGCACTTTATCTCTGATAAATTGGAATCCAGTAAAATCCACCTGAGCCCTCCGGAATCTAAAGAGTTAAATTCTATTCTGGGAGATATCCAGATATTATCATTAGCACTAAAGAACCAAGTTCAATATAAATCAAAGATATCAGTTCACTTACTGACAAAACCAAGTTGTTTTTACTTATTTCCTAATGTAAGTTTCATCAAACTACTTTAGCAAATAATAAAACTTGTAGATAAAAATTGAAAACTTGACTGCCAAAATGACATTATATGGTAGTAAAAATGTGTTGCTGATTACTTTTATGGCTGTTGTAAAGGTTAGGCTTACAAAATTTGCACAGATAAGTTTCATCAAACTACTTCAGCAAAGAATAAAACTTGTAGAAAAAAAGTTAAAAACTTAACTGCCAAAATGACAGTCTGGTAGTACAAGTATGTTGTTGATTACTTTTATGGCTGTTATAAAGCTTAAACACAAGATTTGCACAGACAGGCTTAAATATATTGGTTTACTGATTATATTACTTTAAAAGCTGATATCCTTTTTTTTTAATATAGTGGCATTACTGAAGTTTGTGTTTCTTAATTTATTTATTTTAAATAATTTAGAAAAAAATCTAAATTTATTTTTAACTCTAAAAAGGCAAATAAATTCAACTGGAACTGGTCTAAAAAGCAGCACCCTACAAGAAACCGTTTGAGCAAACCCAAGTGTGGACTCGCCTTATCCACATGCCCAAGTATTCTCCACTATAAGAACTGTGACAGTGTGGCGCTGGGCAGGATGGAAACTGAGAGTGAGGTCAACTTTAAGCTGGACAGAGAGTTTGACAAACACCTGGCTGATATGAAACCTTTTGTCCTCAAGCTTCCATACAAGACAGGTAACTAGTTGTGTTTTTTTTAAGTCATGAAAAAATTTTATATGGTGAAAAGTCTAGAATGGTAAGAAATAATTTATCGATAAAATTGCAAAAAAAAAAAAATGTTACTTTTAACAAACTTGAAAGAAAAATATGTTTATTTATTTTTAGAACGTCAGAAATCAGCTGTGTGGATTAAAAAACTTTGTGAACCTCTTAGTGCTGGCTCTTCAGGGAGGTAAGTCTAACAAAGGTACATTTTTAAACTGCTAGTACAGTGTCTAACACTATATATTTTTTAAATCCTGAAAATTTTCTTAGCAAACACTTCAACAAAATTAACACATAGTGACTTTATTGATTGCCAAAAAGGATTTACAATTATTTGAGTTATATAATGCATTCAATATTCATTGTTTTTAATTAGCTTTGAAACATGTTATGATTATTTCGTACCAACCAAGTCTGTAATAAATTTTAAATTGCTATATGTATCTTAATGTATGAAAAAGATTTTTCTTGTAAATTCTGCATTTCTCGCCCACTAGAAAAACCCGCAACCAATATGCCCAGCTGATGCTGCAGATGCTTAAGAAAGGTTCCCTACAGTCTCCTTTTGACCAGAAGCCTGAACAGGGTCCTCTACGGCCACTTCCATCTTATATGGTAGGTGACTTACGTTCTACGTCTTTAGGTTACTTATGTTCTACATCTTATATGTTAGGTTACTTATGCTGTATGTCTTATATGGTATGTTAGTTATGTTCTATGTCTTATATGGTAGGTTACTTATGTTCTACATCTTATATGGTAGGTTACTTATGCTGTATGTCTTATATTGTATGCTACTTATGTTCTATGTCTTATATAGTAGGTTAATTATGTTTTAAGTCTTATATTGTATGTCACAAATATGGTCCATCTTATTCATCTCTCATTATCACTGGAATTATTTTTGTGACCTTCACCTCAAAATTAACAAAAAGTGCAGAAGTAAAATATTTGTGTTAAAAGGTATTAAAGTATTGGAAACTATAACCTCTTGATGATTTTGTCTTCATTGGCACAGGATTCACTAGATGTTTAATTTTTCTAGCAGATACTATACAAACTGCTGTAATGAACTGCTTATACGGTTGGTAATGTAAGCGTATGTGGTCACACATATCTTATATGGCAGGTCACTTATATGTGGTCCTTTCCATCTGATGTGGTTACCTCTAGCTTATGTGTTATCTCATTTATGTGTATGTGGTCATTTACATCTTATATGAAAGGTCATTTAAATGGTCACTTCTGTTTTATAAAATGGTTCACTTATGTGTATGTGGTCATTTACATCTTATGTGATAGGTCACTTCAATGGTCACATGGTAGGTCACTTATGTGTAGGTCTAGGTGGTCATTAGCTTATATGTTAAGTCGCTTAAATGGTCACTTCCAGCCTAAATGTTTGGTCACTTATGTGTATTTAATTCTGCTGATAATATAAATTGTAAGTTTTTTTCCATAATTTTATTAAGCTTTAATCTCATCTCTAAAGGATAGGCTCAGTTTTCAACTATTGTTATGTTTCAAATTAATTACTAAATGTCAGAGCACATCTAAATTATCAATTACTTTTATTTCAAACTAATTTTAAATTTAGATCTTTATTAAAATAAATGACTTGTTTAACCAGTACGTCATTATTATAGAAATTAAACATGGTTTCCATTGCCTCTGTGTATATTGACAAAGACAGTAAATGAATGAAGACAAATGTGTTTGTATATAACGCATTCAATTTGCCTACCAACCAACAGGCTGAGACACTACCTGACTGGGTGGAAGGGGAACTTAGTGACACAGTCGGCTCGTCCATCTTTCACAAGTCAACAGGTCACCCTGCTGCTACGTCGACGTGGGTCTCCAGCATTGGAGAAATACGGGAAAGGTAGCACCTCATAGTTGTTTGAATCATATTTTTCTATATGTACAGCATGTCTATCTTGGTCCCCAGCATAAGAACATAGTAGATAAAAAGCTTATACAAATTTGATTTGATTTTTTTATTTATTATTATTTGTACCCTGCTTAATTTTGATTCTGAGGTAATTGTTTTCATTATTATGTGTGCCACATGTATAATTTTAATTATGAGGTATTTTTTTCTTTAGTAATATTTGTTACACATGTTTAATTTTGAATGTAATTATTTGGATTTTTTTAGACCAAGAAGCAGCATGGGTCACACTCTGGACAAGGACCCCTCCCTCTCACCCATCAGACACACTGAGCTGCTCCACATCAAAGGTTACTCAGCTGTAAGTTCTTACCTCACCTTCTTGGGTGGGTGGGGTGGGGGAGTGTCACCCTTTTATCTTTACTTTTGAGATTTGTGGTGTGGCTTCTCTGTGTGACTTAATATTGTACTGTTTGTGAATTAAGATTGTACTGTTGTGTGAATTAATATTGTACTGTTGTGTAAATTAATAATGTACTGCTGTGTGACTTAATATTGTAGAGTTGTGTGACTTAATATTGTAGTGTTGTGTGACTTAATATTGTAGTGTTGTGTCTTAATATTATACTGTTGTGTGACTTAATATTGTAGTGTTGTGTGACTTAATATTGTACTGTTGTTGATTTAAATGTATTTTTAACATTGGATGTGTTGATTACTAATACATACACATACAGATACATGCATATACACACGCAGTTGTAGCATTATTTCATACTTTTTGGCGTAGTTTTGACTTTTTTTTTAATTTAATGTTTGTCATGTACCCTACCAGGCATTACAATTAAAATCTGACTAAAATTAAGTTAATTTATTAAATAACTGCAACAACACTAATTCTGATATAGTTTTTGTTGCTGCAGGAGTTATAATTTAGTAAGTAAACATCACATTTTTCACGCAATCAAAAAGAACTTTTAAAAAGAAACCAAAATTGATTATAATTTGTTTAGGACTAATGCAATAGCACAATGCAGTAATACACCATGTCCTTCTGCAACAATATGCATGTGCCCTGCTGTTTTCTCTATTAAGTAATAATAAGTTTTATTTTTAATTGTGCTTTAGATTTTGTTCTATGCTACTTATAGTTTTGTTCAAATGTGTAACATGAGCTTTAGATTTTAACCTGTTGAGTTTTGTTGCCATGAAGATTGTAATATGTGTGTAGGATGACATGAGCCTTGAAATGAAATCCAGTCCTTCACCACACCACAGAAGGCGCCACCACTCCCCCGCAGCGGAGAGGGAGAAGAGAATCTTACCAGGTCAGCTAGGGCCTGTCTGAGCTCTCTCTCATACAGTAGTAGAAGTACATAGTCAACATAATCTGGTACTTTTCTACAAGCTCTTGGTCAATCATCAGTGATGAAAACTAATAGTGCATTGAAATTATAATATTGATAATAATAATTATGATACATAAACAAAATATGGATCTACTAAAAATTAAAACAAATGCTGCTTCAAATTTTATCTTCCCTTCATAATTTTATAACTTCATAGTGTCCCTAAAATATTTAACAGAAAATGGTGCAGGCTACCATATATTATGTTGCTGTGTCCTTTCTTTTTCATCTTTATTTAATCTAGTCACACTACAAATATACCTTATAAGAATTTAAAATGTGATCAGCATATAAGCTGCTAATGTTCACAATTTAAAACAGATGTCAGATCTAAAGAAACAAGGGACAGACAAAAGGATGTAAGTTGGGTATATTAAATATCAGCAGTCATATATTTTACCCTATCATAATTTTGTAAATTATGTTACTTGATTTTATTATTTGAATTTCACTAACACTGTACTAACATATTTTTTGCTCTGGCATATTTTCCTTCCTATATAATATTAATTATGACCATAAAATAATATATACCTCTATGCCTAAAAATATATTATATTTTCTTGAATTTTATCTGCTCATATTTCCTTCTTCCCCTGGCTGTTGGGTTACTATGTTTTTCCTTTTATTTTTATAATTTAATTTCATAACTTAAATTTAATTAAATAGTTTTAAAAGCAAAATCTATTCAAATTAAGTTCATATTTATGCAATTCTATAAATCTTAATTATAAAGATTTGTAACAAAAATTGTAATGGTATTTATATTTTACTAAAACAACATTATTGACACATTCCTCATTTAACCTTTGTAGATAAACGCTAAAGCAAATTCTTTCACTTAAAATAATATTGATAGCACATATCTATGTAATTTACAATTATAAAGTAGTTCAGTATTTACAGTACAAAAATTCCAGTATAAGTTACAGTATAAGCATATATATTTTTTTCCCACTCTTAATCTAAACACAAAAGAGCCTTCCATTTTATCTACACTAACATAATTATCTGCTGATTCATAGCTTTATTCAAAGTAGCTGAATTTTTATTTTTAATTGTAAAGCAGTAGTGTGAAAAATATTTTTTTTGTTCAGCAACATTAAATAATTTAAATATCTGTCATAAATGAAAATTTTAAATGATATCAGAGTTTTATGATAACATGTATAACATTTTAAATTTGTCAGTCTTCTATTCTTAACTACACAGTACCACACATGACTATTTGTAGCTATTCTTTATTACACTCTCATTACAGGAGAGTGCCACTGACATTGATTGGACCAAACACCAGTCTGGCATTTCTAGTTACTCTCTACCCAAAGGTAATATTTAACCATATCATCACTGATAGCAATACTTTTTATTTTTATGAGCTATTTGTCAATAGTGGAACCAGATTTTTTACTCTCCCCCCCCCCCCCACCCATCCCTCTCCATGCAATTGTAAAATTTTAATATTATGTTATGTTTTTATGTAATTCACTGAGCAGTCCTATTGAAAATTCTTAATTTTTGTTTAAAAAGGAACAACATTCTACGAGGACTCAACAATTCAAAAACCAGCAGACAGAGAGGTAAAAACTAAAAAACAAATCTATATTTATAGCAATAAATTTAAGAGTGAATTATTTATTGTATTAGCATAAAAGATTTTTAACATTATTTTAAACCAAACTTCATGCAAATCATGTTTACTTCAGGTTATTGCTAGAACTAAAATGATTGAGGCAAAATTCCACGAAGAGAAGTTAAAATTACAACAGAAACATGATGCAGCTGTACAGAAGGTGGGTTGTTGGATTTGTAATTTGTTGGCAATTTTTTGGGCATCCTAAACTTTTTGGCCACTTTAAAGTTTTGTTTATCACCAATGTTATGGGATTTAAAAAGTTTAGTGTATTAGAAATTTATGGCAACTTTAAAGTTTTATGGATCACGTGTTATAGTGTCAAATCTACATCTAAAAAATCAAATTAAGAATAAAATCTACAGTAAACAAAGCTAATTTGTATCACTTTACACTACATGTATCTGTGTTGACAAAACAGTATTCTGTAAATATCCAGTTTTATATTGAAGTCATGTAGTTCACTTTTTATTCTGGCCAGATACTTGATCGCAAGAATGCTGAAATAGAAGATGTAAAAAATCAGTCTAAAGTGAAAACAAAAGAATTGGAAGAGATGAATGCTAAGCTAGATAGGAAGGGTGAGAAAAATATTCCCTAACTTGTACAGCTTAATCATGCAGTCATCGTTTTAATCAAACAGCTATAGTTTTAATCAAACAGCTATAGTTATTCATTAAGCTAGAGCTTCATTCATATAATTTTCCAGCCATGACATATCAGTTTAGTATAGCTTGTTTAGTATAGCTGGTGTTACCAGAGCACATCACTTTCTATTGCTTGATAGCCATGTAACTTAACATGAACACATACGATGGTGTGGTACAACTGCTAACCTGAAAATCTCAAGTTCAGATCCCTCTCTGACTTGTATCTATCTCTAGGCATAGTGGTGACCACACTATCCCTTCATATATGAGGTCAAAGAAACAGGTAAACTCTACTCCACCTGCCCCATGTAACATCAGATTCGAAAAGGCAACTTTAACATGAACCCAGTGTCTCACGTAACTTTAGTCTGTTACAGCTAAGCAAGCAGTGCCATTTTGTGAATGCACCAAGATAACTTCCATTTTTGACATTTTTTCAGTACAAACTTTGATGAAAGAGGCAGAGTTTATCAGACAAACAAAGGACAAACAAATCTCAGACCTAAAAAAGAGGGAAGAGGAAACAAACGAAATGAGGAAAAATGATTATGAGAAACGAGTAAGTGGCTACATTTTGGATGATGTCTGGTGGGAATCTTTTAAAACCTTTATCTAAAAGCTCAGCTACATAAAAGTGTTAAAAACGCTTTTCTCAGGGATTTATGGCCTTCAAGTTTATGGCATCAGAAAAGCCATAAATTAACAAACTCTTTATGTAAGTGTGTTGCTTTGCTGCAGACTGATCACCATTATTGACTTTCCATAGACTTATTATCACTTTAACATCTATTAGGCACAAGAGAAAAAAAAAGTCGTTTTATATTATACATTTTTTTTTAAAAAGAAAAAAAAACATCCTTTAAAAATATGTTATTAAAAATATTATTGTTTTTTTTAAATCTCCATTGTGACAGTTATAAGAAGGTGTAAAAGATTTTTGCATACTGATCCTGTATTGTGCATTGCAGTTGCATGAAGTGTTGGCAGAATTTGAACAAGAAAAGTTTGAGTTACAAAAACAGCACACACAGAACATACAAGACATCCTAGACGACACAAATGACAGGCTGCAGAGAATGGAGACAGAGTACAGCAGCCAAGCAACCACAACGGTATGGACAGCAAATTGGGGCTGTTAACTTTCTGGTTACTTATGTGCTTGACCACTTGAGCACTCAGTTTCATTGGCTAGATGTCAGAATTATAAGTTCATTGAACAAGTGATTTTTTTTTTGTTTAAACTAAGTTCACTTCAATTATTCCTTTGTGGCCCCTTGGGAGCAAAGGGCTGCAAAAAACTATGTTGCTAGACTTTAATATTTAAAAATTTGTGATTTTATGATAGATATTAATCATAAAATTTACTGATTTTACAATAGACTTAAATGATAAAACGGGATTTTTTTTTCTTGAACCTCCAGACAAATTTAATCAAAGAACTTGAATCTAGAGTCCAGCACTTGATGACTGAAGTGGACAGTACATTGAATCAGAGGTCGGCACTGGAGAAAGAGAAAAATGAGGCCATTTCTAAATATGAGAGATTAGTCATTGAACATGACAAAATGTGTGAAAGGTATTGTATTATTTGCAGAATATCTTTTTCTTATTTATCATTGGAAGTGTCATGTCTTCAGCACCAGATGTCACCATACACCATATCAAACAGATCTACAAAATAATTGTTGTAACACAATAAGGAAATTCAGTAACAGATAAACTAACACTTCTGTTCAAATCTTGCATATACAATTAAACTATTGTCTTAACTGTTTTTGTTTCATAAAAACATGTCGTCATTTCTCTTAGACATACTCAACTGGAGCATGAATTCAGGAATCTGAAGATCAAAACAGAAGCTAGTCTAGAATATCTGAAGCAAGAACATTCTATGTCAGCGACTAAGGTAAAAACAGTCCTGTCTAGAACATGTAAAAAAAAAAAGACCATTCTTTGGCTGCCAGTAAGGTAAAAACAGAGGCTAAGAATACCTAAAACAACAATATTCTATGGCAACTGGGCAGCTAAAGCAACAAAAAAAAACAGTATACATCTAAGACAGATTATATTATATGCTAAAAACAATCTTTGAGTCAAATCTAACTCCATGGGAGTGTTTATAGTTATTTTATGTGTGCAGCTGTAGTGAAATATCAAGATTTTGAGAACTGAATGTATATTTACAGGCAGCAGATACAATAGAGGGCCTTGAAGAGAAAATTGACCAATTAAAGAAATCACTTAAAGACAATGAGGAACATCGGCAGAGGCAAATCAGGGTAGGTATTGGAGGTGTTCTAGATTTAGTTTATATCACATTTCACATAAAATTTATATTTGATTTAACGTTAAATTTAATTCTTATAGGAAATGGAACAAAACCACCAACAAGACAAAATGCATTTAGAATTTCTCCATGAGAAGCAGGTGAGGAAGGAAAAAAACTAATTTTAATTGGAAAAAAAAATTAATTAAAAATGTTCAACAACCGGTATATGTGTCAAATATTGAAAGCACTGTCACAATATGTTTCTTAATGTTAAGGTCCGCAATATAAAAAAAGAAATGGAGCAGTTGGAAGCAGATAGTAACAAGAAAGCTCAGAAACTGGAGCAACAAATCAAGTAGGATTCAGTTTACTTCTTTCTCTATCTTAGTAAATTAAGTAGGATTTAGTTTACTCCCCACTCCATCATGTTTTCTCATCTGTTAATCTTTTAGATATGTTTATATATTTTTCAAGTTTAATATATGTTAGATTAATTGTAAATATTTTATGATTGTATTTTATTGTTGATAGGTATACATTATTGGTGATAGACCACTCTATTGACTAAGTTTAATAAATGTTTTGTTAATATTAAATATTTTAAATTTGTATTATTTGTTGATAAGGTTGACAGAAGTGGTGATATTCCACCCTATTGACATAGCAAGCATTTAATCCTTTATTAAAATTGTGAATGATAATTCAGATTTATTTAAGTTAATGTTAAAAAATGAATAAAATTAAGTCTGTATTTGAATACCTGTTGCATAGGGAGAGAGAGGAGGAAGTAAAGAAATTGAAAGAACAAAAACAGCAGCAGAGTTTACAGGCAGAGCAGGCGCTAGAGGACTTCAAGGCCCAGGTGGAGAGGAACCAGGCCCGCATTTATGACGAGATGAAACAACAGGTGCTTTGTGGTTTCTTTTACTGTTTGTTGAACTTCTCTCCTATGGTTAGGTTAAGGCAGGGGTCTCCAAACTTTTCAGTCCGAGGGCCGCTTTAACTATCAAATTTCAGTTCGGGGGCCAGTTTCTTTCAGGCACGTCTTTTATTTTTGTGGACAAAGTTCCTCAGCCATCACCAACCAACGATTTTCCCTTGGACAAAAAGATCTCCGCGGGCCGGATGAGAGGACTTTGCGGGCCGTATTCGGCCCGCGGGCCGTAGTTTGGAGACCCCTGGGTTAAGGTAATAGTAGGTGCATCATAATATAACATAGTTGACTGTACTTCCCCCCTGAGTTAGCGTTAAGGGTACAATAAGTGCTCTATTTTACTCAATAATTTATTCCCGTTAGCTTTCCCATACTTATCTAAAGATACCTTTTATTACTAGTTAATTGAACAAGTTTTTATTTTTTTAAATCCAATAACATTGGATTTTGGAAACTTCCTCTACAGAGCACACTGCTTTACTGAATTTTAAATAACTTTTTGTTGTTTTTAACTAGTAAAATGTAACTTTTGTTGTTTTTAACTAGTAAAATGTAACTTTTGTTGTTTAACTGCAAGTATAATGTAACTTTTGTTGTTTACCTACAAGTAAAATGTAACTTTATATGTAAATTTTATCAAACTAGATGCAACAGGTAGAGACTGATCTCCTCAAGTCAAAACAAGCAAGGGAAAAACAGGCCAAGGAATTTTCTAGACAAATAGAAGAGGAGAATCATAGACATCAACATGAGGCTCGTTTTTTTTCCCTCATTTATGATTTGACAGTCCAATACAAAAATACTTTTTAAAACATTTCATTTTTTCTTTTCTTTAGATGATTATGTTAAACTAGGAAAACTATTATTTGGTTTTGAGATCACAACTGCCGTGTTATATTTATGGTACATTGATTTTAGCAAGGTTATAAAATTTTGATTAGGTTCCAGAACGCTGTTATTTGGTTTTGAGATCACTGCTGCTATTATATTGATGGTACATTGATTTCAGGGTAAAGAAATAGTTCTAAAGTTTTGATTTGGTTTCAGATGGCTGAGCTCAAGGTGTCAGCCGAGGGAGAAAAGTCCCAGTTGATGCGGGAATTTCACATGCAGAAGGAGTTCACTCTGAGCGAGCATGAGAAAGATTTGGAGGGTCTGAAGGAAATTCACCAGGCGGAGATGCTGGCACTGGAAGCTCGCCTCAAGGAGAACAAGGATAGGGCGGAGAAGGTGAGGAGCTTTCTTACTGGTTGCCTGATGGTGTCAGGATTATGTTGGTGTTTGTGGAAAATACATATTTCATTATTTTTGTCATCCACTTGTTGTGTGTTGGTTTGCTGCTTTTTGTGTGGTAATCTGCCACATGTTTTGTGGGTGGTCATCCATATATTGTGTGGGTGGTCATCCATATGTTGTGTGGGTGGTCATCCACATGTTGTGTGGGTGGTCATCCATATGTTGTGTGGGTGGTCATCCATATATTGTGTGGTAGTCTGCCACATGTTTTGTGGGTGGTCATCCATATGTTGTGTGGATGGTCATCCATATATGTGGATGGTCATTCACATGTTGTGTGGGTGGTCATCCATATATTGTATGGGTGGTCATCCATATGTGGTGTGGAATGTTATCTGTATAGTGTATCCATATGTCATGTAAGTGGTCATTCACATGTTGTGTGGGTGGTCATCCATATGTTGTGTGGGTGGTCATCCATATGTTGTGTGGGTGGTCATCCATATATTGTGTGGTAGTCTGCCACATGTTTTGTGGGTGGTCATCCATATGTTGTGTGGATGGTCATCCATATATGTGGGTGGTCATTCACATGTTGTGTGGGTGGTCATCCATATATTGTATGGGTGGTCATCCATATGTGGTGTGGATGGTTATCTGTATAGTGTATCCATATGTAATGTAAGTGGTCATTCTCATATTGTGTGGGTGGTCATCCATATATTTTGTGGGGGTCATCCACATGTGTGGATGGTCATCCATATATTGTGTGGTGGTCATTCACATGTTGTGTGGGTGGTCATTCACATGTTGTGTGGATGATCATCCATATATTGTGTGGTGGTCATCCATTGTTGTGTGGTTGGTCATGCACATGTTGTGTGGGTGTTATCCATGTGTCGTTTAGGTCGTCATCTGCTTGTTGTGTGTCGGTGATCATCCGAAATGTTATTTGGGCTGTTGTCTACATGTGTATGCTGTTTTAGCTATTGACAGCTTTATGTTGGTGATGTAGTCTATTAATTATGTGCGGTTGTCTAGAACTTTAATGAGCTGTTACTTCTAAATATGACCTTAGCCAAGTTGTGTAATCAGAATGTAAACATGAAACCCATTCATCCCCAGACACTGTATGACAATGAGAGACAGATCAGAGAGCTGAGAGAAGAACTGGTCCAGGCCAACCAACTCCGTAAACAGCAGCTGGTGGAGCTGGGCTTGTTGAGGGAGGAGGAGAAACAGAAGATGCACAGGGATCAGGAGGCTGAGGTCAGCAGAATTTTTATTAGTACTCTTTGATTTTAATTATTGACAAGAAACTTAATCAGATCACTAGTCAGAGAGCAAAAAGAAGAAATTTTTTCAGTGTCTAGCTGTCTCTTATGTGGGCAGCAGAATGTTAGCTGTTTCATCTCAGAGCAACAGAAAATGGCTAAACAATGTTTTTTAATGTTTTAGCTGTCGCGTCTGAGGGCAACCATGGAACAGCAGAAGATTGAGCTGCAGAGAATTCACGGTTCAGAAATGGAAAGAGTCCTTGAAAAGGTTGGACCTGCTTAAAGATTTTAAAAAAAACTAAAAAAATGCTTAAAACCAAAGATTAACCTTTGTTTAAAATGATAATTAATTTTTAAAGAGTATTTTTAGTTTAATTTTTGTTAATTTTGGTTTTAAACTTCTCTAATGTCATGTCACACGTAGTTGCATAGATTATTTTTTAAGAACAAAATTTTCAGGAAATCATTAAAAAAAATTTTTTTTAAATCAACAGACAAATGAACGTTTAAAATTCCTAGAAAAAGATTCAGCTGATAGAATAAAGCAATCTGCTGAGGTAAGAAACAGATTTTCTCCTGCCATTTGCTGCTCATCTGTTCTAGTGGTTATTTCTGTATGTAAGATGTAGAGCAGTTTTGTATTGTTTGCTTAAATTCCTTTTATGTCTAGAGTGGCCACCTTAATCTGTCAACCTGTTTATTCTTTCAGGAAATTCACCAGTTACAGGTCACTGTAACTCAGCTTAAAGGAGATTTACAGAGGTTATATTTTTACAATTCCTAAATAGAAATAACGGAAAACAAAATGAATATTTTAAACTTAAATATAACAAACTTTAAAATGCACTTAATTGCTAATAAACATAAATCTTCTTTAGTTTTGATTTTGAATTTATGAAATAGCAGTTGTTAAGATATCTTATCCATACCTTTTAGCTACCAGTATCTTTTATATTTCAATGTTATAGCTAACAAAATGTATGTTTATCTTCTTTTTAGTCTGTTTAAAAGCTTATTTTTGTTAAGGTTTTGTTTTACGTTTTTTTTTATTAAACTAGACCCATGTCTAATGTACTTACAAATGTAATACTAAATGTGTTTTAATTATGTGAATATTTAACATCTTTTTTATAAACTAGACATATGTTAAATGTATTTATTAACGATGGACTGAATGAGCTTGAATTCTGTGAATATTGTTTCTTTAGGTCACAAGAAATGAGTGACAAGATGCTGGTTGATATCAAACACAGGACTGAGGAAGAAAAGCAAAACTTACGCAAACAATATTCCCAGAACTTTACGGTTAGTACATACAACAAACATCTGTTTTTAAACTTTACTGACAATACCTATAACATTTCAGGCACTGTTCTAAAACTTAACTGTTAATATCTACAATTTAAACATCCATTTAGAATTGTAGTGTTTACCTTTGTTATAAGCAACTTTTGAAATATTATTCATAATTGTGGCCTTATGTAAATCGTTTTCTATTTGATTCTGTGTAAGTTTTTAGATTTCATCTAGTTTAGAACTTGACCTGTTTGTGTTACTCCAATGTTTTTCACCAGACTATTCAGCGAGAACTGGAGGAGCAACGGAATCGCACCAGACATGCTGAGAAGCTGCTACAGAAAAAAGAATCTGATCTTGAGGACAAGGTGAAACCCTAGAATTTTTTATTCTTTTTTTTTCCAGTCTTTAAGTTATGTACGTGTAAGAAGTCTACTCAGATATTAGTAAAGAAAAAGATTCCACTTTAGACCTAGCGGGCAGATGAAGTAGAGTTCAAATGTTTCTTGACCTTGGCACATGAAGGGATGGTGTGGTCAGCACTATTCCCAGTCGTCTTTACTTTCCCCAACTAAGTCAGGTACCCAGGAGAGCTAAGTGGATTCAGGGACTTTCTACAATCACAAGTCCGAACCGATATACAAACTCTAGACCTTTGGGCTAGCAGCCAAATGCTGTACCATTCAACCTCACAATCCCACCTTAGGGACTATAGAGCTACAAGTTGTCAACTTGAGCAAAAGTATGACTATTGCAAAGTTGAATAAAAATGTTAAGAAAAATAAAGTCTAAAATTCTACTCCACATAATACATTTCAGATAACACAACTTAAACTTCAGTTTGAGGAGAAAATCCGAGGGTTGATTCCATCTGATGTCAAACAGGTATTTCAATTATTTTTTTTTGTCTGGTGCTATTTTTATTGAAACTTCATTATAAGTCATGTAAAATTTCACACCCCCCACATATTTTATTAGTCAGAAAACTAAAATTTACCTTTCTGTTTCAAATTCAACCATTCAACCACATGATCATTTGTGTTTGCTATGATAGCTATTGTTTTGTCAGTAATAGTTGATGGTTGGTACTGAAATAACAAAATTGGATGTAATGTTTTATTTCAATGCCAAAGTTAGCTGTGTGGAATGTAGGGACTTGGAATCCTGTCTGGCTTAAACTTTCTGTCTTTACAAGGGCCATGTTCTGTACCTGTGTCTAACCTTGGCATTGAAAAAACAAACCAAAACAAACATAATTTTATTCTACCAATTTTGATATCTGGTCAATAACCTTGGACATACCCCCATAATATCATAGTCCCCCCCCCTCCCCTGCGACATAATGTCCCCTATGGCTATTTGTTTTGTCAGTAGACAACCTCAGATGTTATTTAACCTATGTAGAAGACAACCATTCTTGTCTGACCAGCATCCACCATAGATGTTGTTATTTAACCTATGTAGAAGACAACCATTCTTGTCTGACCAGCATCCACCATAGATGTTGTTATTTAACCTATGTAGAAGGCAACTAGTCATATCTGACCAGCATCCACCATAGATGTTGTTATTTAACCTATGTAGAAGACAACCATTCTTGTCTGACCAGCATCCACCATAGATGTTGTTATTTAACCTATGTAGAAGACAACCATTCTTGTCTGACCAGCATCCACTATAGATGTTGTTATTTAACCTATGTAGAAGACAACCATTCTTGTCTGACCAGCATCCACTATAGATGTTGTTATTTAACCTATGTAGAAGACAACCATTCTTGTCTGACCAGCATCCACTATAGATGTTGTTATTTAACCTATGTAGAAGGCAACTAGTCATATCTGACCAGCATCCACTATAGATGTTGTTATTTAACCTATGTAGAAGACAACCATTCTTGTCTGACCAGCATCCACTATAGATGTTGTTATTTAACCTATGTAGAAGGCAACTAGTCATATCTGACCAGCATCCACTATAGATGTTGTTATTTAACCTATGTAGAAGACAACCATTCTTGTCTGACCAGCATCCACCATAGATGTTGTTATTTAACCTATGTAGAAGACAACCATTCTTGTCTGACCAGCATCCACCATAGATGTTGTTATTTAACCTATGTAGAAGGCAACTAGTCATATCTGACCAGCATCCACTATAGATGTTGTTATTTAACCTATGTAGAAGACAACCATTCTTGTCTGACCAGCATCCACCATAGATGTTGTTATTTAACCTATGTAGAAGGCAACTAGTCATATCTGACCAGCATCCACTATAGATGTTGTTATTTAACCTATGTAGAAGACAACTAGTCATATCTGACCAGCATCCACCATAGATGTTGTTATTTAACCTATGTAGAAGGCAACTAGTCATATCTGACCAGCATCCACTATAGATGTTGTTATTTAACCTATGTAGAAGACAACCATTCTTGTCTGACCAGCATCCACTATAGATGTTGTTATTTAACCTATGTAGAAGACAACCATTCTTGTCTGACCAGCATCCACCATAGATGTTGTTATTTAACCTATGTAGAAGACAACCATTCTTGTCTGACCAGCATCCACCATAGATGTTGTTATTTAACCTATGTAGAAGGCAACTAGTCATATCTGACCAGCATCCACTATAGATGTTGTTATTTAACCTATGTAGAAGACAACCATTCTTGTCTGACCAGCATCCACCATAGATGTTGTTATTTAACCTATGTAGAAGGCAACTAGTCATATCTGACCAGCATCCACTATAGATGTTGTTATTTAACCTATGTAGAAGACAACCATTCTTGTCTGACCAGCATCCACCATAGATGTTGTTATTTAACCTATGTAGAAGGCAACTAGTCATATCTGACCAGCATCCACTATAGATGTTGTTATTTAACCTATGTAGAAGACAACCATTCTTGTCTGACCAGCATCCACCATAGATGTTGTTATTTAACCTATGTAGAAGACAACCATTCTTGTCTGACCAGCATCCACCATAGATGTTGTTATTTAACCTATGTAGAAGGCAACTAGTCATATCTGACCAGCATCCACTATAGATGTTGTTATTTAACCTATGTAGAAGACAACCATTCTTGTCTGACCAGCATCCACCATAGATGTTGTTATTTAACCTATGTAGAAGACAACCATTCTTGTCTGACCAGCATCCACCATAGATGTTGTTATTTAACCTATGTAGAAGGCAACTAGTCATATCTGACCAGCATCCACTATAGATGTTGTTATTTAACCTATGTAGAAGACAACCATTCTTGTCTGACCAGCATCCACCATAGATGTTGTTATTTAACCTATGTAGAAGACAACCATTCTTGTCTGACCAGCATCCACCATAGATGTTGTTATTTAACCTATGTAGAAGGCAACTAGTCATATCTGACCAGCATCCACTATAGATGTTGTTATTTAACCTATGTAGAAGACAACCATTCTTGTCTGACCAGCATCCACCATAGATGTTGTTATTTAACCTATGTAGAAGGCAACTAGTCATATCTGACCAGCATCCACTATAGATGTTGTTATTTAACCTATGTAGAAGACAACCATTCTTGTCTGACCAGCATCCACCATAGATGTTGTTATTTAACCTATGTAGAAGGCAACTAGTCATATCTGACCAGCATCCACTATAGATGTTGTTATTTAACCTATGTAGAAGACAACCATTCTTGTCTGACCAGCATCCACCATAGATGTTGTTATTTAACCTATGTAGAAGGCAACTAGTCATATCTGACCAGCATCCACTATAGATGTTGTTATTTAACCTATGTAGAAGACAACCATTCTTGTCTGACCAGCATCCACCATAGATGTTGTTATTTAACCTATGTAGAAGACAACCATTCTTGTCTGACCAGCATCCACCATAGATGTTGTTATTTAACCTATGTAGAAGGCAACTAGTCATATCTGACCAGCATCCACTATAGATGTTGTTATTTAACCTATGTAGAAGACAACCATTCTTGTCTGACCAGCATCCACCATAGATGTTGTTATTTAACCTATGTAGAAGGCAACTAGTCATATCTGACCAGCATCCACTATAGATGTTGTTATTTAACCTATGTAGAAGACAACCATTCTTGTCTGACCAGCATCCACTATAGATGTTGTTATTTAACCTATGTAGAAGACAACCATTCTTGTCTGACCAGCATCCACCATAGATGTTGTTATTTAACCTATGTAGAAGACAACCATTCTTGTCTGACCAGCATCCACCATAGATGTTGTTATTTAACCTATGTAGAAGGCAACTAGTCATATCTGACCAGCATCCACTATAGATGTTGTTATTTAACCTATGTAGAAGACAACCATTCTTGTCTGACCAGCATCCACCATAGATGTTGTTATTTAACCTATGTAGAAGGCAACTAGTCATATCTGACCAGCATCCACTATAGATGTTGTTATTTAACCTATGTAGAAGACAACCATTCTTGTCTGACCAGCATCCACCATAGATGTTGTTATTTAACCTATGTAGAAGGCAACTAGTCATATCTGACCAGCATCCACTATAGATGTTGTTATTTAACCTATGTAGAAGACAACCATTCTTGTCTGACCAGCATCCACCATAGATGTTGTTATTTAACCTATGTAGAAGGCAACTAGTCATATCTGACCAGCATCCACTATAGATGTTGTTATTTAACCTATGTAGAAGACAACCATTCTTGTCTGACCAGCATCCACCATAGATGTTGTTATTTAACCTATGTAGAAGGCAACTAGTCATATCTGACCAGCATCCACTATAGATGTTGTTATTTAACCTATGTAGAAGACAACCATTCTTGTCTGACCAGCATCCACCATAGATGTTGTTATTTAACCTATGTAGAAGGCAACTAGTCATATCTGACCAGCATCCACTATAGATGTTGTTATTTAACCTATGTAGAAGACAACCATTCTTGTCTGACCAGCATCCACCATAGATGTTATTTAACCTATGCAGAAGACAACTATTCTTGTCTGACCAGCGTCCACATTAGACATGATTCTACTTACAGGAGCTGGAAGACACAATAGCCTCACTCAAGTCCCAGGTCAACTCCCTACAGCTCAGGGCGGCCATGTTGCAGGAGGAGCTGGACGGCCACGCCAAACATGGCCATTTCGGACCCACCTCCAGTTCACCAATCAAATCAGCTGGATGACACAGCGACACAGGTGAAGTGTTAACACCTGTTGGCCAGTAACTACTCTAGTTGTTGTCACGTGATCAGTTGGTACCTACCCTCTGCATGCAGAGATGTAATTAGGTTAAAACTTGTTAAAGCTTGACTCATAAAACTTGTTAAACCTCGACTCATATATGCAAATGCTGTGCCTAGTTAAGATTGGCTACAAGTATCCATATTGATTGTCTACAAGATAATAAGCCTAATTGTTTTAAACATAAGAACCCACTCATGTCAGATGTTTTACCTACCTATTGGTTTAATATTATTTGTGTTTAAAAGCCAAAATTAGACTTTGTGTTAATACTTTTAATTATGGACATAAATAAGAGAGCAAAAAACTTTCCATTGTATATACTTTTATCAAAGCCAAAATATTTTTACTTTGGCTACATATTTAAAAATGTTTAAGTTATATTGTGTGTCAAAAATGTAATTGTGTATGTATTTAATGTTGAGAAAGTAAACAATAATGTACCCGTACTTAAAAATGGTTTTATATATTGCCTATTTAATGTTAACAAATTAAGCCTAAAGTAAAATGTATTTTAAAACAATTGCTTTCTAAAGCCTATTTAATATTTAATGTTAAATTAAGCCTTTTAAAAGTACTTCTTACAAAATAGTTTTATGTATTTTATATTTACAAAGCTAAAAAGATATGTACTCACTGTAGGCACTATAAAAGTGGTTACAAAACAACTGACAGTTTGTTTATTTTATTTCAATTTTAATGTTGTTTTACTTGAATTATTGGATAATGATGTTTTTATTCAAAGAAATTGTGTTTTTGGTTGTACTATGTTGGTCAGTTTTTAAACAATAATTGTGTGAATAGATTATTTAACTAGCTTTGCATGACTTCCCAGGATAACACTCAGGCACTTTTGTCTATTAGACAAAGGGTTTTCTTCCAAGTCTCTCCCTCAACTCTAGAACAATTATTTGGTACATATTAATTAGCAGACTTAATATAACTGCATCCATTTTAAGAAAAAAATTTTTTTGAATGATTTGAATAATATAATAATTGTTTTGACTTTTGATTTTGTATCTATATTTAAACTGAATTAAAACATATGTAATAAGATTGCAAGTTTTTAATAGTCTCTATTGTATGTGTATATTATGTGAAGTTTTCATTATAAATATGTGCCTGATGTGTTTGTTATAGAATTGTGTAGTCCCTATTGTGTGGTGTGTTTGTCATAGAGTTGTGTTGTAGTCCCTATTGTGTGGTGTGTTTGTCATAGAGTTGTGTTGTAGTCCCTATTGTGTGGTGTGTTTGTCATAGAGTTGTGTTGTAGTCCCTATTGTGTGGTGTGTTTGTCATAGAATTGTGGCGATTCATTGTTCAACTTGCATGTTTTTTGAAGATTCATGGGTTTGCAAAATATAAAGGGAATTAATGCTTTCTTATAAAGTTCTCTTTTCGAACCCATCAAAGCTGGGTGGACTCAAGGATGTTCTACAGACTTGAAACTGGATTCGAATCCATGTTTGCAGTTTGGCGATTCTACCTCTAGGCCACGCAGTCACATGATGCTTTCTTGTGTGACTGGAAATTGAATCACCAGCAGAGTTTCTTTCAGGCATTTCTTCAGTGGGCAGAGCCCCTGCACCCCCCCCCCTTGAACGAAATGGAATTTATGTAGAAAACACACTTTTACCAGTGTCCGCCTCCCCCCGAAAATATCAAGTGCGTCGTGTCCCCCGTCCCCCCCCCCCCCCCCCGGAGAAAAAAGCCTGGAAGAAAAACTGACCACCAGTATGCCTATTTATGAGCGCATGTCAACTAAAACATTACGCATTCACGTGAATGAGGTTTAATATTTTAAAATTTACGACCCTTTCATATTTTTTTTATCGATTACCTCTGTCCTAAGCTGCACACCCAGAACGGGAATTTCCGTTTCTAAAAGACCAAAATGACGTCCCACAAAACACGGTAACATGACGTAAACGTTAGTAATGTTTGATCAAACAAAAACACCAGGGCGGTGATAACGCCATCATAGTATTTGTCTTGGTAGGTTCAACTACACTGTTGTCAATAAGTTTAAAAATACAACTTTCTAATAACGTAAATTACGGGTTATTCATGATGATATATATATCTGTTTGAGATTTCACACGTAGCCCTAATAGACTAAATATATGATAGATCTAGATGTATATAGTTGCATGACGTGTTCGTCTGCGGCTATGCAGCAGAGTTTCTTTTAGGCATTAACCCCCCCCCCCCCCCGCGAGCACGTCTAAGAAAATATATACTTTAACCAACCCCCCTCCCCGGATATTCTAAGTGCGCCAACCTCCCCTGATATTTTCAGTTCCCCCCACCCCCACCCCCACCCCTCGGATAATGTATTATCCCCTTTGGAGAAAATGGTCTGAAAGAAACCCTGCTATGCAGTCAATGATGGCAGTCCAATCTTCGTCCGAATGTACTGGGGGAGGGGATATATAGATTTGCTTACTAGAATGTAACTAATATCAATGTCAAAAGGTGAAGCGGAACAAAACAATTGGCCACCATAGCTTCTATTTTTATATTATTCCATCCCGTTAGTTTTGGTGTTGTGTCGGCCTTGCTTTATGTCACAGCTAACAGAAGGTGTAGATCTAGTTGTTAAACAACTCGCGCTACAGAAAAACAAATGTAGACATACAGATGTATAACTTACCGAGACAGATAGTCCTCTATAAATGACTTCAGGCCTTTTTTTTAACATTCCCCCACCCCTTCCCCATTATTACTAATTATCAAAACTATTATCCATTTAAAAAAAACCATCTAAGTAACAATCCACTTCTCTTCCCCAACCCCCTTGCATTTTTTTTTTCCTTTTTTGAAACTAGACTTTCTTTTTTTAATATCAACTAAGCTGAATCATCTCAGGGCAAAACCTTGAAATTCAATATGAAGAGTTTGCAAATGGGAAAAAAAAGTGTGACCTCACACTTCCTGAACCCCCCCCCCCTTCCCTTTTTACACATTGTCATTTAAGTCCAACCTCCCCCTTACTAGGAATGTGACGTAATTTATTATGAGACTATCTTAGGGTTTCGATCAAATAATAAAATTCTTCTTTCAAAAAAGCGAACATGGGTATCTTTAATTGAAACGAAGTCTATTTGTGTGAACTTCCACAATGACATTTTGATACTTATATTTGTGATTGTAATTGTAATTGAGTGACTTCAACCTAATGTGTATTATCGTGAGAAACATATACAAAGCACCTGTTACCTAAGTACAAAACAGGGGAAATAAGAAACTTTTTTTCTGCTGACACACCGGAAGCAAAGCCAGTCGTCTCATGGCTGTCTGACTTTCTATTGGCATATTTCTCGAGTTCTCTCAGCTTGTATGACGTCCTAGCTACATCTCATAGCTCTTAAGTTATTTTTGCTTGTATGACGTCCTGGCGAAGTCTGTATGACGTCCTAGCTAAAGCTAATATTTCTTAACTTCATCAAGTTTATCTGACGTCCGGGCGAAGTCTGTATGACGTACTGGCTAAGATAACGTTTAATAACGTCCTAACTCCTCACACTTTGACGTCCTTGCCAAGACTGTAAGACGTCACCTTTCTCAACTTTTTACAGTCTATCTGACGTCCCAGCAGCTTCCTCCGAAGGGCGGGATTTAGCAGACGAACATGAGTGACAAAAAGTCACGTGTCACTCTTGTCCCTGGGGCCATTGGCAACACTGACCAGTCAGAACTTTGGCACCGCCTCAACCAGAAAACCCCCGGAGACCACCAGGACAATATCACAGAGAAACCGACGGAGCCCAAAGACAAAACCGCGTATCCGCCGTTGGCCAAAAACACGTGAGTTGGTTCATTAAAAACAAGTATCGGATCACAAAACATAGAGCCGCTGGTGTCAACAATATGTTGGTCATTCTATAGAGGTATCGATACCAAAAAATTGTCTCTTGAGTTACAAGAGATTTCGATACTATCCCATTCTTTGGTGCATACGATTGTTAATTTTATGAACGATAAAACACTAATAGGCTAATAGTGAAGCGTATTTCCGGGTTCAGATATGTACATATGCGATATTTATTTACCAAACATATTGACATAGCTTCAATAGTTTATTATATGTTTACATTCATCTCAGGTTCAATTAAAGAAATCCATGGTTCGACCCGGGACTAAAAAAAATACTGCTTAATTTTTTCGCTGAATTATGTATTTGGGCGTCTCGATAATACAAAAAAATTATTTAAATCCTTTTTTCTTATCATAGTAATGTACACTGCAATCTTTATCCGCTGCAACTTGATATTACATATTTAAAAACATCAACAACTGAGGGTTTTTAGCGCAATTTCCATACGGACAATTGCGATTATTAACTCTGGATGGATGAATGAATGGATGGATATGTGTCCGCAGCTTTAAGTCGTATCTCCTCCTCAACGAAGCAATATCGAGGACTAGTTCCAAAGCAAATATGTTAAGCAAGTTTCGAGGATGATTGTGGGCCAAAAAAATTCCCGGAATTCCTTCCTGGATTTCCCGGAAAAGCAAAAAAAAAAACTCGAAAAAATGCAGTTTTGGGCCCATATCTCGGCAACCAGACCACTTAGCGACTTGAAACATTTACCAATCGATTCCTGCCATAATTTAGAACAATATTGCCGAAGAAAGTTTTCAAAAATATCCTTTCGTTCGGTCATCGTATAGGCCTAGGATGATATTTTTAATTTAAACTGTGCATCGTGTAGGTTTTTAGCGCAAAAAAATATCCTTTCGTTCGGTCACAAAAAATTAAAAATTGTTATGGATAACATAAGGAAATTGCGCTTAAATTGTCACTAGACTTTTTATTAACTTGTTTAAAATATATTTTGAAAAGTCATGACTAGTTAAAAACACAATATATTTTTTTTCCAGGAAAACTATCGTTCCATCAGACGGTACACTGCAATCTTTATCCGCTGCAACTTGATATTACATATTTAAAAACATCAACATCTGATGGTTTTTTAAAATACATTTTGAAAAGTCATGACTAGTGTGTTGAAAACACAATATATTTTTTTTCCAGGAAAACAATCGTTCCGCCAGACGGTACCATCATCCCCCCGCCCACTGCTGCTGACATCTTGAAACAAAAGCCCAAGGCAGTCAAAGACTACTGCACGCCCGTCCAGTACCAGAACTTGCCAAACTCAGACAACTCACAAACAACCCAGTAAGTCCACGTCCATTATCTTCCTCCCCACTTCCTCTGTGTTGTTTCGTACTTACTTAATCCTCATCACTCCCTGTGGAGTATAGGGCAGCAACAAATCTCCGCCATTCTACTCTGTCTTGAGTGAGCCACTTTAATTCATGCCCGGTCTTGCCAGTAGCCTGTACTTCTTCTTCCATCTCTCTCTTCCATGTTCCCAGTGGTCTTCCTCTCTTTCGCTTTCCAGGCGGAGTCCACTTCAGCGCCATGTTAGGGAGTCTTCTTTTGCTCATGCGTAGGTCATGGCCCAGCCATCTCCATCTCCTCATCCGAACTTCTGAAATAATGTCGTTTAAACCTGTCCTTCGCTATATTTCCTTGTTCGGGACTTAGTCGTCCCACTTTATTCTGAGAATACGTTGGAGGGATCTTCTTTCAAAACCTCTGAAACGCCTCTCTCCTTTCTTGTTTAGTTTCCATGACTCTCTACAGCATGGAGGAGTACAGAACGTACATTAGACTCGTAGATCCTTATTTTGGTTATCTGCTGCAGTGAGGCCTGCAGGGGTGGACTGTATGTGTCCAATCGGCCTGGGAAATTTTTAAAGGCGCCCCCCCCCCCCCCCCCCAACCCCAAATTGAAATTTTCATAGTGCATTTTTCTCCATCAAAAGCCTGAATTCTACGCCTTGGTATGAAGATATGGTAAAATGGTAAATACCATTTTAAAAAATCAAAACAGTAATAAAACTATTACAGCACCGTTCTCGGTGGCCCATCGAGATTTTTTTCCGACAGACCGGCGGGCCAGTCCACCCTAAACCTAACCGTACTTCAAACTGTAATCCAACACTCAAAGTGGAAGGATTTAGCCTAGGTTTGCACTTGTGTGGTTTCAGTGCATTGATTCTGTTCTCAGAGAAAAAAAACTAGATTCCATTCCTTATATGTGATTCTCTTTGCAGAAAAACCAAGGAATCTGAGCCTAACCTAAAGAAGACAGAAGTCCCATCTGAAAATAACACCCGAAAGCTAATTCTTCAAGAGCAGGATCTAACGAATCAGGAATCCTAGAGCTGCACCTTGTCATTGATGTGCACAGTAAGAATAAATCTACATGTACTGTACTGTGTTCGTGGTGCATCAGTAGCCTGGTCAGGTTTTCAGTGTAGGGGCAGCCAACATTACGGAGGTCAAGGACAAATGTGTTGTCAGCCGTGATTGGTCTAGAAATAAGACACTTTCACTAAGCAAGAGGGAGATACAGAAGTTGACCTCAGGAGGGCGCTTACACTGACCAAGAGGGAGATACAGAAGCTGACCTCAGGAGGGCGCTTACACTGACCAAGAGGGTGATACAGAAGCTGACCTCAGGAGGGCGCTTACACTGACCAAGAGGGTGATACAGAAGCTGACCTCAGGAAGGCGCTTACACTGACCAAGAGGGTGATACAGAAGCTGACCTCAGGAGGGCGCTTACACTGACCAAGAGGGTGATACAGAAGCTGACCTCAGGAGGGCGCTCACACTGACCAACAGGAAGGTACAGAAGCTGACCTCAGAAGGGCGCTCACACTGACCAACAGGAAGGTACAGAAGCTGACCTCAGGAGGGCGCTCACACTGACCAACAGGGAGGTACAGAAGCTGACCTCAGGAGGGCGCTTACACTGACCAACAGGGAGGTACAGATCCGGGATACAAGAGGACGCCTTCGTTTAAATTACTCGTTTAGCAGATACATTTTTTTTAAAAAAGGCGCCACTGTCCTGAAAATGGTCGCAAGGGAGTGGAGGTCTCCGGTGTAGCCCACATATAATGACATGATATTTAACACTAACAATCAGTAAATATTATCTATAATATTTTACACAGCTAAGTCAATTTGATTTGGTTCTACGCCTATACGGGTTTTTGCTCGGCAACGCATTTAATCTTTTATCGACGCTCTTTAAAAGAAAAAATGAGGTCGATATGATAGTATGTGGAACTGCGCGTGATGTATGGCCCTTCTAAATTGGGTAAATGAAAAATGTCGAATTTTAAACCTCTTGGATTAAGGGCTAGCCTACATCATAAAAAGTAATGTACGGCTTTTGATTACGCCCCATGAGTGATTACATAACATTTACTTCCCGTTTTTAAAGTATAAAATGCATGATTACAATTACGCTTTCCAATTAATTAATCTTTTATCCATAGCAGCCGAGTTAAATCAGTAACTGCGTCAAGCCACCACCGTCACCATCAAGAACTCTCACCATGCCTACCCTGGAGGGCATGCACGCCCCTGGCAACGAAAACGCCCACCTCCTGCCACCTGCCGGCTACATCAACCCCATACCAAAGGAAGTGTACCGCTTCAACAGGGTTGTCCCCCACTACCCGCCCGATCCGTGCATCCATCCGCACGAAGGAGACGTCATTTGCTTGCCTGATGAACCAGCGGTCATGAGGTAGAGATATCTTAGCACTGGTACCTGTGTTTCTTCCAGACTTTTTTCTCCATGGGGGGGGGGGGGGAGACACTGTTAAAAGTATATGATGAGATGCCTGGAAGAAACACTGACTAGTACTTGTAGAGTTTAACTGTTTGTACACAATCTAACAAGTAAAGTTTAATTGGTAGTTTGGTAGATATTTCCATAGAGCGCGACATTTATTTTGTTATATGCTAACAATAGTTTAAAATTTGTTCCCTGTCTTGTTAGAATGATAACTTTTTTTAAACGGCTTAAAAAAAAAACATGAAGCTGCGCAATGTAGACTGGTTGGGGGGGGGGGGGGTGTCTTCCATAAATGACATCACGCTTTTATTGGATAATTTTATCTGCCCCCCCCCCCCCCTCCTTTCCCCATTTCGTCACAAAAAAAAACAGAGCCCCAACCACAAAAATGACATCAAACCGCAGCCTAACCCCCGCCCCCTTCAAAATTGCAGATTGTGTGTTTTTAAAACATTGTTTTATTTCTTTAAATAATTCAGAGCTCGGTCAATATTGTGTATATTACTGAATCTGTAGTACAATTTACAAAAAAAAAAAACAGCTTTCAAAAACAAGAAATTAGGGCTAAAATACTTTTTTTCCCCTTATTTTGTAAAGTGCAGAAAGTGTGTCATCACACACACCCCCTCGTCACAAAATCCCCCCCCCCCCCACACACACCCTAGGAGTGTGATGTCATTTATGGTCGACATGTATATCGACGGACAACTCTTAGTTATTAAGTATTTTTACAAACAATCACAATCAAGATTTATTTCTTTTTGCTAATATTCAATGTGATCGAAAAAAAAAACACCTTTTTGTCCCAGAAATCATCCTTGCATGCCAACAGCCGGGAAAGATGTACGCATGCAAAGTGACACCTTCCGGTTTCATAAAGTCTACCCGCCCACCGACAACATCCCCTGCCGGTCAGAAGGCAACAACTGCGTTGCTTCAGCGCCGATAACTCAGTCAAGCACATGCCCGTGTACCCACAGGTAAGAAGTTACTCGCCTTTTCCTGTTCTGGCCTATACTAGATAGGAAGTGGTCTCAGTAAAATTGTATATATTGTTGTTTTTTTGACTAAACACGCACATTTAATCGATTTATTTAGTAAACAATACTCTAATACCAAATTGTAATTCTCTTTCATTTTTGGTCATTACTGTGTTAAGTACAGTGGCGTAGGCAGGGGGGGTTAGACCCCTCGGTATATATATAAAAAGTTTGAGGGGGGTGCAAATCGAAAGTTTGAGGGGGGGGGGGTGCAAATCGAAAGTTTGTCCCCGGGTAAAAATTGGAACCCCCCCCCCCCCCTTGAGACGATCCTGGCTACGCCACTGGTTAAGTAAATAGGTCATCTATGTAAACTATGTTTGTTCGTGAAATGATTTGAATGCTGTTTCCCTAGTTGACACTCATGTGTCAATAGTTTATGTTTGTTACAAAGTGTTAGCTGTCAGTGGTCGTTTGGAACAGGATCTGAAAAATATAGCTTTTTGCCGTCAGTTAAAGCCTACACAAAACAACTTTGAAGTGGAGCTTTTCCCACCACTACAGTCTAAATGTCTAGAACAGAGTTTCTTCCAGGCATCTCTTCGGGAGGAGGGGGGGGGATGGGGGGGGGGCTCCGCTTCCCTGAAGAAAGTCTAACGCCCCCCCCCCCGAACAAAATGGAATTTATATAGAGAATATATACTTTTAACAGCGTCCGCCCACTCCCCCCGAAAATTTTAAGTGCCCCCCCCCCCCCCACCGTAGAAAAATTCTGGAAGAAACACTGGTCTAGAATCACTATGGGTGCACCTTGGTGTAAAAAAACTGTAATTATACATCTATCTTGCAATTTTACAAATATAAAAAGAACGCCGTTGTTTTCTCTTGGCTTACTAATGACTTGGGTGGCTAAGCGAGTACTTATTTATGCTCTTCTTCGCGTTAGTGCTTCTCTCGGAAAATTTTGTCGTCCCTTCCCCCCCCCCCCCCCCCCCCCCTCTCCGCCGGAGAAAATAGACTGAAAGACATTGCTTGACTTTTTCTTTTTTAAAACTGCTATAGGAACAAATTAAGCAAATAATTTCGAACGCAATCCACTTATACATATTCAACAAACGCTTTTACAAATGACGTCCAAAATCAAATGATTTATTTACATCGAATTCTTCGGTGTTTTCACGCAAGGGCAACATATTTTGACAAGCTTAGGAAAATTCAGAAACTTTTCCGTAACACAGCTGTAGAGCATCCTCTGTCGTTTGTCATCCTCAGATCTCCGTACGCACCCAGCAATCCCAGAAGGCATTTCGACTACCGCTACCCCAGCGGCCCCACCACTATACAGCGGCAGGGCTTCGCGCCAGACGCCTGCACCCGCGTTGACCCGTCCCACAATTTGGGACACAGCATGGCCGTCGGGGGTATCCAAGTCAATATCCCGCCGCCCAGACAGTATCATCCACCTCCAAATAATACACCAATGGCTGGCTGGCAAGGCTATGCGTCATCGGGTGCTGCGTTTGGCCAAGCCACGCCCCCTAATCAGTACGCAGTTGTTGGTGATATAACACACGGGGGTGATTACGTCATGTCCGGCCGAGCCAATCCAATGGCACGTAACCTGCTGACCACTCCGGACCCGAACTGTGTACGCCCTTACAATCCAGCGCCCTATGTGTGTAGACCAGTTTATAACCGGAAGTATCTGTTAGATTGTCCTACACAAGATGGCCCCCCGGCTGACACTTACACATTTTTATAAGAACACTACATACTACATTTTGTTCACAAGTCAAATGACCGGCAGATATGAAGACGTGAAGAATGTAAGCTTCGCAAATATAAATTAATTTTGGCAGAATTCAAATCCAAAGGGGGGGAAAATAAACATTGAATGCTCAAAAAATATGTCTACCGTTGTTTTTCAAATCTATCTTTTGATTCTCGACAACAACTAGATGTATTTATATTTTCTGACGGCTTCAAAACATTGTCGGGGGGGGGGGGGGGGCGGGGCGTGATGTTTCTTAAATGTCATTAACAAGAATATTTTGGACACTTTTACATTTTTCGCAAACTTAGCAGTTAATTACATTATTTTTTTTTTGTTTCTTCAGTTGTTGTTTTTTTCTGTGTTGCTGCACGGAGAAAATAATCTGGTTTTTAGTTTACATTTATTTTTATCCTTTGCCTGAAATGATATAGCCTAGCTTTCATATCATGCTATCAACCTGGTCGATTGTTCTCTTCAGTAGATGTTCACTCCCGTCAATGAAGTTCTCGACCCAGACGTTTAGCTAATTGTTTCACAGTCGGGGGGGGGGGGGGTTCGCAAAAATAAATTACTGCGCCCAGGTTCACATCTAGCTTACACTTTGTAACTATTTTTTTACTCGCTGAATGTAATATGTTCTATTAATAATTTGTTAAAAAGCATGTTCGTATGCAAACGTTAATTGTTTCATCTGTTATTTTGTTTGTATAATATACCATTAACAAGTGTCCAATGATTCATTGATTTTTGTTAAGTTTACTATCCATTAACACATGCCACATAATTATTAGATGTTTGTCCTCTCCACATTTATTTGGTGCTTACCCATCTTCGCCAATGACTTCATGTTTGTCCTCCCCAACAATGACTTGATGTTTGTCCTCCCCACCAATGACTTGATGTTTGCCCCTCCTCCACACCAATGACTTGATGTTTGTCCTCCCCACCAATGACTTGATGTTTGTCCTCCCCACCAATGACTTGATGTTTGCCCCTCCTCCACACCAATGACTTGATGTTTGTCCTCCCCAACAAATGACTTGATGTTTGTCTTCCCCACCAATGACTTGATGTTTGTCCTCCCCGCCAATGACTTGATGTTTGTCCTCCCCACCAATGACTTGATGTTTGTCCTCCCCACCAATTACTTGATGTTTGTCCTCCCCACCAATTACTTGATGTTTGTCCTCCCCACCAATGACTTGATGTTTGTCCTCCTCACCCACCAATGACTTGATGTTTGTCCTCCCCACCAATAACTTGATGTTTGTCCTCCCCACCAATGACTTGATGTTTGTCCTCCTCACCCACCAATGACTTGATGTTTGTCCTCCCCACCAATGACTTGATGTTTGTCCTCCCCACCAATTACTTGATGTTTGTCCTCCCCACCAATGACTTGATGTTTGTCATCCCCACCAATAACTTGATGTTTGTCCTCCCCACCAATGACTTGATGTTTGTCCTCCCCACCAATAACTTGATGTTTGTCCTCCCCACCAATGACTTGATGTTTGTCCTCCCCACCAATGACTTGATGTTTGTCCTCCTCACCCATCAATGACTTGATGTTTGTCCTCCCCACCAATGACTTGATGTTTGTCCTCCCCACCAATTACTTGATGTTTGTCCTCCCCACCAATGACTTGATGTTTGTCATCCCCACCAATAACTTGATGTTTGTCCTCCCCACCAATGACTTGATGTTTGTCCTCCCCACCAATAACTTGATGTTTGTCCTCCCCACCAATGACTTGATGTTTGTCCTCCTCACCCACCAATGACTTGATGTTTGTCCTCCCCACCAATGACTTGATGTTTGTCCTCCCCACCAATTACTTGATGTTTGTCCTCCCCACCAATGACTTGATGTTTGTCATCCCCACCAATAACTTGATGTTTGTCCTCCCCACCAATGACTTGATGTTTGTCCTCCCCACCAATAACTTGATGTTTGTCCTCCCCACCAATGACTTGATGTTTGTCCTCCCCACCAATGACTTGATGTTTGTCCTCCTCACCCACCAATGACTTGATGTTTGTCCTCCCCACCAATGACTTGATGTTTGTCCTCCCCACCAATTACTTGATGTTTGTCCTCCCCACCAATGACTTGATGTTTGTCATCCCCACCAATAACTTGATGTTTGTCCTCCCCACCAATGACTTGATGTTTGTCCTCCCCACCAATAACTTGATGTTTGTCCTCCCCACCAATGACTTGATGTTTGTCCTCCCCACCAATGACTTGATGTTTGTCCTCATCACCCACCAATGACTTGATGTTTGTCCTCCCCACCAATGACTTGATGTTTGTCCTCCCCACCAATGACTTGATGTTTGTCCTCCCCACCAATAACTTGATGTTTGTCCTCCCCATCAATGACTTGATGTTTGTCCTCCCCACCAATGACTTGATGTTTGTCCTCCCCACCAATTACTTGATGTTTGTCCTCCTCACCCACCAATGACTTGATGTTTGTCCTCCCCACCAATGACTTGATGTTTGTCCTCCCCACCAATGACTTGATGTTTGTCCTCCCCACCAATAACTTGATGTTTGTCCTCCCCACCAATGACTTGATGTTTGTCCTCCCCACCAATGACTTGATGTTTGTCCTCCCCACCAATAACATGATGTTTGTCCTCCCCATCAATGACTTGATGTTTGTCCTCCCCACCAATGACTTGATGTTTGACCTCCCCACCAATGACTTGATGTTTGTCCTCCCCACCAATGACTTGATGTTTGTCCTCCCCACCAATGACTTGATGTTTGTCCTCCCCACCAATGACTTGATGTTTGTCCTCCCCATCAATAACTTGATGTTTGTCCTCCCCACCAATGACTTGATGTTTGTCCTCCCCACCAATGACTTGATGTTTGTCCTCCCCACCAATGACTTGATGTTTGTCCTCCCCACCAATGACTTGATGTTAATCCTCCCTACCAATGACTTGATGTTTGTCCTCCTCACCCACCAATGACTTGATGTTTGTCCTCCCCACCAATGACTTGATGTTTGTCCTCCCCACCAATTACTTGATGTTTGTCCTCCCCACCAATGACTTGATGTTTGTCCTCCCCACCAATGACTTGATGTTTGTCCTCCCCACCAATAACACGATGTTTGTCCTCCCCATCAATGACTTGATGTTTGTCCTCCCCACCAATGACTTGATGTTTGACCTCCCCACCAATGACTTGATGTTTGTCCTCCCCACCAATGACTTGATGTTTGACCTCCCCATCAATGACTTGATGTTTGTCCTCCCCACCAATGACTTGATGTTTGTCCTCCCCACCAATGACTTGATGTTTGTCCTCCCCATCAATAACTTGATGTTTGTCCTCCCCACTAATGACTTGATGTTTGTCCTCCCCACCAATGACTTCATGTTTGTCCTCCCCACCAATGACTTGATGTTTGTCCTCCCCACCAATGACTTGATGTTTGTCCTCCCCACCAATGACTTGATGTTAATCCTCCCTACCAATGACTTGATGTTTGTCCTCCCCACCAATGACTTGATGTTTGTCCTCCCCACCAATGACTTGATGTTTGTCCTCCACACCGATGACTTGATGTTTGTCCTCCCCACCAATGACTTGATGTTAATCCTCCCCACCAATGACTTGATGTTTGTCCTCCACACCGATGACTTGATGTTTGTCCTCCCCACCAATGACTTGATGCTTCCCACCAATGACTTGATGTTTGTCCTCCTCACCAATGACTTGATGTTTGTCCTCCCCACCAATGACTTGATGCTTCCCACCAATGACTTGATGTTTGTCCTCCCCACCAATGACTTGATGTTTGTCCTCCCCACCAATGACTTGATGTTTGTCCTCCCCACCAATGACTTGATGTTAATCCTCCCTACCAATGACTTGATGTTTGTCCTCCCCACCAATGACTTGATGTTTGTCCTCCCCACCAATGACTTGATGTTTGTCCTCCACACCGATGACTTGATGTTTGTCCTCCCCACCAATGACTTGATGTTAATCCTCCCCACCAATGACTTGATGTTTGTCCTCCACACCGATGACTTGATGTTTGTCCTCCCCACCAATGACTTGATGCTTCCCACCAATGACTTGATGTTTGTCCTCCTCACCAATGACTTGATGTTTGTCCTCCCCACCAATGACTTGATGCTTCCCACCAATGACTTGATGTTTGTCCTCCCCACCAATGACTTGATGTTTGTCCTCCCCACCAATGACTTGATGTTTGTCCTCCCCACCAATGACTTGATGTTAATCCTCCCTACCAATGACTTGATGTTTGTCCTCCCCACCAATGACTTGATGTTTGTCCTCCCCACCAATGACTTGATGTTTGTCCTCCCCACCAATGACTTGATGTTAATCCTCCCCACCAATGACTTGATGTTTGTCCTCCACACCGATGACTTGATGTTTGTCCTCCCCACCAATGACTTGATGCTTCCCACCAATGACTTGATGTTTGTCCTCCTCACCAATGACTTGATGTTTGTCCTCCCCACCAATGACTTGATGCTTCCCACCAATGACTTGATGTTTGTCCTCCCCACCAATGACTTGATGTTTGTCCTCCCCACCAATGACTTGATGTTTGTCCTCCCCACCAATGACTTGATGTTAATCCTCCCTACCAATGACTTGATGTTTGTCCTCCCCACCAATGACTTGATGTTTGTCCTCCCCACCAATGACTTGATGTTTGTCCTCCACACCGATGACTTGATGTTTGTCCTCCCCACCAATGACTTGATGTTAATCCTCCCCACCAATGACTTGATGTTTGTCCTCCACACCGATGACTTGATGTTTGTCCTCCCCACCAATGACTTGATGCTTCCCACCAATGACTTGATGTTTGTCCTCCTCACCAATGACTTGATGTTTGTCCTCCCCACCAATGACTTGATGCTTCCCACCAATGACTTGATGTTTGTCCTCCCCACCAATGACTTGATGTTTGTCCTCCCCACCAATGACTTGATGTTTGTCCTCCCCACCAATGACTTGATGTTAATCCTCCCTACCAATGACTTGATGTTTGTCCTCCCCACCAATGACTTGATGTTTGTCCTCCCCACCAATGACTTGATGTTTGTCCTCCACACCGATGACTTGATGTTTGTCCTCCCCACCAATGACTTGATGTTAATCCTCCCCACCAATGACTTGATGTTTGTCCTCCACACCGATGACTTGATGTTTGTCCTCCCCACCAATGACTTGATGCTTCCCACCAATGACTTGATGTTTGTCCTCCTCACCAATGACTTGATGTTTGTCCTCCCCACCAATGACTTGATGCTTCCCACCAATGACTTGATGTTTGTCCTCCCCACCAATGACTTGATGTTTGTCCTCCCCACCAATGACTTGATGTTTGACCTCCCCACCAATGACTTGATGTTTGTCCTCCCCACCAATGACTTGATGTTTGACCTCCCCATCAATGACTTGATGTTTGTCCTCCCCACCAATGACTTGATGTTTGTCCTCCCCACCAATGACTTGATGTTTGTCCTCCCCATCAATGACTTGATGTTTGTCCTCCCCACCAATGACTTGATGTTTGTCCTCCCCATCAATGACTTGATGTTTGTCCTCCCCATCAATAACTTGATGTTTGTCCTCCCCACCAATGACTTGATGTTTGTCCTCCCTACCAATGACTTGATGTTTGTCCTCCCCACCAATGACTTGATGTTTGTCCTCTAACAGATGTCCACCACTGGTCGCGACGAAGCCGTACGACCTCAAGTACATGAGCCCTGGTTGTGCTGACAGGAAACCCACGCCCCATTTCGTCACGCCCTACTTCTACGAACCGACCCCCTTCATCAAATGGCCGTCCACCAGCCCCTACGGACCCAGCGTGCACCGGGACACGTGCAGGAGACCGTTCTCCATTGACCTACTGCCCCAGTGCCCTAATTCCAACACAACCCCAGAACCTAACCTCGCAATGTTTCTTAGCTGCTACGGAAGGCCAACCGATTGAAATACACCATGCCTACCTTTAAATAACATTTTGTTTTTACAAAACATGCATTATCAATAACGGAACAATACGTTAAGACTGTGAAGTATGGACAAAACAACATCAAATCTAGAACATTTGCACAAGTCATTTGTAATGCGCAACGAATACATGATGGCGTTAAAATCATCATTATTGTTTTATTACGTCTTGTTTTATATTTTACATTTTGATATAACACCTCGTTTACACTTGCGACACCTCGTTTACACTTAGCCATAAGTTAATTTTATCAGAACATGTATTGGGGGGGGGGGGGTGGCGTACATTTATTGCGAAGTTTATTTTTCTAGACATGTATAAATAGTATACAGGTCGCAAGTGTAAACGCGCTGTAGCATGTTGACTGACATTGAGTTTTGCAGCTGAATAATCTTTTACCTTTTGTGCTCAAGACACAATTGACCGCTTGCAGCTGAATGGCGGTGTAGATGCATTGGAACTTCCAGACAATTGCTTATGCTCCATGTAACCCTGCCATCAGAGTTTCTTCCAGGCATTTCTTCGTGGGGCTCCGCCCCCCCCCCCCCGAACGAAATGGAATTTATATAGAAAATATATACTTTTATCAGTCCGCCCCCCCTGGAAAATGTTGAACCCCACCCGGAGAAAAAAGTCTGGAAGAAACACTGCCTGCCATAGAAACAAGTCACTCGAATCACGCAGCACATTATTGTAGGGTCTAAGACATATTCCCCCACCCCCGACATTACCCCATAGATAGAATCTCTCCCATGTTACTGCCTTCCGCTCAAGAAACTATGAATACCGTCATGTTACCGTATAAGTGAGAGAACCGGCGTGCTATATAGTGCCAGAATGAAACGTATATCGTGATGCCACATGGTATTCTTTAGAATGCCAAACAGGTAAACCGCAAAGTGTAGGATAAGCTAATGTCTTCAGATAATGTCCTACACCTAATCCTTAGCTTTTTGTAAACCATAGGAATGGGCGAGGGTAATCGACAGAGAAGAATGCTTGTGAGAAGGGGGGGGGGGGTGACAGGTAGGTAGTGTCCAGCTCCCAAATATGACTAGCCATCTACATAGAATCTAACAATCTAACCACCAACTGAACCTGAATACAACCATCGTGCCCATCACCAAAAACAACAAAACTCTACCATCACAATACTGATTCCATAGAGCATAAATTTCCTTCAATTTAGTCAAGATTGTAACATTTCAATCGATTTGAATTTCAAGATTTTAACTTTCCAATTTTTATCAATCAGTTATTTCCCTCATTCAAACTATTAAAAAACATGATTGAATAAGCACAGAAGAGAAACAAAGGATACACCAGTTTGAGTTTGATGTTATTATTCTTTTATTTTAAAACCCTAGCCATGCAAAAGAATACCATAAAACAATCTTTATTTGTCGAGTCAAACCTCTGGGCCAACGTTAATGTTTGAAAAGTGTAAGTCTAGCAAGACTAGTGTTGGTGTGGCGGACTCGGGCGTTTCCCCAGGCACCTGTGACAGACAACAAAATGGTCAGGTTTTAAGTTTTAGTGACTGGACAATGCGGGGACTTTACCGCATAGATCTACTTAAAATCGTGCTTTGGTAGGACGTCAGCAAATCAGAGGGGGGGGGGGCTTCTGAGAGGGAACTAAAACGTGGTTTAGAAATGAAACGCTGCATACATTACATGATACATTTTGTTTAAATGATTTAAAACATGTTTTATTCCTGGTTTTGATGAGAGGGATGGTGGTTGAAGTGTTATTTTTGAAGAAAGGGGTCTGTGTGGCGATTGAGTAAAGAGGAGGGGGTAAAGTCTGTTCAAATGGCGTGATGTCATTTTTTTGAGCTACCCATTTATGGGATTTTTTTCCGTGAATATTTGACTTTAAAAACAGTCTTTCTTCCATGCATCTCTTCGGGAGGAGGTGTAGCAGCCCCTCCTCCGGAAAAACGTCTGGAAAAAAACACTGTTTAAAAATACCACAATAAATTAATCATTCAGCTACGTGTTTACTCATTTAAAAAAAAAAAATCTTGATAACAAGTAAACGCTTTGTTGAAGCTAAGACTAAGGCAATCAAATATCTGATAAAAACGTGGACAACAATAACCAGTACAAATAAAGCTTTAACTTAAGAACTTAAACAGACATTTTTGATAAGCATTATTTGAAATGGTAGTAAATTATTGATTTTCACTTTTGCCTACTGAAGATTTTAGCAATTCTTTTCATTTATGTGAGAACAAATTTTTGTTCACAATAGATTTAACCATAGTAATTTAATTGGTCTACGGGTACCAAAAATTGTCTGCAAAAGTTTTCTTGAAACAGAATCTGTCGTTTGCAAAAAGAACCTTAAGTTTCTCAAACTTCAAACGTACATAGGCTCCTAGTGTGTTTCTTTAAGGGGTCGTCCATAAATAACGTCACGCTTTTTTTGACGATTTTACCCCCCCCCCTCCCCTCACAAAAAGCCAGACCCCCCCCCCCCCCAAATGACGTCACACCTCAAACTACAATCCCCCCCCCCCCCCCCCAAAAAAAAAAAAAAGAAACCCGATATTTTTCCAAAATCGTGTTTGAACTCTGTCAAAAGTGTAACGTCACACCATCTGTACACCCCCCCCCCCTTCCCCTCATCACACACCGTCACAAAATTACGGACCCTCCGACCCCCTTTCCCCCTACGAGTGTGATGTCATTTATGGACGACCCCTAATTAATAAGTAAAATAAAATCTAACACTTAACATATAAAAAACAGGAAACAAATGTTCGTCTTACTCAGCCAGTCAGCACGAACCCCGTAGTCCTCTTCACGCATGTACGATGGTCTTGATTTGGGCACGAACATTTTTCGATCAAACGGGGCGAATAATGCCCGTGGCGAGTTGCTGATAGAGGGAAAATGTTTACACATTGTTATAGTGAGTCGTATCAAGGTTTTTGTTTTTGGCTGGGTACGAGCAATCTGCATCCGCACGTTGGGTCGATGGGGGGGGGGGGGGGGGGGAATTGAACATAAATAGCCCTATATCAGAGGCGTAGCGGGAGGACATATGTCCCCGGACGCTGACCTTAGGGGGGCGCCAAAATGGGTTGGAAAAACAAATTGAAAGTTTGAGGGGGGCTGTGTAAATCAAAAGTTCGAGGGGGGGGGTTGCAAATCGAAAGTTTGAGGGGGGGGGGGGAGTTCAAATCGAAAGTTTGTCCCCGGGCGACGGGAAGGGTCGATACGCCTCTGCCCTATATCTTACGGGAGGTCGAAGGGGACATTCCTGGATTCACCTAGCTCCGAGGGGTACCTAACAACGTGTCGGAGACCGCAAATACGGCTGGGCAGAATGCTGACTAACCCATTTTCGCTTGTGACAAGAACAGAGAAACAGATTAGCTCCACCATTTTCAACCGGAATTATGGCGTCTGGTCTGTATAAGAAGCACCTCCCAGATTATACATTTATCCCCGTCGACTTAACATGTTATCATATTGCCCGCCATCGCGCGAGATTTGATTCCGTTTTTTCTTACGGAAAACTTCCATACGTGTATTTTATACTTTTAACAATGCTACACTTACAAGATGGCCGCCCTTCTAAAGTCATACATATTTGGGTAGTGATGTTCCATTTCTGTGGATTTGAAATAAGGAGAATCTAGGTATGCCGGGATGTCATCAGGCAGGAAAACATTGAATCTTTCATCGTCAGCGGCCATTTTGTCTGGAATAAAAAGATAAGCACCATTACAGTATACAAACACAGGGGGAAAAGCAAAAGGGCACTTGAAATTTTCGGGGGGGGGGGGGGGGAGGACGCTGGTAAAAGAAAATACTTTCTATATAAATATTATAAATTATATTTCGTTCGGGGGGCAGCGCGGTAGATCTAGAGTCGAGATCTAGAGATCTAGATCTATGTCATTCTCCGAAAACACGTGATTTCCTAAATAAACCATCGTTGATACCAAAAGAACTATACTCTCATTTGGTACCTAGGATGCTATAGTTTCAATATAATTTTGCAGCTATTTTTAATTGATGTAGGCTAAATTTAATAAACGTTTGTCTCACCCAGTCTATTTTAATATTTCCTTACAGTGGCACGATGGTATAGCGCACAACAGTGTATTTTACTCCAAAATTGATGTGTCAACTTCTACTTCCGTTTAGCACCGTGTGGACCTATGAAAAACTGTGGACTAACTGTGCATTTTTAACATTACTTTTAGTGTATCATGTTATTTCTCTATGTAGGTTTATTAAAGGGTCATATAAAGTCATATTGCCAACAGCTTTACGTTTTCTATTTTTTTATTGCCTGACTGGCTGTAGGTTGGCGATTTACAGAACGCGTGCCCTAGCCAGCCTCAAATACTTTTCTTCTTCAGTCCAGAGCGTACAGCCCCTTTGCCAGGTGTGACTTTTAGTTTGACTTAACGATTCGGAGAGTCCCGTATTTCCTCAAGCTAGACTTGGGTGACTAGTCTTCCCAATCATTGCCGTGATCGAGGTAGAGAGTATTAGTAGTGCTTATTTCGGCGAACGATAGAGGAAATACGCAACCTGCAAGGACCCTCTGACATCCGGTTGAGGTCAGTTGAGGATATATCCTTTAATGGTTGAGAGGATATAAGCACATCGTTTATTTCCTTGACAGGGTGTGAGAAGAGATAAGCACTTGCGTATTTCCTCTGCCCTTAGCCTAACCCCTAACCCTAACACAACTCCTCGGTAGTCTAAATAGTCCACCTCCCAGTTTACATCATCAGTGGGCAGTAGTAGTTAACTTGCTGTCCTTATCTTTACTGCTAACCCAACTTTCATGGTAACCCACGTTTTAAAAATCAATCTCCATGTCGCTGCTCTGGCTTTTCTTGCTCAGTGTTTTAGTGCACTCTTACATAAAAGATTGTTATTAAAACGTTTTTTTTAAAATGTATTTTTCCCTCTGGGGACTCCAGTCTAGGCAATAGATCGGCGTTTCCTTCATCTCTAGTTGGTCTTTCGTTTGTTCGCTGCCATTGTTGGTAATTGTGTTCAAAGTTTCTTCCAGGCATTTCTTCGGAGGGGGGGGGGGGGGGCTCCGCCCGAAGAAAGTCTATCGCCCCCCGAACGAAATGGAATTTATATATTTAAAATAGAATAGAATCTCGTAGAAAAAAGAATTGCACACCAAGTGAACGCCAAACAAAATGTGTATGATAGTGCGGAATATTATTAGTACTTTATAAATTCACATGCTTTTTTGAGAAATCGGAAATAGCGTAAATTACTACTTCCGGTCAACGGAAATTACTCAAAATTTATCTATCTGAAATAGTACTCAAGTTATAGGCTTTTGAAAAATTGAAAGTAGAAAAAGTTCCACTTCCGGTTATCGGAAATCGCTGAAAGTTGATACAGATCTACAAATTTGATATAATACTTATATATGAAATTTCATCAAACTAGCAGTAACGGTACTCAAGTTATCGTGTTCACAGACAGACAGACAGACACACACACATACACACACAGAGAGAGACATACGGACACGATTGCAAAACTATGTTTTTCCGACTCACAGAGATGTAAAACTTTGAGATTTGCAAAAATCTCGATTTATTTTTGCACGATTACAATACTTTCTCTATACTTCGTATACGAAAAAGTAAAAATGAATCTATATAGGCCTACCTAACCTTGACCAAATTTAATTAATATTTTAGATATTGCTGTATAAAAAGGAAAAATATAATTTGGGATGGGGGGGGGGTGAGCTGAATTGTGACGTCATTTTACTGACCTTTTGTGACGATATGTAATGGGACGGGGAGGGGGCAAAATAATCAAAAAGCGTGACCTCATTTATGGACGATTTATGAGGACGGGGCTTTTGTGTGATAGTGATAAAAAATATGTTTCAGAGTACTATTGAAATTGAAAGTATACTATTGCCATAAGAAGACATAAATTACATGTAACTGGTGCTGGGTGTTTCAGCAATATGTTGGTTTTAGGTTGATGGACGATTTATTTGCATAATTACACATCCGGTCATCCATATATTTGTGTTGTCGTTGTTTCGAGATACAGTTTCAGGTGTTAATGAGTCATAACAAATACCATTTAATTGTTAGGGATTGGATTTATAAAATCTTTAAATTGCACGGATAGTAATAGATCTACTTAGATTATCTAGATCTACATTGGAGCACACATTATGGCTACTTTCCATAAGAATTTGGGTACGTTTTGATCAGAAATTTTTTTGATTTGTATCTCACTGCTGTGTTTTGTTTGTTGGCTGGTGGTTTTTTTTTCTAGTCTAGATAGTAGATACCTAGACTAGGTCTAAATCATGGCAGAAGTTAGGGTAATCCCTTAGTTTAGCGTCGGTTATTATTCCGGAATCGTATAGCAGTAAAAAACAGTAAAACAATGCCAAAGTCTGTCACACACTTCCGGAATTCACCGGAAGTACTGTAAACTATACTTTATTTGGTGTCATCTTTTATTTTTATACAGAATGTTTGAAATTTAGATAGATTTATTTTTGTAATCATTTTTACATTTTGTAATCATTTTTACTATTTTCGTAATCTAGATTTTTTTACTTGGCCTAGCAGCTAGATATCTAGCTAGATCTAGATCTAATTCTAATTAATTAATGGTCGCAAATCCGCTGCAAGCCAAAAACATTAAATTTTTACATTTGACTTCATTATTTATATATTAAAATAATTTTTTTTTGAATTTTTAGATCTATTAATTTAAATCTACTATTATATTTATTCTTGTTTCCTTTTTTCGATTAAACTTAAAAAAAATTAAAACATTAATTTACTACAATCGACTTTCAATTTATTTATATTTCAATGGTCAAATAAACGAGAGTTTACCGTAACTCTATTTACCGAAACTCAACAAACATTACCCGATAATTTCCGACGCTAAACTAAGGGATTACCGAAGTTAGATCTAGATTTAGGTCTGAATCTAGATATCTAGATTAAGAAAATCTTGACTAGAGTTTGGTATATTTTCTTTTGCTAGCTCATTGAATGGTCTGTGCTTTTACTTTAAAAAAATTACTTTTGTTTTCTAGAAAAAGCAACAAGCCAGCTATTGTTGGAGCCAGACTGGGATTCAGTTTTGCAGATTGTTGATTGTATAAGACAGGGAGATGTTCAGTAAGTGGTTTAAGTTAGCGCAATTTAAGGGCCAAGGCACATTTATTCATCTGTTGTGTGAAGTTCTTGTAACTTTATATAGGCAGTTTGATGAAAAATTAAAAAGAAAATTTTTTAAAAAAAAAGTATCAGTAATAGCTAGGACAATGGTAAACTAAGTCAATTTAGCATATATAAACTTTCTGTGCAAAGTCATTATGACTGAAAAAAAATTCCAAAGTCATGGGTCCAAGTGGCATAGCTAATGAAGAAAAAACTCCTAGACCTGTGACCTGATTTCATGAGTGGATATCTGGATTAATTTTTAACATTTTTCAATGAAACTTAACAGAAGCATATTAAAATAGCTTAGAAATGATTGTAGATAGCTAAAAGTAACCAAGATTGATTAATAACTTAAAAAAAAATATTAATGAATAAGGTTGGCAGATATTGGTAACACAAAAAATTAGCCTTATAGTTCTAATTTTAAAATCATCCATATTTATTATTTTAATTACTTAGACTGTGCACACTTATTATTTAGGCAGTTTACAATGGGAGTCAGTATTTGAAGATCTAAAGTAGGATCTATTTTATGAAATTATGTGTGACATTTAATGGGCGTTTCCTTTCTATAGAAACTAAAAATCTTAAATGAAGCTATGTTCTAAAGCACACTAAATTGACTACATATTTTCTTTAGGCACAGAACAGTCTGCCTAAAGATAAGACATACTATATCAGATTAGATTTAAGCAATTGTGACTGTCCCCTTCTCTCTTTTTCATCCTTGATTTGGGACCAGGTTATGTCGGAGTTACACAACACAATACATACAGGCATAATAACAAACTAGTTTTACAATCATCAAATAAGCCTATGTAATATGTATGTACATATGTACACAAACAAGACAATAAATTGTAATTAATGTACTTGTCAATAAGTTTGAAAAAGATATATACAACACAGACGACAAGTAACAAGTAAATTCTTTAAAAATCAAATGTTATATGTACACATTTACACATGCAAGACAATAAAATTGTAAATAATGTACCTGTCATTGAAGTTGAAAAATTGAAAATAAAAAAATATACATGACCCACCAGTTTTGTGTTTTTTTAACAGTGTACAAATATTGACTTTAGATTGACTTAGTGTTCAGAATCAGTGCGATGTATTGATTTTTTTTGTATTGCAATACCAAACATACATCTCAATTCATATTGTTTAAACTCCTGATGGTTTTAGCCAGACAAATTACTTCTGACAATGTAACATGTCAGTGGTGTATTGACAAATTCTGACTATGATGTTCAGAATCAATGTGTTATGGTGTAGGACATAATTCACATTTTCCAATTGTAAACTTCAGCCATCTGACAATGTAAATATGTCTGTGGTGTATATTATATTGAATGGCAAAACTGACTCTGATGTTCAGAATCAATGTAATATAGAATAGGACATAATTAACATTTTGTGAGAAAAAAAAGATTGACAAAATTTAATAATACTGAATATCTATATATATAATTCTCTTCTTCGAGCCGTTAGAAAACAAGCTGCAAACGCGCCTTACAATCCCCTCTCTTCCTCTCTGTCGCTATCACTACCACCCCCACCCCAACCCCACATGATCTGGTGAGCTGTAGTCACGTTAATGTTTACAAATCGTAGACGGGTTTAGTGACGGCTATCAGGGGCAAATAATTTAGTTTGAAATGATTTTAAACTTACAGGAGGTTACTAAGAGGAGGCTGCTTTCACGGGGGGGGGGGGTGTAGGGTAGGGGTTGGGGGAAAGGGAGGGGTGTTAGTGTTTTAAAGCAAATATTTTCAATGGCAGCATTGGTACTGTCGAATTCACAAATTATGAATTACTGAAAAGTAGAAAATAAAACAACTAAATAGCTGCGTATGATACGCCACGGGGCGGCTCGTTATCTATAAAAGACATCATAATTACACTCACCAACCACTAATGTCTCAAAACCACCACCAAAAATCTCACAAAGTCCCACCCCCGACAAAAAACACAATTTCCCAAAAGAATGACAAAATAACGTACTATGTGACATTTTTTAAGCCCCCACCCGCCCCACCCCCTTCCTGAAGACGGCCCGTGCCATGATCATATTTTGTCAGAAACAATTAGCAAATTATTAATAAAGGTATGAATTACTCAAGTAATAATAATATAAGAACTGTTTGAAGTGGTATTTAATAAACTAACTAAGAATTATGATGACTATTATGAGTTCTTGGCATCTAACTAAGGCATCTGCCCTGCATTCCTAACTAGAACAGCACTTAAAGGTCAAGGACACACTCAGTCACACACCATAAACAAAAAAAAACTGTCGATATATTAACAATCCAGTTTTAAAATAAGTAAATAAAACATATCTGTCTCTTAATGGCTAAGTTATCAAAACTTTATTTCAAATTGTAAGCGCGAATAAAGTTTTTTTCATTCAAGTTAAGTGTTTTTCACTCTAACAGTCCGTCAATGCCAACCCCACCCCTTCACCTCTTCCGGAATCGGCAATTAGATTATTATAAAATGGCGTCTTAAAAAAAAAAGAGGGTTGGCCACTTACAGAAGCAAATGTATTGTTTTCAGCCTAATTTCATTAAACAAATCTAGTTTTATTTGATAGTAAAGATGTTATAAAAATTGGGTCTAATAAAAAAGTTATTGGGTAACGCACCTGCTTTAAATAATTCGACTTGAAACACAAGCTAAATAAGCGTGACTTTCTCTCGACGGCCTCGTGAAAGACAAAGGAAGAAATTAGGTCAAGCTGCCATTATTAAAATGTTAATTATTCGCCCTGTAAATACATGGGAAGTTTCGAGTACAAATCTTTCCGATTACGATACAATCCTTATTTTTAACTATTATGTACTTCATGAGAAAGAAAAGATTCGATATTTTATATGTCCGCCCAAAACACGGGTGCTTCAAAACCGCGAGAACGAGACTTCCCGAATCGAAAAACCTACTTTATACTTTTGGTTTCAGGTCATCAGATGTCAGTTTTTAACTTGTTCATATAGTGGCCTATAGTACTATAGTTTAAAATAGTTGTCATAATTAATTATTTATATTGGCTATTTCAGGGTTAAAGTAGCTTTGCTTGCCATTAAAAAGAAGATTGGGCATGAAAATCCACATGTTGCAGTGTTTGCTTTACAGGTATGTGAACACAATTTTAATTTACTGAATCAGTGTAAATGTCAGTATGGCCAAGTCTGTAAAAGCTCATGGTTGCTAAACCAAAAAGTCTTGAGTTCGGACCCTCAGACAGAGGAGGCTTGTTAGCTGCGGCAGCCACTCTTCTAGGAGAGGCAACTCCAAAATCAAACAACTGCTGTCTTGTAGTTTGTTCTTGGTTGGATAAAGGCTATGGAAGCAAATCCAAATAGAGAAGCAGGCTGAAATCGTAGTCAATGGCCTCAATGGCGCATACCCAGTTGACATGTATACTTGATTTTGTTGGAAGGGATCCCTTCCAACACTAAAATTAAGAACGAAGAAGAAGAAGTAGAGTGTAAATGTACAATGGTCTGGTATACAACACTGTATTACAAAATATAAAACAAAGCTGCCTATGTCACTATTGTCCCTCATTTCTCAACTCCACAACTTTTATTTAACCATGTTACATCTGTTCTTTTCTTTTATCTCATTGTTTTGATATACATTTTTCATTGACATTAGGTCTTGGAAGCTTGTGTTAAGAATTGTGGATCAACATTCCATACTGAATTGGCCACAAAAGAATTCATGGAATTTCTTAAAGATCAAGTAAAGGTGAGTTAATTTAAGTATATTTTATTTGATTTTCTTATGTATCACCAATACATGCTAGCTTCTATTCAAGTGTTAAAGTTTAGCCCAGACAAGCATACATTTTTCATGTTTTCATCACAATTTTTCTTCTATTCTGCTAATTAAACGAATAAAGCTATCTGATATTTGGTTGATAAAAAGAATTTTAAACATTTTACTTAGCCATAAAACTCTTATTTTAACTTTGCTGTGAAAGCCACAACACAGTTTAAATTGAAGTTGCTTTACATCATGTTTAGGTAGTAAGAGTTAAACAAGACCCAGTAAGTCTCTCATGGTCTCATGCTTTATCTCTAATTAGTCATTTTTTTACCCTTGTTAACTTACTTATTCTGCTTTGCTCCCTTTGAGACGTATTTATAGCAGCTAGCTTACATTCATTAACTTTGCCATCAACGACTGACAGTTAAATAGTCTTAATACAGTTTGTTAAAATATCACTGAATTGTGTGCTCTTTTCTTTTAAAGTTTGAAATTTTAGTTGCAACATAAATACTTATAAAGTAAAGCATAAGGTGGAAGAAAAACTAAACATATCATATTGTTTGTGAGACCTAACCACAGGTCTAAATCTACTATTAACTGGGTTTTAAGTCTGCTGCCTTTTAAGGAGACCATGATAAGGTTTACTGGTGGCAAATTGTGTGTGTATGAGATTATGAAATTGTAAAACTTTTAACAAAATTTACTTTTTAAATTCTTTTCTTGTATTCCTTGCCATAACCTTTGAACATTGACAAAAAATCAATTTAGTTATTTTTTGAGGCATTGAAGTATTTGTTTCATGCTTGGTAAAAATTTCCTTCTTATAACTATCACCCATTTAAACAGAATAGATGTAGATAATTACTTTAACTTCCATGCACTGAAATTTATACTATTAACTGTATATTAGATGTAATTGCATTAATTGAGGTGTGTTTTTTACTAACTAGATTTTTCTTGCTGCACATCAATAACAGTTTGGGTTATATAAGACTTAGATAAAATGCAGATTATTTATTTCAATGCATGTCAATATTTCATTTTACTCTAAAATTTCTGTGTATTGTGACCAAATAGAAATCTAAACATCAATATCTCCTTGATGCTGCTTTCTCAATCTTGTAATTTAAAAAGCTACCACTAAAAGCCCTTTTAAGCATTTCACTTTATTTTTTTTTACCTATTCCCCCATGACATACTTTTATAACAAAATTGTAAAACACAAGAGAGAAGTTTTATATAGGATATTCTATTTCATTTGATAGTAGTTTAGATTTATTATAATTATTTAAAAAATTGAAATTGTTAATTCATTACTTGTATGAATATGATTTAATAATAACATTAATAACTTTTTTACAAGTTTGCAAGGCCAAAGCATTAAACTGTTAGTTTGAGTATTACTGCTAATAAAATAGATTTTTTTAAAATGTTTAAAACTTTTACATTTTTAGTAATATTAAACAAAACTTTGAGTACATACTTTTTTTCTACAGTAGTAATGTGTAGAATAGTTAAACTAGCATATATTTTTGTTGTAAAATAATTACTGCAAGGTGAATGCTGAATAGTCAACTAAAATATTTTTGAAAATTTAATCAATAAAAAACGTGTCCCTTTATAGAGTAGACCTGATCCTGTCAAGGAGAAAATCTTAGAACTTATACAGACATGGTCACATGCTTTCCGCAATGAGCCACATTATAAAGCTGTTGAAGATACTTTTCATCTCTTGAAAATGGAAGGTTAGCTTACATTTTTGCTGTTTTGTTACTTTATATTATTTTTTAAATAGCTATTCTTCATTGTTAAAATATTGTCAAAATCTTTATTTGTGTCCTTTGACAACTTACAGAACATTGTTTGCTAACATCTAATCAGCATAAAATTAAATGAAATGATTTTACTTAAGATAATGGTTAATGTGACAGGAGATGGTAGTTGCAGTAAGGTATATAATAGTTTTCAAAAAACCAAAAGATAGAAATCTAACTGTGACTGTAGTTGTGAGGTTACTAATACTTTATATAGTTTGTGTTCAGCTTAAACTTTATTAACACCCATTACATAAACAGGTCACAAGTTTCCAGCATTAAAAGAAGCTGATGCAATGTTTGATGCTGAAAAAGCTCCATCATGGAAAGACAGTGAAACATGCACCAGATGCCGAGTCCAGTTTAATGTTATACAGAGAAAGGTCAGTTGCATTTTTTTTCTCTTGTTGCTTATAGATGTTTAATTTAGTTTTACTAATTTAAAATTGGAACTACATAGCCTTGATTCACTAAATAAAAACAACCACTTAATAAAAAAAAAATGCTGCATTCTTTTTTTAGCATCATTGTCGGAACTGTGGTGAAGTCTTTTGTGGGAAGTGTTCTTCAAAAACATCAATCATACCAAAGCTTGGCTTTGAACGTGAAGTCAGAGTGTGTGATTCTTGCTTTGAAAAGATTAACAAGTGAGTCTGTTTATTTAATGGTGCTTGTTTGCCTTCTTCCTAGCATAGATTTATATTTGTCCCTACTTATATTAACCATTTTACAGTTAGGTGTAAACTATTATACATTCAGGAAGGGTTATTATTCAAATAACCACATTGGTTGTTTACGTGTATAAAAATCTCTAGAAAAATATTTAAACGAGAAGCCAGTACATGGATATTTTCTAACCACTGGATAAAGTGTTTGGCATCAAATAAACCTACAATTAGTTCAGCTTGATTTCAATCACTGATAAAAAATTATTCCAAAAAGTCAAATGGGGTAAGGAAGAATTGGTAAGAAATTGACTGTTGAAAAAGTCAATGTGTCAATGCCTCTTTTTCATGCACAATTGTAGGAAGCAGAAGGGGAAGAAGGCAAAGAGGTGAGAGGTTTCCTTTCATTATGTTAGCTGTTAACAGAGACAAATAGTTCTTTCTTCTTTATTTTACATTGAGGTGATACTTTCACAATGTCAATATTTGTCACTGTGCTACAGTTCTGCTCGTCTGTATTGTCTGCCTGGCTCTAGGCCAGGGATGAACTTGTGAGAAGCATGTCAAATGTCTAGACAGTAGTTTATTTTTTCGACATTTTGAAACTATGATTATGTTCATGGTGTAGAACTGGGTGTGATATTTTTTTTACTATTTGTTCAAAACATTTTATTAGTTGTTGTGTAGAATTTAAAATTTAAATACATTTTTTATGCTTTCTTGAGAAGTTATATTTTAATGTAAACATATGAAAATGTGTGGGTTTTTTAAAATAATGCATTACTTCATTAAACCAGTCCTAATGGTTGTCCTGTAGAAGGATAAAATAAAAAGTGAGGTTAATTTCAAAACAAATAATTTTCTTTAATGTTATTAATATGAGAAATCAGTTTTGCTAACCAAAATCTCCTGAATATATTTTTCTCTGAGTTTACATTTTCTCTTTTGCTAGATGTCTCTCTACATGAGTACATTTTCTGCTGTGTTAAATCAACTGAATTAATTTTTTTTTTCAGACCTGGGCAAAAGAAAGATGATGAGCTGCCTGCAGAATATTTAGCCAGTCCTCTATCAAAGCAGTCCCAAGTGAGTTGTCTCCAATTGTCACCACATGTTTTTTTTTTAATTTATCTTTCCTTGGATCAGTGTCAAAAGAAGTGTTTTGATAGAAGATAGTGCATTTACTATTGTGACTCAGTAAACCTTTGATAGTGACAAACCCTTAGTATTATATTCCTAACTTGTACTTCTCTGTTGATCCTAGCTGTTGTCTTGTTGTTTTTCTTTGGCCCATGCACAGGTGCCACCGAGCAAGACGGACCAAGAACAACAAGAAGAGGAAGAGCTGATGTTAGCCATTGCTTTGTCTAAGTCAGAACATGAGACAAAGGAGAAAGAGGTGAACATTTTTAGTTTTTTGTTTAATGTTTTTGGTGATAATTTAAAAAAAACAACACTTTTTAATGTTCTTTAAATGTAATTTTTTTACTTAAAAAAGTAATTTCAATTTGCAATTTAAATGTAGAGAGAACGCCTGCGCTCAAATTATGGAGTGTATGGAGGTGGAAAGACAGCAAATGAAAGACCCACTTCACCTGCTAAAGCAACTGTCATTCAAGCTGTAAGTTGACATGATTAAATACTAACTAGTTAACACATTATAACACTTGTCTTATTACTCTTTAAATAAAGATATAAACTTACAAAAGTTTTTCTAAGAATCTGAACCTCAGTGTTGATATTTATAAAGCAGTGAACTTTTTCTTATTGTTCGTTTCAAACCTCTGGAATATTTTAATTATTTCTGAATTGCCTCCATTAATTTACATTTGGCAGCCACTGGACACATCTGACATGGACCCAGAACTTGCACGTTACTTAAACAGACACTACTGGCAGCAGAAGTCTGAAACTCAGGCAGTGCAGCTGCAGACAGCAACAACAGTGCCATCAGCACCTGCTGCCAACAATGAGGCCAGAGTGAGCACAGGACAGATAAATGAGGTCAGTAACACTTTAGAGGATTCTTTAAGTAGTTGATTACAAAATTTTGCTACGGAAAGTATAGTATTAAAAGTTTAACAAAATTCAAAGGGAGGTCACTCTAATATAATACACACTCTAATCCTTTTTGTGGTGAAATTATATTTTTCTGAACAGGCTCCCCAGGTGGTATCCTCTCACCTTTACCAAAATGGAGACACTGATGATGGACAGGAACAGTTTCTTTCAGCCCTGCAGGGGTCACTAGAGATTTTTGTTAACAGAATGAGAAGCAACTCACAGCGTGGGCGACCTATAGCCAATGACTCAGCTGTCCAGTCACTTTTTGCTGTGATCAGTGAGATGCACCCTCAGCTTATGACCCACATCCAGGAGAGAGAAGATGAGAGAGGTAGTTTTTAAATCTCTTTGTCGTTTTAACTCCTGTTAAAAAAATCTTATCATTGTCATTGGTGTACACAGGTTAAACTGAACTTTAGAAGCTTTAAGCATGCTTCAATATAGAAGCATTTTATTAGGGGTGAATGCCCCTTTGTTCTAAAATTCTACTATTTTATTAACAATTTACAAAATTTAAACATGTAAACGTGTGGCAAAACTGTATACACAGCTGTTTTTATAGTTTCTACAATTAAAATTACCAAAACTAAACCTTTCTGTACAGCTTTCTCATTATTTTCGTAGCAAAATTAATTGATGAAAATTATTTTTTTCCAAAACAAGTTAGCTGACTAATGCAGTGTACATTCATGTCTATCACAATCATGTGCGATTTTAACACATGAACAACCTTACATAATAAGATGCTTTATTAGACAGTACATTAACAATTAAAAGGATCTTAATGGAGTCAGGTTTATTAAGAACAATGTTGTGTATTTTTAGCATACTATGAAGGGCTACAAGATAAGCTAACACAGTTGCGTGATGCAAGAGAGGCATTAGACTCCCTGAGGGAAGAATACAAAGAGAAGCGTAGGAGAGAAGCCGAAGAGTTGGAGAGATTGCGACAAATACAGATGATGCAGAAATTGGAAGTCATGAGACAGAAAAAACATGTAATTATGGCCCCTGTTCTATTATTAATCTTTTGTCACCAAACAGAAAAAAACTTTTTACTGTGGTCCGTGTTATATTTGATTATTTATCTGGAAAATCATGTGACAAAAAAATCCTTTATCTTTATGCCATTATTAATCTTTAGCCTGTAAAAAATACAATGTAGAGTGTTAGCTAAATACATAATTAACACATATAACACATAACACATTTTATGTCAATGTATCCAGGAATATTTGGAGATGCAACGCCAGCTTGCTTTACAAAGACTTCAGGAACAAGAGAGAGAGATGGCAGCTAGATTAGAACAGCAAAAGCATTTGACGCACATAAGACAAATGCAAACTTTTGGATACCCTCAGGTTTGTTTCTGTTAGTTTCATTAAAAGTAGTCATAAAAATTTTTTTCCTGAGGTTACAGTGCTAAATAATTTATGAAATGATTGAATACAATGTAATTTAATTTTTTAAAATCATTGTGTTAAACAGATAATGGTTCAACACTACGTTTGAAGTATAATTGTTTTATCTAGTGTAAAAAAAAATTTTCAACTGTAAAATGTTAATGCAGAGCTACACACAACCAATGATGAGTCAGGCAGGGATGGTACAAAATGGTGCAATGGGACCACATAGTTATACACAAGGTGGGGGATCAAACGAAGGCTCACCTGTGCATAGAGTTACAGGTGCTCCTGATGGTTTTAACAACATGCAACAGGTAAGGTTATTATTGACAATTATTGTCTGCTCAACCCATTTTTTTTTGTTACTTGTTTTAATCTTCTGATAAAAATTACACCTCTATGGGAGGCTTTTATAGTTTAGAATTTTAGCATTTTAACTTATTTATGAATATTTCTAGAGTGCATTATTGCTGGAACACAACATCTTTAGTGTAATTATTAATTCACATACACTTCCTAAACTAGAATAATGTTACTACATACATTTCTTTAAAAGACATCATATAATAAATACTACTGAAGACAAGCAAATTAGTTCATTTAGACTGCTACATGTTTTAGTTAATAATCTAGGCTGGTCCAGCTTATACTTGAAATGTCTCCCAAGCAAATATTTTTATTTGTAGGGTCTGGGGCCTCAGTCTCTCCCTCCTCATATAACCCAAGCTCAGGCTGGTATGTACCACATGGGAGGTCAGTATGTCAACCCAGGTCCTGGTAGTTTGCCACCTGGTGGATATCAAACAGATGGCCAGGTGATGATGGGACCCCAAAGTTATATACAGGTAACAATGCTTTCTATTTGCTCAACCTTTTATGTAGTTCTATTATCGATGGTGAGTTATGTTCAGCATGTGAAATTATTTTTCTGCTTGTCAAGGTTAGTGTCAAGGCAGAACTACCAGTGATATCTTGCTTTTGTAACTTTATAGATTTATGTCAATTGAGATTTACTTTCTGCATGATTTTCAATGCTTGTTTGTTCATTAATTAACTTAGCATAGAGTATTTATGGTCATGGTTCAAGTGATGTTCTATATCTACAGGGAGATCAAGGCCCTGTGAGTTTACCACCAAACTCAATGGTAGGCCACATGTCAGCAGCAGGCATGGGTAAGTTTTATTTCACCAAGTGGCTACACTAAAACGCAAATCCTTACATGATCAAAGTCAGCCAGCAGTGAAACATCTTTTCTATTTTCTAGGTGGTTATGGTGGCATGGCTAGTCAGGTAACTGCAGGTGGTGTCCACCATTCGAACCCCACAATGTTAGGTGTAGATGGTCAGGCAGGTTATGGCGCTGGACCAGCCCCATCACAAGATTTTCAGTCTTTCAACATGCAAGGTAACATTCTTTTGTTTTCAGACTTTTTTTATTTTAAATTAAGAATTTGTTTTATTTTTTCAAAATAAAAATTTGAAACATGATCATCTTTCCTGCCAGGGTTAGCCACAGCATTGCCATCCCACCAGAACCCAGGCATGTACAGCAACCCACCTCAGTCCCAGCAACAGTACATCCCACAAGGCCAGCAGCAGTACCAGCAACAGCAACCCTACATTGTGTCGTACCAACAGGGTGGCCAGCCTCCATCAGTCAACAAAGAGAAGCCGTTAATATCATTTGATGATTAAATTCTGTCACTGGAGGTGAAATGTTATATGTGATAGAAACATTTGATTTACATATAGATCAAGTTATTGTACAAATTTAATTTGTTTCCAATCATCTGTTTTGACATGAGAGTATTTTATTACTAGGATAACTTTTGAGTATTTATTTATACTTCTGTAGAAATATTTCTCTTTAGGTGTATGGTCAATATGCAACCATTATTATTTTTCAACATTGGTATTTGGTTTTTAAAAGAAAACAAGGCTGTCCAGTTAATTTTTTAAAATTTTTATTATGGTTGTTTTTAAATCCAGGTTCTAACCACCTGATATTTGTAATGATGGTCCTAAGTAAAAGGTAGCTTTGTGAATATTGCACTGTTTGATGTAGTGATCCCTGTATCAATGTTTTATAATGGATGTATAAACCATCTGTAACTTGCACAATTTTTCCGAGAAATAAAATCTATTTTCATGTTTTATTGATATCAATAGAACATTTAAATGTTGCGTGGAACATTTGTGTTTCATCTTTGCTCATACACCTGCATGTTGCAATATGTTTCTTAACATCAAAATCCTAACAAACAAAAATTAATTGTATGCATTTAGTATCTGATGAGAACAGTTATTTTCTCTTAGGGTTTATATTTTACATACAGAAAGATTACTTCTATACATCAGGCATTGCTAGGATTTTTTTCTGCAGGCAGTGCTTGCAGGTTGCTACTAAAGTTACAATACCTACAGTATAATTTTAAATAAAATACAACCTCAGTCAATTCTAAGTTAATTTTGTTTGGGTTGTAAATATTTACCTTCTGCAGGTCCTTTATGAATTGGTAATATATGTAGAAAAATGTGGATAGTAATCCAGGAGAAAAATGTATACTCCATATTAATAACTAATAAAATTCATTTATAAAATGTTGACATTTGTGGGTTTGTTTTAATAAAGTTTTATTCAATATCTTAATAAAACTTTACATTCTACATTATACAAAAGACTAAAATTTTAAAAATATTTAACAACCAATGGCTTAAAAGATCGTTACAATCAAGCTTCCTGTTTCAACTAAGAATGAATTGCAGCACAATTAGATTGCCTTGCTAAATAAAATTTATTGCTTTTCAGTCTAGCATATAAACTTCAAGCCACTAAATCTAGTTCACTTTTTAATTCATTTACTACCGCCAGCTTGGTATTGCATGGCTACGCAACTTTTGTCATATGCAGTACTACAGAAACAGGTGAACTCTACTCCATCTACCATAATGACCAACAGTCAGATATGGTAATTGTGAACAATGCAGACGGCTGTTGTAATGGGAGAGGTATCACTTATGTAAATAGCTGAACTTGCTTAATTAAGTTTGTACTTTATTTGACAACAGTTTAACTAATACATATCAATTGGCACATGGTGGTCGGTATACATTTTAGTATGCTGAAGTATTTTAGTTCTGAAGTGAATTATCAAGATTGTATGTATGAAACTAAAATTGATACAGTGTATTTACTGACAAAGAATAGTTTGAAATATCTGTTGTGGTATTCCACCTAAGAGCCATCTTTTAATATCTTGTTTTAGCTGGTTTTTCTAAAGATGACACACTTGTTATTTGCTGGCATATCTACCTGTAAAATAAAATTGAAGCTTAACATTGACTCTTCATCATCAGTCAGTTTTATCAAGTTGTAGAAATTACTCAAACTTTGAGCAATTTATTAAAAGGATAAATTAATACAAGTTTAAGGTGATGTTTAATTTCATTTTTCATTTGCATCAGAATATAACAGGTTAGACCAGCAAGAAAAGTTTCTAAAAACTGACCAATCAACTGTAATTGAATAAGTGTTATGATTTTAAAGTTGAATATTTAAGTCCTTTTAAGTATAGTTTGAGCTTTATTTTTATAAGGAATAGGTCATACACTTATAATTGGTCAGTTTTTGTGAAGTGACCAGACCATGAACGTTTTTTAACCAGACTCAGTTCAATACAATTTATGCTTCTCTAATGTATTGCAGTATCACACAATTATTGTAGGCTATTGGTAGTAGCTTAACATGGCTAATATAATTTTCTGTTACTTTAAAATAATTCAGATATATAGTTTTTTTTTTTAAATTCACCATCAACAAAGATGGACAAAGTATCTAGATATATTTTATAAATGTAAGCCTACAACAGTAAAGAGCCTGTGAGTTCACAATAGTTTAGAAATCAGTAGGCCTTTTGAGCATACATGAACAATTGAATTTCAAGATGGCTGATGACACCACTTTTATTTTCCCCCAAACTAAGCAGTATCAAACATGTTCTTGGGGTCGCTTTGAGTGATCATAAGCAGAGTTTCTTCCAGGCATCTCTTCGGGGGGGCGAAGCCCCCCCGAAAAATTTTTACCGCCCCCCCCCCCCCCCCCGAACGAAATGAATTTTATATAATTTATATAGAAAATATATACTTTTAACAGTGTCCGCCCCCCCGAAGAAAGTTTACCGCCCCCCCGAAGATTTCAAGTGCCCCCCCGGAGAAAAAAGTCTGGAAGAAACACTGATCATAAGCTTAAAAATCAGCTACACTTGCTACAAGGAGTGTCAGGTTAGTCTAGTCCTGGCGGACTACAGTGCATGTGAGATAATGGTGAGGATGTACGGTTTGGGATATGTACATTTCTTTTATGATACTGCAACACTTTAGAGTATTTCCCCCCAATTATTTTGTTGTTGTGAAAATAAGTAACTGAAAAATATGGAATAATTCTGACTGAAAAATTAAAAAAAAAATTCAAATTCACATCCAGAACATATTAAATATCAGACAAAATACCAACCATTTTTTCTAGGCAAAGATTGTTGTCTTTAGCTAATTTTTCAAGATCTACAATATCTCTCACACCCCAGCTAGGGTTTCTGTAAATGATGATAAAAATACAGAATATGTAAAAAAAAATATGCATTTTTCTTCACTATTAATTGCTTGTTTACATGATATTACAAAAATATATATAACTGCCAAATGTATTGTGTAAACATGAGCTGCTGCATCTGGACAATAAAGGCAGCAATGTTTACTTACTGAGCTATCAGCTGTTGATTAAACCGCACATTGCTCTCTGGAGTTAACACACCGTTTACCTTATAAGGCTGAAAGAAAAAATGCTTTAGTAAATATTTACAAATATTACTTGATAATCATAAAGAAAATTAAACATTCCTAGAATTATTTATATAAATAGGTGGACACTTGAGTTTGAGTAAAAAAAAAGTAACTTACCCCATACATAAACAAAACACCTTTGTCTTTGAGTAAATACCCAGAAGCCTTAAAGAGACCCTAAGATTGATAGAAAAATAATTTTTACCATTAATATTCTGCAACAAACAAGATTATATTCCAAAATATTGTGTACTATTTAGGCATTAGATCGAATACTAATTCAATTTTATTCTGTCTCCTAAAAATTTATTTTTAACGCTTAACATAAGGATAAACTACATAACCAAAATTAAATTAAGATCAACATTATAGGATTCTAATGGATCAATATTAAAAAGAATGATTAAAACAAAGTTAAGAGACTGTACCACTGCTGATTCCCATGGAGATATGTGGATCATGTTGCTATTTAAAATAACATCCCAAGAGGATGGCTCAAACTTTCCCCCTGGCCATTGGTCTATTGGCTTGGTAACATCTATCTCAACTGGTTGTAAAACATTGGTTAGTTTTTTGTTTTCAATGTATGCAGTTATACTAAAAAAAGAATGTCATTCAGATAAATGGTGTGTAACACAAATTTAGGTTAAAACAACATTCAAAAAGATTAACAATTTTTTTAAACTTATTTATTTACATTTATTAAGTATCCCATCAATTCTAAAATTGTATCTGTTTAAAAGGATTTTAAAATCATCTTTGGATAGCTGAGTCAATGTTGCATACATTTGTTATTGTCCATTTGGATAAAAATGTTTACCTTGAAACACAATTTCTGTCGATATCACTAGGTTGAAACAAGACATGCTGAAAGTGAGCAGCAAAATGTGCTATGTGTTGCCCTGTGCCAGAAGCAATTTCCAAAACTCTGCCAGTTTGGTTAATGGGTGGTAGATAACCTTGCAAAACATCTAAAGGAATAATTTAGTTGGTGTTTTTTATATTTTGAAGCCACTTTCCAGGTTACATTTTATTAATGGAATACATTATTTATAACAATGTTACAAATATTCAATATTGAATAAAATAAGGGCTTATACTAAATATACTAAATATTTTAGTTAAATTTGTTGAATTTTTAAAAATATGACAAGATTTTAAACAATGTAACGTTGATAAAATGCTTAAAACTTATGTATTTTTAAGAATGTACACATAGCAATACAATATTCTTTCAACATTGTATCTTCTGCAAGTATCACATATTCGGTTTGGGCAGGGTTAGGTAGAAATACTAGCAAAAATTGTATCTGATGCCCCATTTAGCTATCTCAGAGGTACCAAAATATGTTTACCGAAAATGCATAACTTACAAACAAATTGATAATAGAAAAATGTTACCCTAATACTGATAGTTATTGGCTACATTCAAATAGTAGAGCTATCTTGAGTACAAAATAACCCCACCTATTATTTGCATTTTTACAACTATAATTTACAGTGATGAAAACAAAATACTTTTCTCACCAAGAATAGGCTGTTTATTCCTGTCTGCAGCACCAGCAACTAACATTTTATTTCTTATACGTTTTGACCTGCAACACTGTAGACATTTGTATTATTCAATCATTATAGTATACTAACCTAAAGCATTTTGGTGCAAGTATTTTAATATTAGGGGCTGTTAATACTATGCCATTTGAGCTATTTTTTACAGCTGTCTAGAGGGGACATTATGCTATATTGACATTGTAAATGTTTGATCTCTTGCAAGAAGGTGGAAGAGGGATGTTGAGTCCCTTACTAGTAGCCTCCCTTGATTGTGCATGCTGTTGAATGAATATTTGTACATAGTTGTAGCCCATGTTTTTTGTGTTATGTTAGGGAATAATAGATGTTCACCCTTAGATAGTCGGTTGATGTGTGTTAAGACAAGTGTTAATATGTGACAGGTGTTTGTAGTTGTACTAAGAATCCTTTTTTAAATTTTTGCTTCCATTTGTATTAACAGTGTTATATTATCTTTATCCTTATTATGTAAATTTTATTGTGATATCACAAGTTGTACATCCTAGGATTTTCTAGAAATTAGAGAACTTGACATCCATGAGATTATTGAATATTTGTCCTGAGATATTTTGCCCTGAACTAATTTGTCCTGGAGATAATTTGTTGGGTATTACTGATGTCAATGGACTCTTTCAAAAATAGTGTGTTTGGTGTTAGTAGTATTGTAATCTCAGGTTTAGTGTTATGGTCAGAATTAGGGCTGTGGTAGGACGGATTGATGGGATATGTATTATACGAGTGACACAGACACCACAATAATCATATCATATGTATTTTCTTTAAAAGGGGGTGTTATGTTACTAGTTGTTAGCTAAACACAAATATCTGTTACTACTGTCAATGATAACCCTAACTTCTGTCTATAAAATTAAATCTGTGATTACAATACTACTAGTACTAGACTAACAACCTTCTTTTGGAAGAGTTTCTGTTATCACTGTTAGTGTTAAGTGTACTGTTAGTGTTACAGTTACTGTTAAAGTGTTATTTATTTCATATGTCATATGATAATAATAGCGTGTATTTCGAAAATTGAAAATTCGTTAGTTTCGGGAGGAAAAGATACCGATCGACGCGTAATTTTTTACTGAAACTACTTTTTATACTCTGTGTGTGTCTAGGAAAAGTTTATTTAGCCTATTTCGATTTTAAAATTTTTGTGTTTATAAAAAATTTGGATTAACCTGCCACCATTATTTTTCCTCTTACATTAAAAAAAAAAAGTGTCTCCGATATTGGGAGTACACAACTTGATGACGTCATACGCGTCAAATTATATTTTCGGACTTTTCGTCATTTTACTATAAATTGTTAATGTAGTATTTTATTATGAGTTTGACTTATCAAAATTATATTTACTATACACAGCTAGACCTATTAATAATTGAATAAATTATTAGGCATAGGCCTACTGAAAACTTGAATTACAACCACCATGTAGACCTAGTAGTAGCAAATATTTTTTTTTTTATTATTAGATTTTAACATTTGTGTAGGGCCCTACATGACCAACAATTTCATACCAATACCATTGTCTAAAATAGTGAAAATGTTATAGTTTATATAGGCCCTCTACAAAGGTGTTCAGCTGCTTCTTATAGTTAGGCCTATAGATTATCAATATTATTAACCTTGCTTGAACACATTATAGTAAGTTGTAAAAATTCATCAATTCATCTGTTAAGCTAGTGGTACTAATTAATGGAACCATTATCTCTCACTATGATTATTTATTCATTCTAAATATTTAATATGTAATTTGGTGTCTAATAAAAATATATATATTTATTTATTGACTGCTTACTTCCAATAATTGTAGTTGCACTGTGAATTGCGCAAGTCTAGAGAAAAAACTTCAGCATAAGCTTATTTTATCAGAACATCTATGTGAAGGCTTACTCATTGCAAGTTGTTTTTTTTCTAGACATGTATAGTATTCATGTGGTAAGTGCAAACATGGTGTTACTCTGACAGACCTACCAGTATAATTTCTTATACAAGTACAACACCTGGTTTCAAATTAAAAGTATAAAAAGAACCAAAATGGTTTGCTTTCCAAAAAATATTTATTTATTAGATTTAGATGCAATTATATAAATTTCAATTATCAATGAAAAGTACAAAAGTAATAATGTGTTTAAGTTTAAGGTGTGAGTACAACAAAGTGATTTATATAACAAGTTTTAGTTGATGCAAATTAAAAAATGATCAGGTTGAATGAAACTCACCAGTCCAGGAAAGATACAAAAATCTGCAAAGAAAAAAAAAAGTTATTTGATTTGTTTACTCTATACTGTGTATCAAATTAGAATACCATAAGTAAAATATAAAAAAAGAGATAAAAAAAATAATACCATGTCATTACATACCAACCTTTATTTTTTAACCTACTCAATTAACTTGCTTTGCTGCGTAAATGTAATAGCCAATATAATTTTTATGTATTCTATAAAAAATCAATCACTACTAATCAAGTCAGCTATTAGTGACTCAGCAGGTAGGCAAAAGTCCTCAGCTTCATCCTCATCCGGTGCCCAGTAGCCTACAGTGTAGACAACAGACTTGTTCTTTTTAGCTAGTACTCTGTTAATAATCTTCACATAATAGCGATGCACTTTCTGATCATCTAGCTCCCACTAGTCAGTCAGCTGGACACCAACCAGGTCTTTACCACCCACAATTCTTGACAAAGAGGGTTTCCGCTTCTGTCAACACCACGAAATAGGGGATGGTTTACTGAGACATTCGATTTCGATCCAGACAACACATCATAGATGGAATTTTCAGTATCTCTGCGTTCCATAGCTTCCAACTTTTTCTTCATCTGCTTCATTCAAGATTGAATGTCTGTGTCTATTTTGTGCTGTAACTGGTTTGTGTCGATGACCCTGTCAAACTCCTCAATCAGTTTGAGATTCTCTGCCTGAACAATGTCATTCTTTACTGAGATCTTGACCCTTTCTCCTTAAAGCATCATCTATCTCCTTCAATACTCTGTCATTGTCAGCAAATCCATCTCCCATTTAACACTATCAATCTTGGTTCTCAATTCTCTTGCTGAAGATGTCCAGTTGTTCTTTGAAACCTTACCTGCAATTTAGCATATTTTATGTTTGAAATCATCAATAACTTACCCTTTCATGCTGTTTCTGCACCAGCCAATACCTGCTTTGACATCTGTTGTTTTTTTTTTCTTTTATGTAAAATACTTCCTCTTCCAACACTGGATCTGTGTCTGCTTTCTCTGCAATGATTTAGTATCTTTTTTTAGTTTACTTATTGTAGTAAAATATGAATTATAAAGGAAGTTTTGGGCAACTGTATTTTATAGCTGTAAGTTGATGAATCAAGTCATGACTTAGTATACTAAAATAAACAATTAGTGTTAGAAAAAAGTCTGTTATATTATTAGTCTATTACAAATTACTTACTCAATCCTCATCACTCCCTGTGGAGTATAGGGCAGCAACAAATCCCTGCCATTCCACTCTGTCCTGGGCGAGCCACTTTAGTTCATGCCAGGTCTTGCCAGCAGCTTGCACTTCTTCTTCCATCTCTCTCCTCCAAGTTCCCAGTGGTCTTCCCCTCTTTCGTTTTCCAGGCGGAGTCCACATCAGTGCCATGTTGGGGAGTCATCTTTTGCTCATGCGTAGGACATGGCCCAGCCATCTCCATCTCCTCATTCGAACTTCTGAAAATACATTTGGAAAATTTAGATATAGATATCTAGGCATAAGGTTTATTTTAAAATAAATAGACTATGCCTACTAGGTTTATTTCACACCAAAAAAAAAAAACATTTGTTTTTAAAATTGTGAGTCTAGTAAAAAAAAGTTACTATTGTTTAGAGTAGAGGTAAGTTAGAACTAGATCTAGATTCAATTACTTAACACTAAATAGGTATAATTAAAAGTAGTCTATAATTAATAATTAGGTAAATAATTATGATCACTTAAAGTACTGTTGCTTATCAGAAAGATCTGTGATTCCGATGGCAGATTGATTTCTCACTCAGATTTCTATCAAAGAGCTGCAAGACCACAGACTGAAAAAAAAAAGTAGATTAGAGATTCTAGAATCTAGAGTCTATATCTAGAAAATTAGATAGAATGAATCTAGTTAATAGAGAACTAGATCTAGATCTTCTAAAATAATCTAGATTAGATTAGGCTTATACTATACTACTATAGAATGTATAGAATCTACATCTAGATCTAAAAATCTAGAGATTCTATGATTCTACTAATTCTAGGTTTCATAAATTCATTAAATTGATCTAGATCTAGATCTAGTCTAGTGATCTAGCCTCTCCCTAGTGACCTAGTCTCCTAGTGATCTAGTCTAGCTTGACGATCATCTGGCTGGATCTAATCTAGACTAGATCTAGTCTAGATCTAAGAATCTAGAAGACTAGACTAGATCCTAGATCTATTTCACAAGATCTAGATCTAGAAGATAACTGGATCTGGATTTAGATTTCTAGATGATATAGATTCTAGATCTAGAATTCTAGATCGACTAGAGTAGATCTAGATATTCTAGATCTAGATCTAGATTCTAGGCCTAGTCTAGATCTAACTAAATCTAGTCTACCTAATGACACTATTAAAATTAAACCTTATTACTTTTTTTCGTAAAATAGTTTTTTTTAATAATGCTATTTTTAAAAAACTTAATAAATATACAATATTTTAAAAATCTTTTTAAAATAATGGCGGCTACAAAGCTATCGGTTCAGACTTTGCAGGTACATTTAAACGACTTGTTGGTGGGAAATTAGCCGTTTTCAGGCTTAATTTAAAGAAAATTTGCAAAACTCTGTCGAACAACCAAACTTTTAACAAGAACAAGAATCTAATTCAAATAGAAAAAAAATGCTGAAATTACCTCTATTTTTGACTGCAATAATCCGAAGAAAGAAAAACTAAATTAATAAATATCGTCCGCCAAAATATTTTCCAATATGTCAAGTAAACCCGAAGGGAAGAGAGCGTCAACAAAATGCCGGTTGGAACAAGCCGTTAGTCTATTTTTAGACTCACGCGCGGCGGTGACGGAAGCCTGGGACAAAAAGCGAAAGGGGAAGTCAGCGCCATTTTCAAAATGGTTGCCCTTAGAAATTACGAAGCCGCAATACACGCTACAATAATAATGTGGATGTAGATCTAGTAGTTATGTAGAAGTGTTTTCATTATGCTTCGACACAAATAGGTACTTAGTGGACGGTAAAAGAAATTAAAGAGCATTTTTTAGTTTAATGTAGATGTAGAGCTAAGCTTCGTTAATTTCGACGTACTAAGATCAAATTTTGACGGTAAATCGCACTGGGGCAAAGTTTGTGTAATGATTTCATGACATTGGTTTAAACATAGTTGACTGCAGTAGAAAAATAATACTGGGTTTTGCCAGATAAAATTTTAACTAAACTGTATAAACTAAGCTTTTGCCTAAATTAATAATGTAATAAATATTAATTTGCTAATTGTCTCATAATTTAAAACAATTTGTGAAGAAAATAGAGATATTTTATGCAAATATTCTTTCTATTTATGATATATTTAGAAATAATATATTAACTTTCATTTTGATTATTTGAAACAAAAAAAGATTAATACATTTTAAAAAAAACGCGAAATTCCAGCCGGAAACAGATATATTTTTGTAAAAACCTTTATATATACGCATGCGCGCTAAACTTAGTTACCATTTTTTATTCACATCTTTAACTCTTTGTAAACAAAAGCTGAGTGCGCTCAAAAGTTTCATATTTGTCAAAGATGGCCGAGACAACAGAAGAAAAAAAGGCAGATGCAGATTCAAAAAGAGTACATACATATCCCTTGATTCGAGTAAGTTTGGTCAACATCCAGAGCCAGTAAAATGAGTAATTGAGTAATCAATCGTGTGTAGTGTATGAGTATGATGACTCTGTACTCGGTACTGTACTGAACTGTACTCTAGTGACTGTAGTGTAGTGTAGTGACTGTGTAGTCTGTAGTTCCTACTAAAATAAAAAATATAAATCGGCCTACATTAGTACATTCCTACATTAAATTAAATTATACTATTAAATAAATAGTATTAAATAGACCTAGATTCTAGACCTAGGACCTAGGCCTATTCTAAAAACTAAAAATGACTAAATGTCAGTAATGATGAACTAAGACTAAGACACTAAGTTCGGTGACTAAGACTATGAACTAATGTCTAATTTAATTAAACTTTAAACTAATTTTTAATTCAGTAACTTTAGATAAGAATCTCTAGCTACACTAGTAGTAGCTAGAGTAGAGAATCTAGAATTCTCGATCCAGTTGTTTTTATTTAGTTGTGAGTAGTTGGTAATTTGGGGGGGGGGGGGTCATCCATAAATCATAAAATAATAAATGACATTACACTTGTAGAGGGGAGGGTGGTCCATAATTTTGAGATGAGGGAGAGGGGTGGTTCAGATGGGGCGACGTCACTTTTGCATTTTAAAAAAGCAATGTTAGAAAACTATTTTTAGCAGTCATTTTGAGGTTTAGATACAACTGTTCTATGTAGACGGAGTTCAGACAAGATTTTATAAAAATATCAATGTTCTAAGAAAATTCAACTGCAATTTTTTTGGGGGGGGGGGGGGGGGGTTGAGGCTGAGGTGTAACGTCATTTTAGGAGGGGGTCTCACTTTTTGTAACTGAGGGGAGAGGGAGGTAAAGACCGTCAAAAGCGCCTTTATTAACATTTTTGTCACATATTACCGAAAAAAATTCCAAAGCAAGGATCTGCCTATCATTCATCACATTAGTAAAAAATAAAAACACCTTGTCAAGTATTTGTTGTGTGACATCTGTAAAAACTTGGTTACGGCCTACTCTTGTTTGCTTTTAATTTTAAGTTAAAATGTGCTTAAGTCTCACCCAAATATGTAATAAATATTATAGGCCTAAGTTGTTAAAAATTCATTTAAATTACGCATGAAAAGTCAAAGTGTGATAAAAGCTTGGTAAACACTGCTTTCTTAAATAGAAACAGGTAGTTCTGATTACTACATTTCACAATGGCTTAAAACATTAGTTTTATCCCCCTACTTACTACTATGAAAACACAACCGGGCACATTGTTAGTTATGTGCTTCTAGCATTAGGGCTGTGTGAGATGGATATAAACAAACAAACCCGGAACTTTTGAGCTTATTAGGCTATACTACTAGATCAAGCTACACTTTTTAAAAACAATTTTTTACCTCTCCCATCATCACATAAAGCCAGACCCCTAAAATTGCTAATTTTCTTGGGTTTTTTATAACTATTTTTTTTTTAAATGTATGCAGTCATTCGTCATTGAGTATAATGTTAAATTTATGAGAATTTTGTGTTATGAAGACTGACATTAAAATACCTTGAAGATTCTTTGAGACTTACTGTGTTATTCTTCATTGTTAGGATTATAGATCACTTCCTATCTGCTTCTAGATGACATGCTCTTGCATTAAAATAATAAGATTTAAAGAGACCATTTCGCATTTCCCTAGTGATGAAACCAAAATAAAAGAAACTATTGTTTGAGCCAGAGGTCATTTCTGCTCTGCAGCCAGAATACTGCCAGTACTGCTATCCCAATATATTTAGTGTTTCTGATGCTTCCAAAGCATGATTTTACTGTTGAATAGCTGTTTGAAATAATTTTTTCATGTGTTTAGCACTCTGACATGAATGATGAGATGAAAACAGAAGCCATGGAATTGTGTGTTACAGCCTGTGAAAAGTTTGCTTCAAATAATGAGGTAAATTTCTTATTATATACTTTAAAAATAATTATTAAACTTTAAAAGGATTTTAGGACACTTTGTTCTAAAAAGTACATACATTGTAGTCATGTTGTGACTCCAAAGTTAAAAAAGTTGTGTAATATTAAGATCTTTGCTCACAGAATCTTTCTACCCTAATTTTAACTACTGGTGTTTTTTTGGTTGCTTAAAACATTTTGCGACTATCATGCTTAAGTACATATATAATTTGTTAGTAAAAGTTATTATTATTACTACAAACTGTATAAAAATTATATTTTCAGAACGCTGCTAAAATGATAAAAGATGCCATGGACAAGAAATTTGGTGCGTCATGGCATGTGGTTGTAGGGGAAGGTTATGGCTTTGAAATCACTCATGAAGTGAAAAATCTACTGTATATGTTTTTTGGTGGTAATATGGCAATTATACTCTGGAAATGTTCATGATTTAATATGTTGGATTGGTTGTGTTAAGTAAAATAACATCATATCTTTTGTTAAGGTAATAAAAATTTAATCTGTGTTATTATAAAAGTAATGCACTGGATGGATATGTTAATAATTTTAAACTCCATTGAAATTAATTAGACATACCTAATTAGTTTCGGGTTCCTATTTTATAATGAGTAATTGTTAAATTTTATTGTATGTAATGTTTCTGAAACAAAAGTGAGATGTGTGAATGTATTTTACAAATTGATCATTATAACAATGTTACACTTACATTGACAGTTGTTTTTTTTTTAATATCTACACACAAGCCTGCTGAAATTTAAGTTTATTCTAGATTTTTTAGAAGCACACTGGTGTTTGTTAAGCTATACATTCTCTGTTAACATTTTATTATTAGCTCAGGCTCCTTGAAAAACTAAACATTCCGTCCTATTGATGTTATACATCAAACATGTAAAAAAAACATACTTTTTATGAAGTTACTGGTTTCATTTTTTTTAACCTTGAATAAAATAAACTTTTACTAATTTTATTTGTTACTAGTGGTTTTCAGACAATATTTTTATGCTACAGCAACTATTAAAATTTATGGTTCTTTTAAAAAAATTTATTTGCTTTGTGTTTGTATATACTTGATAATTATTTTCAAATTGAATCAGGCCTACTTCTAATCTTTTAGAATTTTTCAACTTCTTTAAGTATTTTTCTAAACTTAGTTGTCAGCAAATATTTTATTGGAAAAGGAAAGTAAATCTTGCACATTTGTAGGCCTAGGCCACTCTTTCACTACGTCAAAAAAAAATTTTAAGTAGTAATTAAAACATTGCATCCTATTGTGTTACCAAACCCATTTTGTTGTCTACCTTATGTTTAACAGTAGTAATTTAACAGCATTGATCTTTAAAAAGTTTTCATGTGCACAAAAAATCTATCAGCCTTTTAAACAAAAATTCTCTTTATTTAATAGTAACAACAAAATTTGGTTAGCCCATGTTATCAATTGAAGGAACGTGCTGTTGATGAATGTCTAACTTGGGTTTCCACTAAGACCAGCAGGGGCAAAACCCAGGGTGCAGCTACTAAGACAAATAACCTAACACTAATATTCACTCTACGTTATTTTTAGTCTAATATTTGATGACGATGCACAAGGTCAGAATCCTCTCCACTGTTTTTTTTAAAGCATGAAGCTGAACGTTGCTTTATAGTTGTTATTTTTTTAAATACAGCTCGGTGTATGCTTATCGTAACGTGATGTCATTGGGGGGCGGGGTCGAAAATAGCACTATGGGGTCATCCATAAATGATGTCACGCTTTTTTTTTGACGATTTTTACCTCTCCTCCCCTCCGTCACACGTCACAAAAAGCCAGACACACCCCCCCCCCTTAAATGACGTCACACCTCAGCCTACAACACCCCCCCCCCCCCCTCAAATTTGCTGTTGAATTTTTTTTTTTTAAAAATCGATATTTTTCCAAAATCTTGTCAGAACTCTTGTCAACAGAGTATTTTGATCAATTCCTATTAAAACCGTTTTCTAAAACGCGAAATAACGGCTAAAACTCGTTTTCTAACATTGCTTTTTTTTAAATGCAAAAAATGTGACGTCACACCATCTGAACCCCCTCATCACGTCACACACAGTCACAAAATTACGAACATCCCCCTCCCCCGTACAGGTGTGACGTCATTTATGGACGACCTCTATGTCGTATATGGGCAACATTTTAATTTTAGTGTCAACGACATCCTTAATCTAGTTTTTTCGTAAGCTCTAGGACTATTTGAGTATCACTCGCGGTAAAGATTATGCCGAGAGCGCTATGGAAACACTAGTAATACTAGTGATGGAACTGAATGCAACCTAACACATTGTTGAATAGAATGTTGTCAATTTTGGCGAACACCATCAGCGCACTACACTAATGACACGATCCGAATGGGGGGGGGGGGGGGTAATTCTAAGAAGGGATGCCTGGAAGAAACACTGATTGTTTCATCGAATATTATTATAGCTTACTATCGTATTTCGACATGTCATTAAGCATACGTAAAGCCAACTTAACATGAAGACGAGTATAATTTGACAGTTGACCAAAAGGATCGGACGAGTATGTTATGTGTCACAAATAACACCAACGTTAATTGTCTTCTAGAATTATTATTTTTTTTTGTAAAACGTCTCTTCAAATTGTTTTTATTGAAGAATGAAAAGTTAGTCATGTGATATTCTCATCGTCAACAAATAGAGACCTGTGCGTAAAAACACATGATAGACATTATTATTATAGACTATCATTCCATCTGCTTTTAAGTTGTGATACTTAAGCACTGAAACAATTCCTGGTTGGCTACTTAATGCTATCTTTTAAATATTTTTTAAATAGTCGTACTCTAGTGTTAGGCCTACAGTCTGTGGCGTCGTCTCGGAGGTTAGAATTCTCTCCCCCCCCCCCCCCCCCCCCCCCATTGAACCCCAAAATAATAACTGTCTCACATTAAAAAATTATATATATATATATATATATATATATATATATATATATATATATATATATATATATATATATATATATATATATATATATATATATATATATATATATCAGGGGCGTCGTGAGGTGGGGGGCGGACCGCACCGGGTGACACCATTTAGGGGGAGGGGGTGACACCATGGCGAAACTTGCAAAATGTATTGAAGAAATGTGCTTTTTGTCAGTTCAATGAATGATTAATTAGAGTTAATACACCTATATTAATAAATGACTATAGATAAACGTCTTTACTATTAAATGTACACACTTTAAAATAATCACCAGAGGGTATGGGGGGCGGTAGTGTAACACTAACTACACAAATACAGAAAAAAAGGTTTTGTTAAGTATTTTGAATAACTCGTTAATCATCGACCGGGGAGGGGTGACTTCAAAATATAATAATTTACAATGAAAAGATGCTTTTTTCCACACTAATTGTTTGGTGGATTAATATAATGTATGCACAAATTAACGCCATTAGACAAAATGGGAGGGGGGGTGACACCACTTGTAACTATATATACAGGAATATATATATATATATATATATATATATATATATATATATATATATATATATATATATATATATATATATATATATATATATATATATATATATATATATATATACTTTGCTTAATAATGTATGGACATTTTTTAAAACATCCAACATGAGAAGATGTTATCTACGCGATTGCAATGAATGTTTAACCTCAGTAGTGTGCTAATTACAATGCCATTGAAGCACTTATCCGAGGATTGCACCGTTTGTCTGTTTGTCTAGATTTATCTGTTGGTGTGGTTTTAAATGCTTCATCTTGAACTTCATCCTGTGTCAAGTGTCAATTAAACTTGGTTGTATTCTGTTTATTATTCCTATTATCTCCAGGGGTAAACATTCTATGAGTATTTACTTTTTATAATAGATCCTACGTAAGTCTTAGTGCTAACAAAGCTGATACACTGGAATGTGGTTGGCATATTACAGAAAGTACACCAGCTGTGGGTCGTCCACACATGACGGCATATCTTTAAGGGAGAAGGGTTCAGACTTCAGTGATATGCTATTGGCTTACATTGTGTGCATATTTAGGAGAGGGGGGATGGGTGGATGATCGACAAATAGTGACATGGCGCAAAGGCAGAGGCGTATCGAGGGGGGGGGGTGCGGACCGCACCGGGTGACACCATTTAGGGGGGTGACACCAAAGCAAAAAATAGCAAAATATATAGAGAAAAACTTGAGGGGGGTGCAAATCAAAAACTTGAGAGGGTGGGTACAAATCGAAAACTTGAGGGGGGTGCAAATCGAAAGTTTTAGGGGGGGGGTGCAAATCGAAAATTTGAAAGTTTGTCCCCGGGAATGGTCGCTACGCCTCTGGGGGGTGACACCATTAAGTGCCGCACGGGGTGACACCCTTCCTCGCTACGCCACTGCGCACAGGCTACATTTTGTTGTAATGATGTATGATGATATTGATAACGATATGGGGAAGGCTAAACTTGCATGACGTCAGATATCAAGAACGCATCTATAATGTAGTCCTGGTGCAGTACAGTAAAGTGGAATAGTAGTCGATTGAGCAGTTTCGTGGGAATCCACCTTGATATCTTCACCTATGTAGAGAAAGTATTGTTTGTTGTGGACTTACCGCTTATGCCTTTAAGTCAGAACTTCAGAGATAGAACACTGGCTCTAGGTCTCTAGAAGCAGTAATATTATTAATAATACTAATATGTTAATATATCTAATGTGCAATAATAATATTAATATAGATCTATTATCCATATGTCTATGTATCCCTATATATATATATATATATATATATATATATATATATATATATATATATATATATATATATATATATATATATATATGCCTGATTGTTTGTGAGTCTTCTTTAATTCATTACGTAAGTCTGAAAAAAATGCTGCCCGGCTGTCGCCTGACCCCGGCCTCCCTGACCCTAATAAGCACTACGGCATCTACATTCATTTTAAATAGCGCCATTCTTTAGGGACACGGTGGGCTAACTAAAGTCGATTACTAAATCGAAAAACGGGCATATTCCGGCGATCATATGACCTGGTGCACCCCGGGTTCCATCATGACACCTTCGTTCGTTATACACTATGAATACGGCAGACTACTATAATCACTGACTAAATCAAACCAGGGTCATCATCTAGTGCCTCGGGCAGTTGAACACGGGGAGTCCGTTGATCAGGCGTCTAGCTTAGTTTAACTGTTAACTGCAACAGGGTCGGCCCCCGGCAGGCGGGTAGCCCGGAGCATCTTGGGCTTCCCTATGAGCACTATAGACATATAAAATCATTTTAAAGAACATCCTATACTAGGGACACGCATGACGTGTACATTCGATGACTAAACCGAACCAAGGATCGCAATCGGCGTTCTTGCGGTAGTGTGACCGGTGGCACACAAAAGCACCCCCGGATGCACCTGGCACCCGAGCGGTCGCCGTAGAGTGTTCTACAACACAATAACGAAGAGCGTTTAAAATACACAATGCTTTCATTCACTACGGCCTGGGGTGCCAGAGCTGTAGTGTTGACAAACCCGCGCCGCAACAACAAACATACAACAATATAGCACGGCTTAGTCACGTGTCTTAAAATCTGCGATTGTTAACGAGTTGTTACTTATAAAATGTTTCGTCACTCTAGTGTCTAGGACTAGAATCTAGAATCTGGATCGTGGGAACGCGCGATAATTACGCCAGTAAGACTACAATATACTTAAAATAAGTAGATCTAGATCTATATCTATACTAGTATAATTAATTTAATTTTACCGAAAAAGCTTCCACTGATTATGTTTTGTATTCACATTAAATCGGCTATTTTTTAATTCGGTTAGATCTAGATCTATATGACATATGTTATGACAAGAAGAAAAAGTTAGAATTTAAATGTCTAACTGCTAGATTCTTAATTACGATTTTTAGATACATTAATGATAAATTTAAAAATACGATTACTTGAAACTGCGTGGTTGCTATTTTTTTTTTACCGCTAAACTGCAGCTAAACGTAGCACAATATTTTACTAGGGATCTAAAAATCTAGCAGACAAATTTTCTATTATTTTGTTTTGTTGGTCAAAGTACATTGCAACATTTCATCCTAGAATCTAGTCGATTAGATTGTGATTAGTCTTTCATAAAGAAGTTAATAAAGGTAGAATCTAGATTCTCTAGATCTAGATTTAGAATCTAGTTTGGATTTTAGAAGTTACGTAACAATAAGAATAAGAGGTAATCTATCGTTTTGGGTACGTAAAATCGCCCGCGACTAGTAATGTGAAAAACAGGTGACTCCTTACATTTTAATAATTATTTCACATTTTGAGGAGGATTTATGTTTTAAAAATACAAAAATGTTTCATTTATGTACCTGTTTTTAAACAATTGAATTAAAACTTTTCAGTAATAAATGAAGACTAGCGATGTTTCCAACAGATGCAACCATGCTCATTTACTATAGCAGCCATCTTGTAAAAGTTTTATTTTTATAGACTTAAAGCGCAAGATTCAGGCGGAAGTCACTCTATTTTACAAATGGCTGCTGTTTATATAGCAAATCTTGCTTGCAGACACTGCTGTTTAAAGTTAATTTCTGGCCTATATTGATATATTTAGCCATTGATTTAGGTTTATTATCCATTTATCTATAATATTTGACATAAACATATCACAATATACTTCTATTACAGCCTTGACAATGAGGTAACGTTTTCGTACATAAATAGCCGCGGGCGATTTTACGTACCCAAAACGATAGACTACCGAATAAGATAATATTAATAATTTATAATTTATTATAATATTAATTATTAATATTGAAAATAATAATTTAATTTTAATAATTTATTAATTTGTGTTGTAAATGTAGTTGTAGGTAGTACTAGTTTAGATCTAGCTAGATCAGATCTAGAATCTAGTAGTAGTAGTACTATTTACTACTATTTAGTATTGTAGGTAATCTATCATCCGATACTTCTATTGGTTGGTAATCTATCGGTTTAGGTAGAGTCTACGTAAAAACGCACACGACTAGTAATGTGAAAAACAGGTGACTCCTTAAATTTTAATAATTATTTCACTTTTTGAGGAGAATTTGTTTTGAAAAATACAAAAATGTTTCATTTATGTACCTGAGTTTTTAAACAATTGAATTAATACTTTTCAGTAATAAATGAAGACTAGTGATATTTCCAACAGATGCAACCATGCTCATTTACTATAGCAGCCACCTTGTATAAGGTTTTTTTTTTTTGTAAAATTATAGTAAGAGATACAGGGGAAACCACTCAAACTTACAGAAGGATGCTGTTTATATATATAGTAAATCCTGCTTGCAAACACTGCTGTTTAAAGTTAATTTCTAGCCAATATTGATATATTTAGCCATTGATTTAGGTTTATTATTCATTTACCTATAATATTAGACACAGATATATCACAATATACTTAAATTAAAGCCTTAAACAATGAGGCAACTTTTTCGCACATTACTAGCCTCGGCCGATTTTACGCACCTAAAACGATAGATTACCTTACTTAAGTAAATGCGCTTGGTTGCATCAGATGAAAACATCGCTAATATTTATTTAATACTGAAAAGCTTTAATACAAATGTTTAAAAAATAGGTAGGCTAAAAGTAAAATCCTCCTATAAATGTGAAATAATTACTAAAATTTAGCGAGTCACCTATTTTTCACATGACTAGTCTCATACGATTTTACGTACCTAAAACGATAGATTACCAATTCATAAGAAATAGAGTTAAGTACCACTTCCGGTTTCCAAAAATTGTTCAGCATTTGATAGAAACATGCGCATACAATTTAATTCTAGTATGTGAAATTTTGTGCATCTAACATAAACGGTACCCAAGTTATTGGCTTTTGACAAATGGAAGTAGAGAAAGTACCACTTCCAGCTACTGGAAATGGCTCAAAAGTTGATACAGAACTACCAATTTGAAATAACACTATACATGAAATTTTGTCAACATAACTGAAACGGTGCTCAAGTTATCATGTTCAAAGACACACACACTGACAGACAAAATTGCAAATTCCAACTCAGGGAGGTATTAAATTTCAAGATTTGTCAAAATCTCTATTTTGATTTTTTTTGGACAATTAAGTTTTCTATACTTTGTAAAAACAGGCGTACAACGCTCATGATAGATCCAGATCTACTGCTTTAGTTGAAAACTTTCCTTTACTCACAACACTAGTTTCTGATTTTCCAGTTACAAGCCAGGTCAAACTCCAAAGCATTTGGGTTCAGAACCAGTAACTTTGAGGTATGGTGGCGACGACGTTCTCCATTTGGCCACGACACCTCACATTCAGTTGGCAATATTTAATAATTTTGTATATAAATCTTGCCCTAAAAAATTGAGACATTAGAAATTTTACTTGTAGGTCTTAATATTAGCACACCCCTCTGCACGATAAAAGATATAAAAAGACCACAACAAAATACTAGCAAATCCACAAGAGAAATCAAATAACCATAAAAGGCATACATTTTATATAGGTTATGAGAATGTGTAATTTTAGACCAAACTTAATGCCGGGTTTGAATAGTGGCCATGGCTATAGGGACTCAGGTCATAATTTACTATTTAGCTTTGGCAATAGAAATTTAAAATCATCTATATATATAATTCTCTTCTTCGAGCCGTTAGAAAACAAGCTGCAAACGCTCTCCCTACCTCCCCACCCCTACATGGTTTCAGTGAGCTGTGTTCACTCTAAATGTTTACAAGCAGAGCCAACGATTTTAAACGTAGGGGGGGGAGGAGGGGGGGAGGGAAGGAAGGGGGGGGTTATGGTCCTTAACGAGCTACTTATAGTGTTTTAAAGAAATATTTTCAGTGTCAGCGTTGGTACTGTCGAATTCACAAATTATGAATTATTGAAAATTAGAAACAACTAAATAGCGGCGTATGTTATGCCGCGGGCCGGCTCGTATTTAATATTATTCAAACTGTTACCTTTGCCTTTTAGATTTTTATTATACTATTTAAACATTTTTTCTTTTATACCTGTAGTTCAGACATAGAAACATTGGCTTGCTACACCTGGATGTCAACATGCTTAGCTTAAGCAGTTTTCCAACTATTCTGTTACTAATATTTTCAATTCTTGATGGAGCTTTCACTTTAAAGGAGAACAACAGACCAATAATTGGTAAGCAAATCAATTATTATGAGATACTTTACTTGGTGCAACTGTATTGGTTTAATAAAAGGTACTAGAGGGTCATTATTTATTATATTAGTATCTTTAGCTTATTTATGGGTGTCTTCACACGCCTAGGGTGAATTTCAAATGAATTTTTAAAAAATAAGTTGGGAAATTGAATTAGAGATCTAGACTATTTTTGCATTTACAAAAAAACACTGTTTTTGTTGATTGCAATAAAATTTGATCGATAAATTTCATTTTGATTGTGCTAAGTTACTATTATGACAAAAATCCCTGCTTTAAAAAACAAAAAAATAACAATTTGGATGGGGTTGGATAGTCTGAGGTGTGACATCATGGGGGAGGGGGGGGGCAATCTAACTTTTTGTGATAATGTGTGACTTTGGAAAGGGGGTGGTAAAAGTACTCCAATGTGTATGTGTGTACATCATTGATGCATGCCTCTTTATATTAAATGCAGAATTTATTTCACTTAGTTGTGTTCAGCTACATTTCTTTCAACTCAACAGGCATTCTGACAGAACCAACAGATACTTTTGAATTTGGTCAGGAATACATTCAAACTTCTTATGTTGGATATCTAGAAATGGCAGGAGCTCGTGTTGTTCCAGTTAGGTATGTGTTCTCTCTTCATTTTTTTAAAAAACATAACTCACTTTACTAAAAAATTTCATAGATATTTTTACCCTGTTTCTTAATTTATAGCATCATTGCTGTCATGGGGTCTATGAATACATTTATAAACTATACTGGACTATATCCTTAGTGAAAAGCTGCATCAGATGTATTTCCGTAAGGCACATTAAGATGAATAATACTAAGTGTTCTTTTGATTCTAGTAATCAACTACACTACTACCAAGCTCCCTCCTGCCACTATTCTATTCACCAACTGTCTCTTCAGGCTTGTCTCCTACATTGTTCTGTACTCGTCTCCTTAAACCCATAATACACACGTTCTATCAAACAAGTAAAACAACAGCAAGTACTCTTGAACCATATCCTCTACTAATCCTAGAGACCTAAAAACTTTCTTATTAATTGTCTTTGCCTTACTCTACAGTTAGTCCAGTCATATGTAAAGCTATGCTTTGACAACTGGTTATAAAAATGACTGTTTGCAATTAAGCTGTTAAGTTGATGAAAAGTTTGAATAATTGGATGAATAATTATACAATTTTATTTTAACTATATTTTAGAGGCAAACAGCCACAAGAATATTATCAGCAACTTTTTAAAAACATAAATGGGTAAGTTCATCAACAAATATCATGCACTTATTATGTAACACCATAGTAATAGTTTGTGATTTTGTAATTTCTCTGTTACATGGGATTGAGGGGGGGGGGATGGGTAGGGGTACAGGGCAGTGTTCTATAACACTGCCTTCTGGTATCCAAGATAACACAGTAGAGATGTTTTGGAGTATGATGGGGGTAGTTTGTGGAAACATATAATGTTATAGGGGATGGGTGATGCATCTCCTATTTTTTGCTATATTTATATAATTTTCAAATTCCTTGATGTGATATTATGCCTGTCTAAATATGATGCATTACTTTTAGTGGTAAAATTCAATATTTTTTCAAACATTTAGCAAGACACAAAATGATTTAGCCAAACAGTGCAAGTCGCTCTAGAAAATGTTTTAAAACAATAATAAATATTTTTGCTTGATGTTCTTTTCTACTTAGCTTACAAAAAGAAAATAAAAGATTTAAAATTATTCTTTTATTATTTTTCCTATCTGTAGAGTTTTTTTTCCTGGTGGAGGTGCAGACATTGACAATGGTCCTTATGCTCAGTCTGGAAGATATTTTTATGATATGGCTATTGAGGTACAGTCAAATGAAAGATAAGCTTCCATCTTAATTAAATGCTATTTTAATTGTCACCATATCTGTAGCTTTAATGAATTTTGTTTTTGTAAGATATGTATTAAAATTTACTTTAATTAGTTATGATGTGTTAAAAATGATGCATTGAAAGTTCTGATAGTTCCCTTTGGTCCCACAGGCCAATGATAAGGGAGACTACTTCCCTATTTGGGGGACTTGCCTAGGGTTAGAATTGCTTACAGTTCTAACAGCAAATAAAAACTATCTTCAGCACACGGATTCGGAAAATCTGACTCTGCCATTGATATTTCAGAAAGGTGTGTACAATTTCTTTGTTGTTTTTTTTTACTCAAGAAATCTACTTACTCTGCAGAAATTTGGTTCTAATTGTTAAAATAATTTTTTTTTCTCTTCAGATTTTAAGAACAGTAGACTTTTTACAAACATGCCAGATGAACTGATAAAAATTTTAGCTTCTCAGTCAATCACACAAAACAATCATCAGTTCAGTCTTCTTCTGGCTGTAAGTTTTTATATTTTATGCAGGGGTTATAGTTTATAATGCCCAACAAATGTCAAACATAAATGTTACTGTCCCTTACTCTTAGATTTGAAAAAGTTGATAAAGTATTACCAATGCCTAAAAGGGTGTGATCATATAAATTTTAAAATATGATATTAGTATTCAGAATTTGGCTGTATCCTTGAATACATTTTTTACAGGACTATTTTAAGTTATCTGAACTACATAATTTTTATCGTCTGATGTCCACCAGCATAGGAAGAGATAAACAAGAGTTTGTGTCAACATTTGAAGGTATGTGGTTGGTAAATTTCTGCATATATGGATTTTTAAACCTTTAACAGTAATGATATTTTCACCTGATAGAAAATATGATCACACTTTAGGAGACATTCTTTAATAATATCACACTTAAAGTGATATTCTTTAATAATATCACACTCCTACGGGGAGGTGAATTTGAAATTCATGACAATGTTTGGTGGGGAATGGAGAGGGGTTAAATTAGTGGTTAGTAATTGAATTTAAAGCTTTATTGTTGTTGTTTTTTTAAATTCATATAATCAATGTTGACCAAGCACAGAAAATGTTTTAGAAAGAAATTGATGTCTTGAAAAATAAAAACTGCAATTTTTGAGGGGTGTTGCAGGATGAGGTGTGATATCATTTTAGGGGTGGGGGTCTAATTTTTTGCTGTTGTTATAGGGGGGGGGATTGTCAAAAAGGCATGTCATTGATGGATGAACCTTTAGCCGCTTCATTTTGCAAAAATCACTTTGTCAATATATGTATGCTATTGAATAAATTTAGATGATAAAAAAACCCAGGCACTCTTATTTAAGAAAAGCTCATTTAATGTAAATTTTGGTGTCTTTGAAACAGATAGGTGCATGTGCGACAGTAGCCTACATATAGTTTCTTTAACCTATTTGTAGTCACTATGACCTTTACAATTCTCTTACTGCAGCCTACAAGTATCCATTCTACGGCGTTCAGTGGCATCCAGAAAAAAATATTTTCATATGGGCAAATAACCAGGTGATTGACCATAGCTTTGATGCTGTAAAAATCACTCAATACTTTGCAGATTTTTTTGTTAATGAAGGTAGGTCATATACAATTTTAGAATATTTTTTCTATTAGTTTTACTATAATTCTGGTCCTTGTGGATTATCTGTAAAAGCCACAGTTATATTTCTCAACTAACAATGCAAGTAGTAGATTTTTTATTTCCAAATGTTTTGCCAATGTGTCTACCCTTTTAGTCCCAAACATTTTGGTACTCCCCTAATCCTCACACGTCCATTAAAAGCTTGCCCCATTTCTGTCTGTTTTGTGTGTACTCTTTGGAATTCACACTAGATAAACTAAGACCAAAGGAGCAATAAAATAAGTAAGATAAGAAAGTGATTGTCGAAGTAAACAAAATTACTTGTGTATAAAAAGGACTGTGCAAATAAGTGGGGGACATACTTTTTCTTTACAGATATTGCATATTGGTTATATTTGAATACACAGAATTAGTAAAATAAAATAATATTTTGATACATTTTTGCTACAAAGCATTGATTAAACTTAGTTTTTACATCTACAAATAGTGTATTTAATAAAGTTGATTATTTAATCTTCAATCAAACAACAGTTGTCAATAGGCTTGAAAAGCTGGATCCAAATGGTTCCAAAATTTTTGTTACCAGAAAGCAAATTTTTCAACCAAAATTGAATATTTCATAACATTTGTGTAATAAGTGCAAAATGACTTCTGGTTTTATTAAGTCAAACAAATAATTACTAGCAATATAATAGTAATTTAGCAAACACTTTTATTATTAACTTGGATTAGTAGAGTCAGGGTGTTGTGGTGATAGGGGATGTCATATTATTCAATATAAATACAATACTACGCCCTACACCATAGACCACTATTGTGTATTTTATCATGGAAAAAATCGTTCTGACTTTCATTGTTTTATTCTCCCTGGCCATTTCGATTGACTTCAAGTAGGGGTTGAGGGCAGTTTTTTTAAATATTTGAATTGATAAAATAATTCCAAGAGACTTTTCAACGGCTTTTATTCAATACAAAAATATGAAAAAGAGTGCAATCAATGGTTCCCAATCAGTTTTAAGTTTTAAAATGTAACTATAATTTTATTGTTTGCCATATTTATAAAAATATTTTTTTTAAATGTTGTATAATTACAAAGACTTTTCAAGTCTATTCTGAAAATAAAAAATCGATATCTAGATAACATGTAAGCACTACATGTCTTCTAAATGCAGCAATTATTACATGCAATTTTCTCAAGTCTACACATAGTTTATTTAATAAAGTTGGTAGTTTCTTATTTAAGCTAGAATCAAATGATAATTATTATATATAAAAAGTATAAAAAGTAGACAGACATTCATAAAAGACACAATATTTATGTTACAAAAAGTAATAGATAATGATTGTTATTTTTTTCTATTAAATTTCTCTGTATTTTGCCTTCTTTTGTGAACATAAATATAGATTGCCTCCCTTGGTAATAAGAATTTTGATAAATGGTAAGGAACAAACACAAATTACTAATCTATGTAGAACCATTTAATCTTTGTACATTGCAAAGTGCCTAAGGATAATAAACATTTAATGCCCAGGTAACTTGATTCTGGGTTTGTAATGGCCCATCTCGTTTCCTCCTTGTTTAAGCACTTCTTCATTGGATTGTCTTATTTCTTTAAAACTTTGTTGTTGCTATGATTGTCATGGTTACATTGAAACTTGCATTGGGTGTTGCCATTATTGTCAAGGTTACATTAAAACTTGTATTGGGTGTTAAAACTTTAGGAGATATTTAGTAATATCTTTTTGAAATTATGTTGAGGCATGTTTTATTTTAAGTTCAGTTCAAGGAAACCATTCTCTTACAATTTAACACATGATCAAATATGTTTTTATATGTTTGAAGGAAAAACAATTTGTGACTTCCTTCCAGATAAAAAAATTTTTTTGCAAAATTATTGTATGTAAAAGCAATTTCTATTTTCCGATTACTCTTTAACATTATTTTCTTTCATCTCAAGCACGCAAAAGTTCTCATGTCTACGACTCAAGCGATGCTGAGGCTCATGCTGTTATTGAAAATGGAATGCGAGTTTTTGTTCCCAACTTTAACACTGCTGAAGTTTTTTATTTCAATTATACAAACAATTATTTTGTGGAGAAATATGGTCGTCATAAATCTTATTAAAATCTATACATAAAAGGCAATTTAAAAAATACTTAAGAAAATGTTATGAAAGTATTAAAAAAGACATTTTTACAACTCTTTTTTTATGATTTTTAAAAAAATTTTATTATATAACTTTTTTACATCCTTTTACATTGAATTAGCTTTAGTCTTAAAAGAAATTCTAGAAAAATTTAAGAAATAATTCAATTTCTCTTTGTGTTATTTTATTTACATTTTTAACAATTCACATTCGCATAGTGACTTGTTTAAACAAGCTTTATTTAGTTTGCAATGTCTGTTTATGGGTTTTGTGGCAAATCTTGAATTCTTGTAACTTAATTTTGCAGCGATTTCATTCAAAATTTCCAGATACCTTCTTCTTTTTTTAATCTTAAATAGATATTTAATTAATCCTTAAAAATTAATTGTTTTGAAACTAAGGGGAGGTAACAAAATTAAATACAAGTGATTAGCTAACCATTAAGGGCGAACTGTTTGTCACGGTTAACTGATTTCTCACCCGAGCATTGACCATGAACTAAGTAGGGGCAAATAACTGTCTTTTAGAGATCTCAAGCTACTTGTTAAGTTTTAACGCAGATACTTTTAGCTGAAGCCTAAGTTGTGTCAACTTCATTTTGAACGAATGACTAAAAAGTGGAAAATATAACAAACGTAAAAATCTTTATAATAACAAGCTTTTTAAAGGGCTAAAAATTAGAAATAAAACAAACTTGATATCTCTAATAAAAGCATTGTTTGCTCTTAAGGCCTTTTACATATTTTTAAGTTTTTTTTTCTAATTTCAACGCCTTTAAAAGGTTGTTATTATAAAGGTTTTATATTTGTTTTATTAATAAAAATGTATTTGATCCTTTTAGTTTAAACTTAGGCCTAATACCTAAATATAATCAACCCCTGAACACAGTGATTTTTAAAACATTGATAACTATGCATTGAACATTCAAAGCCATTTTTCATTGTTATCTACCTCGTTTCTGGTGATTTAGCTAATCAGACTTGATGTTTTATTAGTCATATGTACATATGGTTGTGAGGAAATAACAAACTCTTGTTTAACCAATTATAATTAATCATAAACCTCGGGTTTGTAGTTGATTATTTGCAATGATTGGTGATAAATCTTTCTTTTGATGGCTGCCTCTTAGCCGCCTATTTGTTTCTTTATATAATAATGCTTTTTGTCAGCACGTAGCTCCCATAAAAAGTATTTGATTTATATAAATTTTATATTTACAGTAATTTTAAAATAAAGATTTTCATGTTTGTGAAAAAAAAAATCAATTTATATAATTTTAATGATTGCATTGTTTAGAAAAATTACACTAAATTATAGTTTATAATTCTATGACTAAATAGATCATGACAATTAAAATACCCCTTTTACATATTATGTCTTAGCCTGATTTATGCATATCAAAGAATTCAATGTGTTTTCATTTTTATATACTATCTATCTGTCTTCACAGTTTGATCAATATCTGTGGAGCATTCATTGCCTTATTATAATTTTTCTTGTTAAGTTTTAATACTGAGAATAAACAAAACAGAATACCAATGTTGACTTGTTTTGACTTTCTTCTGATTTCCGTCCTTTTTTGTTTTACTTCATACAAAGAGGGAATTCTTTTCTACTGTATTTTAGAAATATCAGATCATTCAAATAAATGACTGGATAATTACAATGCTCACAACCAGAGGCGTAGCGAGGGGGTGGGGCAGGGGGTGCGGACCGCACCGGGTGACTCCATTTAGGGTGGTGACACCAAGGCAAAAATAGCAAAATACATAAAGAAAAGCTTGGGGGGGGGCGCAAATCGAAAGTTTGTCCCCGGGAAGGGTCACTACGCCTCAGGGGGGTGACACCATTAAGTGCAGCACCGGGTGACACCCGACCTCGCTACGCCACTGCTCACCACTACATCTCAATATTTAAACGCCTTCTGAATTTCTTGTTAACTTTATTCAAACATAAATTAAGGAAGTTGCTGAATTAGAATTAGAAGCTTTTTCAAACAGCTGTACAGAAAGGAACGTGCATATGAGATTAAAACTTTTTTAGATAAATTTACAACCTGATTACTAAAACTAGCTGGATAAAAACACTGGTAATAATTAAAATTTTTTTGTGGGGGGGGGGGGGGGGGGGGGGGGGGGGGGGGGGGGGGGTTGGGAGTAAACTTGCTTCGGGTAGGGCCACCTCTCCCCCCCCTCCGAAGAGTTGCCTGAAAGAAACTGCGTGATTTAGGCCATTAGTGAAAAAAAAAAACATGTGAGTTTGAACCCTCATGAGTAGGTCTGTGCATGCTATAAAACAATTTCTTTAAACAAAACCCTTTATTTTCAGTGTGCTTCAGGCCGTTAAATAAAAAAAAACTTCCGTATGAGCCCTCATTTGTACATGATATAAAACTTCCATTTTACATATGACCCTTAAGAGTATATGTTTAGTGGAAAAAAACGGGTCTCCATCAAGTTCCCCCCCCCCTCCGAAGAAAGTCTACCGCTCCCCCCCCCCCACCCCGAACGAGATGGAATTTATATAGTAAAAATATACCTTTACTAGTGTCCACCCCCCCCCCCCCGGAAAATGTTAACCGCCCCCCCGAAAGTATCAAGTGCCCCCCCCCTCCCCCGGAGAAAAAAGTCTGGAAGAAATACTGGTCTACTGGTCTCCATGAACCCTCGTCTGACGGCTTGTGCATCAAGTGCGTGCCATAAAAATTCGTGCTTAAAAACAGACGAGGAAGTATAAATCCCAGTTGATAAACCCTACTAAAACCACCATTGTCTGCATAGCGTTACATTTACAGATATTATTTAGAAACCTGATCCCTGTTCAGACGTGTTGCTGTATCACGGAAGTTAAATGACCGCCGCTAGGAGGGGGCTTGGTGTGGGCGTCCGTATGATTTTTTTTTCAGGGTGTGTGAAACACACACACACACACACAAACATGTGTGGGTGTGTATAAAAAATATACATGTGAATAAGCAAATTATATATATATATATATATATATATATATATATATATATATATATATATATATATATATATATATATATATATAGATATATAGGTTAAAGGTATATTAATTTATGTCTGAATGAAGCAAATTAGGAGGCTTTTAAAAATATTGAGCTGTGGGGTTTAAGTTTAAGTATATATTTTGTATACAAGCTCAATTTTTTCAGTGGGGGAGGGGGTTGCGCCCCCCGTACAGATGCCTGAAAGCAACTCTGCTTCCAAGTCAAGACGCCAAATTGTCTTATGCCTATCTCCACATCTGCTATCGATCTGAGCCATTGAGTTATTGGCTGATCTCGAGAGGTTATTAGAGGCCTATACCCCCCCCCCTCCGCTAATGTTTAGGCGATTTATATATGGTGCAGTGGCGTAGCGAGGTCGGGTGTCACCCGGTGCGGCACTTAATGGTGTCACCCCCTCAGAGGCGTAGCGACTCTTCCCGGGTACAAACTTTCCATTTTCAATTTGCACCCCCTCCCCCTCAAACTTTCGATTTGCACCCCCCCCCCCTCAAATTTGTCTCTATATATTTTACTATTTTTTGCCTTGGTGTCACCCGGTGCGGTCCGCACCCCCCCCCCTCGCTACGCCTCTGATATGGTGTATTCAGTCGGATAGTTTGGTAAAGTAAATACTTAAGACAGAAATATTCGAAAATTTTAAGCTGTTACTCAACATTTCTAATCGTTAGAATTTGAATATCATCGACCCAGTATTTAGAAAAGATGATATATGCGAAGGTTATGACACGTATTAAAATTTTTATTGCGGTGGACTTTGTCAAAATGAAACCAAAACTGAAAGATTTATCTCAAAATGTCAACAGAAATGGCTTTATTGATTTTATCTAGTGATTCGGTTAGATGTAATTTCTTTAACTCTAACTAAAAGTCTAACCAAAATCTTAAAGGCCAACATTTATTTAAGCCCCCCCCCCCCCCCGCCCCCCTTCCCATCTTTAAAATTTAACGTTATTCATATAGGCAGTCATTTGTATTAAAGGGAAGGAATCTTCTTATGTACACATCGATTTACCACGGCCAGTTATGAGTTATGTTGCATAAAGTTTGTGGCGTAAAAGGTGGCGGGGGTGGGCGCTCGGTCAATTTTTAGGACAGTTGAGCCTGTTTCGGAATAAAGAAAAGCTCTAAATTCTAATACAGTAAAAAGAATATTTTTTTTAAAAAATCGCGTTTTCAGAAAATACGAGCTTGAAGCTAGCAACTATATTTTCATAGTCAAATATGTGCTGTGTAATTACTTAATATTTATGACGCGCCGCAGTTTCTTTTATGTGTCTCTCCAAGGGGGAGGGGGGGGGGGCGGGGAGATATATATATATATATATATATACATATATATATATATATATACATATATATATATATATATATATATATATATATATATATATATATATATATATATATATATAACTCTCAGAGTTTCTTCCAGGTATCTCTTCGCCCCCCCCCCCGAACGAAATGGAATTTATATGGAAATATACAGTGTCAGCCCCCAGAAAATTTCAAGTGCACCCCTTGAGAAAAAAGTCTGGAAGAAACACTAATATATATATATATATATATATATATATATATATATATATATATATATATATATATATATATATATATATATATATATATATATATATATATATATATATATATATACATATATGTGTGTGTGTGTGTGTGTGTGTGTATGTGCGTTTATACATTGAGGCTTTCTGTCCATCGATCACCATCGATCCTTTACCTAAACATACCTGGAAACAGTCCTAGATTGAAACAGAAACAAAACTGAAACAACATTTCATGGAAGCTGTTATATGATCAGTGGACACCGCAAGCTTGACTACGGTTCAGCTAATCGTTCAGTTCAGTGGTATCGTTCGTGTTGGCAAACAGGCAGATCAAGGGTCCTCTGTGATAACTTTGTTAAACTACTCTGATCTGTTCCTTGTTGGGTATGTAGACAATTGTATCACTTCCGTAAGCGCGTGTGTGTGTGTGAGAGTGTGTGTTTACTATTACAAATGTGTACGGTTATTATTATAGGCTAGATCTACTTTTTCTTTTTAAGAAGTCTTTATTTTAAATATATATATATATATATATATATATATATATATATATATATATATATATATATATATATATATATATATATATATATATATATATGATAACATGATAACTTATATTATTTAGAACAAATAGTCCTTTTTTGTACAGATTATCTGTATTGTGTGTGTTCATTTTTAACAAAAACCTCTTATCAAAACTTCATTTGCTGGTATCTTTCTTTAGCTTTTAAACAGATTTAATTTTAATCAGAGGCGTAGCTAGGGGAAGGCGGGTGTGGCGGCCGCCTCGGGTGCCGACCTAAGGGGGCACCGAACGGGGTAAAAACAAATTTTAAAAAGCTAAATTTGAGCTGCATTACTAAATTATACACATCTGAAGCTATGGAAAATAGACCATTACCGGGCTTATTTAACTGTTTTCTAAATCAAATGTCTGACTTGACATAAAAGCCATTAAGGGACAATGACTGGTAAAATGGGTCCCCGACCTTTTCCAACTGGGGTGGGGGCGCTTTTTTGTCATTTCCATTTGAATAACTATACACACGAGGAGGGGGGGGGGCGCAACGTTGATAGTTTGGCCCGGGCGTCGGATTGGGTCGCTACGCTCTACTATATCTAAAGTATTATTTTTTTTTTAAAAACGTATTAAAATGTGTGTGTATGGAGGGCGGGGGAATGGTTGAATTATATCGTCGGATATTGATCAGTAAGAGATCAATAACTTCATTAGGTTGTTCCATTTAACAGACTGCTGTGTTGGCTATTATAGGATATTATTGACAAAAAATTATTTTGTTGAATCCACATTTAAAAGAAGTATTCGAAAGTTACTGTCTTAATTATAAGCTCTTTCAATTATTTAAGTACTCTCACCCCTCCACCCCGATTTTAAAAAATGAAAGGTGCAATGGGAAATGCATATAAAAAATTGAAAGCCCTCTTGTGTAACATTTTCTTAGAAGTCGGAAAACGAAAGTAGGTCACCACAGAGCTACAGTTATTGCCTTGTTTTATTACCAGGCAGGCTATCAATGTCACCGAGAGTTGTCGAGAGAGGGACAGAGGCGTAGCTAGGGGAGGGCGGGGAGGGCGGCCGCCCCGGGCGCCGACCCTAAGGGGGCGCCAAAAGGGGTAATAAAAAATTAAAAGTTCATGTTAAGCTGCAGTTTTCAATTATGAACAGTCAAAGTAAAGAAATTTAACGGCTGAGAGCCTTTGCATACTGATTTAACTGTTTTCTACCTTGATTGTGTAACTGTAAAACGTATATCTTTCAGAAACAGTGACCGGAAAAACCGCTTTCCAGCTTTCCTAGATGGGGAGGGGGGGGGGGGGCGCTTTTTCGAAGACTAAAATCGGAAAAAATCACACCGGATTAAGGAATAAATAACCGATATCACTCAGAAAAGAAACACATTGAACTAAAGCGTATTTTACGATTGTGTAATACATAAAAAAGAGCTAGTGACGTTTAAAATCCTATCTACCATCTTTGTCCAAGATGGTGGGGCGCTTTTTCACTAACAAAAATCGCAGGACTTGTACTGGATCGGTTGCAAAATAACTCTTTTAACACTTAGAAAAGAAATCAATTGTATTAACACTTAATGTACGATTTCACTACCCAGTTTTGCAAAGTAATAACGCAACTAGTTCTTTGTACGATTCTTACGATTCTCTCAACTTCATTCAGATAGATCAGATACTTTTAATTGATTGCATTACATCTTAACTGGATCACTTCATTAAAGAGAAATTAATATCATGGATTCTTGTATCGCTATCCGATCAGTAAAATAGCAGACTGACGGATCGGGTGGATGGGAAGCAACACTCTTTGCCAAAATTTTAAGAGAGAAGAAAATTAGTATATTGTACTGATTATTACTTTGTTCAACCTAACTGATAATTCAAAATTGCAAGATTGGCCTACTATTATCGAAATTGTTCTAAAGACACGACCAAAAGTAGACCAAATAAGGCTTGCACCTTCTACAAAATACACTCTAAAGCAGTGGTTCTTAAATTTTTGGAGACCGAACCCCACCAGTTTCATATGCGCTATCACCGAACCCTCCTAGTTGTATCGTCCACAATGACAAAATCCGATCGTGAATCCTTTGAGTCGGGTGTGTGTCTTGACCTCCGCGGAAGCCCTGAGACTGAATTACCGAGCCTCTCGGGTTCGATGGAGCCCACTGTTCTAAGCTCTTTTGATCTTCTACGCATCTTAAGGGGAATTTAATTGGCGTCCAGTGAAGTTTTAGGGAACGACAATCAGCGTAATTGTTAATTTTTTTCCAGACTGTCGCACACACAAACACACACACACACACACACACACACACACACACATATATATATATATATATATATATATATATATATATATATATATATGGGGGGCGCCAAACTGAAAGTTCGCCCCGGGCGCCGGGAGGGATCGCTACGCCTCTGGAGAGGGAGAGAGAAAAAAACACTTATAAAATATAAAATAATAATTGATATGCGCTTTATAAAATAAAAACAATACAGATACAATACATTATAAAACAAATTTTAAAACGTTTACAAATAAACTAGCTAGCCTCCTTAAATGAAAAAGCATTGGCCGCTAAATTATTTAAGAGACTTCAAGATTCAAGATTTTTAGCGGAGATCACTCACACTTTATTTTACTTTAACCCTTTACAGAGCACAGAGCAAAACTGTAAAATCATGACTACAAGTACAGTAAGTGAAAATTTAGCCAGGGCTCTTGTCGAGGGGCTCCGTCAGCAAATGGACAGACGTCCTTACGACGACATCAAGGTCAAGGTTGAAAACCAAACTTTTTATTGCCATAAGTTTATGCTGAGTGCATGCTCTCAGTATTTCCGCCGAGAGTTTGAACAGGACAGGAGTGATGTCATTAAACTTAGTAACATCTCCGCGGAAACTTTTGGTCTCATAATCAAAAGCATTTACTTTGCGGAGAACGTCATTAACGATGAAAATGTCTCCCAGATTTGGTTTGCGGCCAGTAAGCTTGAAATTCCAAGTCTGTTGGAGTCTTGCGAAAGATTTCAGTGCGACCGCATGTGTAGAAAGAACTGTGTCGACATCTACCTGGACTCTAAGAAGACACACTCCGGTGAAGTTCGCGAGCTTGCCTACCGCCGTATAATTGAGGAGTTTAACTATCTGATGACGGGGGACAGGTTGTTGAATCTCGACTTTGATGATTTGAAGAGTCTTCTAAATAACAAAAACTTACCAGTAGCATCGGAAGACGCACTGATAGACGTCATTTTAAGATGGGTTGTTTTTAATCCACAAACTGTCGAGAGAAGCGACAGTGAAGCAGAAGTGCGCGAAGATGCCAATCCGCGTGCCAGGAATCAACGTCGTGTGAGAAGCAGACAGCATCTTCTGCCAGATCTACTGCAGAACTGTAAGCTGTGTCTGGCTAGCGGAGTTTGCCTGCAGCAGTTGCTAGATAACCTGCTTGTCAGGGAACTGCCGGCTGCCTTTTCAATGGTTCGTGACGCCCTCCGCTACCACCTGGACCCGGCAAGACGCCACGACTATTGCCCTCCTAGTGCCATACACAGGCCCTACAGCTCGTTCCAGAATGTCATCTTGATCGGGGTCACTAAGTTTGGCAAACCAGGTCTGTCTTTTTGGACACCGGATGACGAATGGATTGAAATAAAAACGTACGAAGCTCCACTACACAAAGCGGTGTCTTTTGGTGATCATGTCATTGTAACAACAACAACGGGACGAGCGGACATGTACGACACATTGAACCACACCTGGAACAAATTACCAACGCTTGGTCAGCAGGGCGACAACTACGACATTGTATGCCACGGGAACTACTTGTTCTTCATTGGCGGCGAGGGTTGTACCAGCGTGAAGAAACTGTGTCTGAAAGATGAGCTTCTGAGATCAGGTTCTGCTCGCTGGAAAAAGGTGGGTGACCTGCCAAATAATGTTTGCAAAATCATGACCACCACAATCGGGAACAACATCGTGATATTTGGAAAGGATTACAACGAAGGCATCTCCGTGATCCAAAGCGTCAATGTGAGCACCACCGCTGTGAGATCCTTCGCCAACCAAAGTTTACCAGTGGACCACAGTCTGGTCAGCTTCAAGTACAAAGACGAAACGTTCGTCATACAGCAAAATGGAAAGTTGTGGAAAATTGTCTCGTGTGATACAGCCCTAAGCATGGAGTTCCGAGGGGATCTCTGGCAGACGCCATTTGAGACCAAGGCAGCCATTATTTCAAACGACGAGCTTTTAGTTGTGGGAGAGGACATTAATGACAACATGCTGAAAGAATGGGATACTCCCGAATCTGAAATGTTCAGTAGAGTGAAGATAGTTGAATGCACAACCAACTTTCTTATCAACGGAGTTATTAAAAAAGAGCATTTTCTACACCAAGGAGATGGGATGGGAGGCACCTTGGGAGCTGATTAAAATTGCATTTTGATTCAAATAATTATAATACTTGAGTTAAGGCTCATTCAAATGAGATTATTTATAATAGATATCCACTTTTCCTCAATCAATTTGTAATTATAATATCCCAGTTTTTGTTATCATATTCAACATAATCTCAGCAACTTTTTCTTTTCTCCTATCAATTTGTATAATAAAAATCCCAGTTTTTGTCACACTTTGGTAGTAGTAAAAGGTTCCTATCATTATTATAAAAACTTTTTTTAAATGTAGCAAATTGTGTGATATGATTGTAAAATATATTTATTACTCAGAATAAATAATTTTTGGATTATTTTTTACCCTCAATCAATAAGCCTATGTAACCTACAGCTAGTTATTCACATCTTTCAATTTTGCAGCACAAATACGCTTAGAGTTTGAGTGAATGAAATTTGAATCCCCAGTAACCATTCCTGAATGGCTGATTTGTTGTTTAAAAACTTATTTAAAATTATGTAGCTGTTTTCAAATGTTTTACTATTTTATATATTGTGAAGTCATTATTTACTAAAAAATATCTTCTCTTCATTCACTTTACCCTTTCTCTGGGCTCCACATCATCTCAACAGCTTTTGCTTCACTGCCAACTGATACATTCACTGTTGAGTTTGGTAAAACCTATATTTGTTTCAATTTCTAAAATCTGTGGATGTTTACAGCACAATGTATGTTTGTACATCTTCACCAGCATTTTGAATTTGTATCCATTAAATTTGTTGTCTATTTTTTTCTCTACTGTGGTGGGTGTTTTTTTCATACTTCTGTAAACAAAGATCATTGCTGGTTTGTTATAACCAGTATTTAAATTTTATATAGCTTTAAAGATGTTTAGACTAGTTTACTTAAGTTTGTATCACATATTTTCTTACTTGTTGCTTAACTTAATCTGCTAAATAAAAAAGTGTATTATAGAACAGAACAACAAAAGTGAAAAATTGTTACACGTATATAAGTATTATATTTAGATAATCTTCTATAATTCAAACAGTATGAATCTACAATTTATGACACTTTTCAGATTAAATGAAGCATTTTATTTCTATTTTTTAGTGTTATAATAAATCTTGCTGCTTGTTCTATTTAATTTGCCGTTTTCAATAAAAAGGTGCACTGAGGAAGTAGAGTTTTTTTTTTTATTGAGTGTCAGAAAAACACAAAAAGATATCTAAGGGCAAGTTTAAAAAAAAAAAAAACAATACATTTTTATGAAACAAATTTCTCTTTAAAAAACAATTTTTGTCATTCACAATATAGATATTGTATAAATGCAGAATTCAAATTAATTTTCTTTGTTATTTAAGTCTTTTAACTTATATTAAGTCTTTTAACTTATATTTTTTAATCATTAAACTTTCATGTAGGCGACAAATTGAAAGAAAATAATGAAAAACCATGACATTTAACAATGGAATGAATAATTACAAACAAACTGGCTGTATATTGTAAAAAATAATTAAGATTTTATTTGGTTGCATCATTCAGTTTTTAAAGTTTTATCCAACTTCTGTAATTTCTTATCCAACTTTTTATCCACCCAAGGATAGATGAGTCTGCCTGTTGCCAAAAAACATAAGAGCTCTTTCCATGAGTGGGTAGGGGCTGATGGGTTTGTCCACAAAGCTGTGGTCAAGCTAATTAACTGCCCAAATGGAACTTGGCATGTCTAGACAAGAAAAAATGTTACACCATTTACTATTATTTGGAATAATGAAAAAATCCTGTACAAGAATAAGCAAAACACGTTTGCCAACTAAACAAAGCAAATACTCAGTAAATACATATTAGTTTTTCAGATGTGAGTTCTTAACAAATTAGCAACAAACTACTGCTCATCAAACAACTTTGCAAACTAATGCGAGTCATGTTGTTTAAGAACAGAAAATGATGTCACAATAAAATATAAAATAACAAGATAAAATGTGTTTATAGGAAAGCTATCCCTCCAACTTAATGTCTATGTTGTAGTGCAGCAGCGAATGGTATAAATGAAAAGTAGAATAGTTTTTAACTATTTTAAAGCATCCTCCATGGGGTCGGTGTGGTCGAGTCGGTAAAGCTCATGGTTGCTAAACCGAAAAGTCTCGAGTTCGAACCCTCGGGCAGATGAGGCTCGTTAGCTGGGGACAGCCACTCTTCTAGGAGAGACAACTCCAAAATTAAACAACTGCTGCCTTGTAGTTTGTTCTTGGTTGGACAAAGGCTATGGAAGCAAATCAAAAAAGAAAAGCAGGCTGAAATCGGAGTCAATGGCCTCAATGGCGCATAACCAGTTGACACGTAACGCTTAATTGTGTTGGAGGCGTGGTCGAGTCGGCAAAAAGCTCATGGTTGATGTATTCGAACAAAGTCTCGAGTTCAAACCCACTGGCAGATAAATCTCGATCCCCTTCAACACTAATAATTAAGAACGAAGAAGAAGAAGAAAAGAAGAAGAAGAAAAGAAGAAAGCGTCCCTTTGATTGTCTGAAGTAGAGTTCACCTGTTTCTGTGACCTTGGCATTTGAAAAGATCATATAATCAGTTGGATGCCCAGCCACCTGATTTTTCCCTAATTCAATTGAGTCTGTTTCCCATCAAAGCTGGGTGGAATCAGTGACGTCCAATTGAGTAGAGTATGAGATGCAAGCCTGAGGCATTTGAGTTAGCAGTCACATGCCTTTCTGCTCTACCAAGATGGTATATAATGTACAACACCAGTAAATGTTTCATGCTCACTCAGGTGAAAGTTTAGTCTTATCAAATCTGTGGCTTTTTTGTAGCATGGTGGGTGCTTTGTAGTTGTCATACTTTTCATGCTAGTTTATAAAAGGCCCATTTATAACGATTAACACAACTTGCCTGCAGTGAAACTATGAGGTTATTGTCTTTTATATTCTTGACTTCAAACCTTATTCCCCCTGAAATTGAATTAAAAAACTGGGTTATTTAAAAAATGTTTTCCACCATAACTATATAAGAAAAAAAAAGAAGGTATAGAATATGAATTTTAAAAAAAATCTAAATTCTAACAATTTATCAACAATTGTGGAATATTAGTCCAGCAGACTCACCAGCAACCAGATTTGAAGCAACCAAACGCAGGGCAATGGTGAAGACAGGTGCTGTTCTGATCAGTATGACAACTTGTTTGATAACACCTTGGACAGCTAGCACTAACAGACGAAGCTGAAGAGTAAAGTTGTTATAAAATATTAATTGTAATTATTGAATATAAAATGTCATTTATTTTGTTTTAAACACCATTCACTGGAGAGTCAGACTTTTTGACTTCCCCTACATCAATTTCAATAGTTTTACAGATGTGTGACAGCATACAAGATATTTATCATTAACAGTAAATAATATTTTTACCTCGATGTATTGCTTTAAACCAGCAAAGTGATCATTAAACACATTTTATCATAGAGTAAAATCTAATTTGTTTATTTTTATGCGCTCACTAAATTTTTTATACCAAGGCATTTGAAATATTTTACATGCTTATAAATTACAATTTCTACACTGTTAATTTTGTTTGCTTATTTTGGGATAGGCAAATTTACAATGGTTAAATGTACAAATGAGCTACTCACTAAAGTAAAGACAGCATAGTAAAGTGCGGTGGTTGGCAGCAAGAACAGCAAGACAGTGAACAACAAAGTGCCTACAAACAGCTGATCAGTATTGTAGGCAGCAGAATCTACTCTAGATCGCAGAACATTCCATTTCTTCCCGCGGAATAGGCGCCATAATGAGCTCAATGCATAGACTTGAACATTAAAAATTCTGTGATAAAAGCAAGAGGAAACAAATTAAATGAAATAATAAGGTGCATAACAGAAATGAAATGACTAAAAACTGATCTTTAATTAAGGGGAGAGAAATGATACAAATTAAAAACATTACTAGAATACACTAAAGTAACATTAACAACAGTTACTTAAAAATATTTTTATACATCAGTTAAAAAAAATAATTAATTAGACATTGTAATTTATGCCCTGTCAATTAAAGAGAAAAACAATTTACAAAAACATGTAGAATACTTCAATCGAGTTTTAAAAAAAGAAACAACGGCTTTGGATTTTAGACATAATATTAAACAAAACAAAAAACCTACCTTGCAGCATAAACATAAAAACAATAAATATGTAATGTCAGCATTGAGAGCACATCCCTGACAAGGCAGAGCTGAGCTGACACACCAAAGATACCAACAAAAGAGGAATACCAGAAGATTGTTGGCATTACACTACGTAGTAGACTCAAGTAGCCTAAGAAAAAATGTGAAAAAATTTTTTTTTTGTAAACAAACTAGCAGCAAAAAAGAAAAAGCTACAACAAAATAATTTTCTAAAAAATAAGAGCCAAAATATCATACTATTTAGATGATGGTTATGATCTTTAATTTATGGGAAAATTTGAAAATGAAGCCAACCTGTCCATAGATAGATATGATAAATGAAGAAATGCCCCATAAATTTTGTAAGCTGGGCATTCAACTTAAGTCCTGCAGGGGCGCCCATCAACCAGTTGACTAAAACATTAAGTCGCAGAGCCACATCCTGGAGAAAAAAAATTTCAGTTAGCTACAGAAATTTCTCTTTTTCTTAAACTTTTTCTACACTTAAGTTAAGCTGAAAACTAATATTGATAGTGAATAGAAAATAAATAATTGCTTTAATGAAGAAAATGGGAAAACACTTACATCTGCCCAGTCTAAAATTACATCTGCTATGTCATTTGCCAAACTGAGGTGCACTATCAAGTAGAGGAACAGAATGCCTAACAATGTGTCCATCAGTTGTTGTACACAATGGTTATAAAAACTACAAGATAAAATTTAAAAAAAAAAACGGTAGTAATCTTACAAAGTAAAATATGGAGAAACTATTAAAAAACATATGTACTGATTAAATGTTTATATACTTCAAAACTCACATGAATCTTTTAAAATTTATAGTCTTTTTTAACTTGAGAGTCATATGTGATCGCTTGGCTTGAAAGTGGAAATGTTCAACAATAAAAGGAAACTGAAGGAGATGAGGTAGAAGATTACATCTTGATCTTGCATTCTGCCATCTGGGGAATATAAAAATTAATACACTTCTGATCCATTTAAGCTGTTCAACTGTGACACATGTGTAATACTTGCAGGGGGTCACAAACTGGTAAGCACTAGAATATTTCAACCCAGTATCACATTTAATATATTAACAAATACTAAAACAATAAAATTATTATTCCCTCTAATAAATAATGTTTAAATGATAAAAAGACTTACCCACAGCTTACTAAAGTGCCAATTTGATGATAAATCCATATAACAGAAAGAGGCAGTGGAATAATGACAAAGTTAAGAAGCTGCCAGATTTTTTGCAGTATTGATGAGGAATTTTTATAAAATGTCTTGACATCAGGCACTTGTTTATCCTGATACCTGTACACATTTTTACCCAAATTTTCTAGAAAACTCTCTGCATGCACAGGGGAAAGGTCCTGGGCTGTTTGAATATTGTTCTCATCTTTTTTCTCTGTTGACACATTTTTTCTAGCTTTAAATAATTTAGTTTCCATTTTATCCAATAAATTATGGTTCACTTGACTACATGCTGTGTGAAAGAGGATGTATGAAGATAAAAACTTATGAGGGTGATAAAAAATACAGACAGCTGGAATCTCTTCATATTCAGATAATAAAGAGTGTTTGAACTTCAGGTTGCAGAACAATGAGTAGTCTGACAAATCCATGTTGAGGTAAAGTGTATAACCATGACTCACAGGATGGAAATCTCCAATGTTTTCCTTTGGAGTCTGCCAAAGTCCAACTACATTAAGCTCATCTTCACTACTGTAACTGCATTTTGTTATCAATGTTTTAGAAATGCCATGAATAAAAACTAAAGCTCTGGCAGGCTCAACTAGGCCAATCAGATATCCTGGGGGCTCCAGATGAATGTCTTGTGGGATACAAATATTCCAAGGTTTTTTGCAATCACTCATCATTGTTATCGTTTACTTGTTATCATTTGTAAAGACCTGAAATAGTGGAGTCAATTTGAAACGAGTAAAGAAAAATATTAAGTGAAAGTCTTTTAGAGGTCTTCCATTAAATATATGAATAAATTAAACAAATATTAATAAAACTGAGAAGAGTCATGTGTTGCCCATGTATCAGGCCCCCAGGGAATAGGGGGGGGGGGGTTCACAAAGTGTGACGCACTTTTGCATTTTAAAAAGTGATGTTAGAAAATAAATCTTTTCTATTATTTTACATTTAAAAGACTGTTTTGATCGAGCTCAATAAATATTTTATAATGAAAAAACTGGGTGGTAGTAGGCTCAAGTGTGATGTCACTTATTGATTGGCTTTTTATAACTATGAGTGAAGATAGGGAGGATGGCATCTTTTAAATTTATGGTATTAAAAATGCATAGTCCCTTACATGTGAAATTTTTTTTTATAGATCTGCTAGTGTATCCATTGCTGCTGTCTCAGAAGAAAGGCTGACGCAATGTTTTAAGCATTAACAATAGTGTACTAAAGTGTACTTTTATATGTGTGACCTTATTTTCTAAAACTGAGAAATATAAGTGTAAACAGCGCTATATATTGGATTTTGGAAGTTGGGGCGCTGGTTTCTTCACACTCCTGCTCAGACGACATAGTGCTTACAAGGGAACCGTAGTCTGATTTGATTTATCATAGACTTAGATCTAGCAGTTCCGAGTAATCTGATGCCTACCTAAATTACAGGCCACTTGTTGAATTTTATAATTATTAGTTATTAGATAGATCTAGAACTAGACTAGACTCAAGTAGATCTAAAATATAATTCAAAACAATAATGACCTACTGCCTTTAGTGGCCCTTTATGACTTTAGCCATTTATAATTTTATTTAATATTTTAATATTTAGGGCTTACGCTAGGCGTATTAATTTATATATAGTTATATAGATCTAAATAATATTAATATAAATAATTTTTAAATATCAATCAAAGCTTTGAATTGAACTAGAAATCTAGGATTTTACTAGGAAAATATTTTAAATAACTTGGATAATAGCTAGAATCTAACCCAACCAACCATCTAGACTAGACTAATTCTATCTACTACTATCTAGAGAAAAATCACACTGTGACTGAGAGTGGTTGAGTCCAGACTTCTTTCAGTAAACTTTCATAGTTTCATGATCATCTCAATATTTTTTCAATCTGATTTCAGTTTCTTCGACTTCGTAATTTAATAAACTTTAATTTTAACTTCAGTCAGATATAATATAGATCTAGAATCTAGATCTAAATCTAGATTCTAATAAGATCTAGATTTAACAATAAAAGTGCATATCAGAGTATTAATATTATGAAGCAATATTCAAGTTTGTTTCAAAAGAAACAATAAATGCTTCACCTCTTCGTTGATTATACTACAAAAGAAATAATTTCTCCGTTGCCTTCTTCCAAATGTATCCTAAATTTTATGTTTTTGAATTCTACCGGAACAAGTTGCTGTCATAGCAACAAAAGCGACAAAGTCGTTCAACTTTCACTTTTGGGTTTAGGCCCACCGTAACAGTAATTGTTAGTTTTATAGTTTTATGATTTAAACGGCAGCATTAGAAACATTTTTTTGGTAGTACTAGAGATCTAGATCTATATCTCCAATTTATTGCTTGAACTACTCACTAATACTTATTATCTGTAACAAAGTTAAATCCTGGATTAAGAAGTGCCTTCGCCTTCATGTTCAACTTGGTTGCTGTTAAACTTTTTTAACTTTTTATTATTTTATTGACTTCAACTTAAGTTAATAATAAAAATAATAAAATTATTATTATTATTACGTTGTACACTAGTTACTAGTTAAGTAACTAGATCTAGAATCTAGAAAAAGTTACTTCTTATAGCCCAAGTCAAGTTAATTATACACTACAGTATAATTTATACTAATTAACTATTAGTAAATTAGTAAATTACTGAATACTAACTTAAACTTACTAAGATTTAACTAAGATAATAATTTATAGTAGGCCCTATACTGTATACAGCCTTATGAATTAATATTTTAATAATACTATGTTAATCTGTAAATCAGTAACAAAAATTTTAACTTTCCATTTAGCGACAAAATGAGTCGTCTATATGATACAGTAGAGCCATCTGTCATAGATGAGGAAATGTTACACAAGGCTGTGGAAGAACAAGGACCAAAAGATGAAGCTGGCAAGATAGCAAAGAAGGAAGGGATTAATTTTGCTGATGTTTTGTCACTCAGGCTGGATTTTAAAAGTATATCGTTGTAAAATAATTGTAGGTCATTAGGCCTATATTATATATATATATATATATATATATTTATATATATATATATAGGCCTATATATATATATATATATATATATATATATATATATATATATATATATATATATATATAGGCCTATATATATATATATATATATATATATATATATATATATATATATATATATATAGGCCTATATATATATATATATATATATATATATATATATATATATATATATATATATATATATATATATATATATATATATATATATATATGTAAAACTGTATGGTGAAATATTATTCCTTAGTCCTTGTGCTGGTTTTAATGTAAACACTTTTAAAATTCAGATTACTTAACTCTTTTTCTTATTAACAATTGCAGATATTTTAAAGATTGATAATCTTTGGGAGTTCACATCCCTGACAAAACTGCAACTTGATAACAACATTATTGAAAAGATAGAAGGTTTAGATGTTTTGGTTAACCTGTTGTGGCTTGGTAATTACATACATCTAATCTTTTCTTAAAGTTTAAACTTGCATATACGATTTTATACATTCTTGTTCATACAACTATAACACATTTAAATTACCATCAAATATACAAATGCTAATACACTAAACTAGGCTACTTTCACAATGTTAAAAACATCAATTTTGATTATTCTGATAGTCTAATGTTATGTATTTAGTGATTTTATGCTGTCATTTGAATGAAAATAGAACACAGATTTTAATACTAGCTTTCTAATTTAGAAGAATAAGATTTAAAATCTAATTTGCTATTTGTTTTGCTATTTATAGATTTGTCATTTAACAACATTGAGGTTATTGAAGGTCTCAGCAAATTGACTAAACTCCAAGATTTAACTTTGTACAATAACCATATTAGCAAAATAGAGAATCTTGAAGCTCAAGTCAATTTAGAAGTGTTTTCTATAGGAAATAATGAAATTAAAGATATCAAAGATGTAAGTATATTTACTATGAATTAGAATGTACTGAGTTTAGGGATGAATTTGCTTCTTATTTGGTCTGATCTTTGATACAAATTTAAAGATGGTTAAATTGTAACATTTTTATTGTCATATGATGTTGATTACAGTTTCAGCCATTCTTAATAGATTAAGCCAAAAAGTATTTAATTAAAACTTTATGTAATGTATGATAGGCTACCTGTTGTACTCTAGCCATGAAATAGTTTGCTACAAGTTGCTATCCTTTTTAGGCCTTTAAGACTTATTTTTTTACTCAACAGATACTAAACCTGAGGAGCTTTACAAAACTTAAAACACTGAACATTGGCAATAACCCAGTTTGTCAAGAAGAGAATTTCAAACTTTATGTAGCAGCATTTCTTCCTAACTTAGAATTCCTTGATTACAGACTGCTTGATCAACAAACAGTAAGGAATTTCTTTGTTGTATTTACAAACAGTATTATTAGTATTAAACTAAAAGCTATAGTGTCTTCAAATAAGTATGATTTATTTTTTATTTTTTAGAAAGTAGCAGCTTATGAGAAATACCAGAACCAAGTTGAGGAACAAAATGATAAGGACAATAAAGCCAAGACAGCAGCAGAAAATGAGGAAAAGCTGAAGGAATTGGTTGAGCTCCAGCAGGTTGAGTGCTACTGTAGTTTTATAAACTTTTTACCAAAGCTGAAGATCTATGTAGTAATTATTGCAATACCTGAGATGAACAATCTATTTGCCAGAAAAGTACAGCTTTGATCTGTCACACATTTTTGCTGCCTAAAATTGTGTATCCAATCTTTGAGGTTAAATGAAGTGCTGATTTAAAAACAGTATGACAAATGCATCAAGAAATAAAGTAATAGGCTTAGCTAGCTAGAATTGTGGGAATTGAGATCATTTTAAAACTTGAAGGGAGAATGTTCTGCTGCCTTTCTTGGAAAATCTGATAATAGCAGAATCAAAGGCTTTTTATATACTTGTAATTTTTGGGGATAGTGCAAATAAATGAGATGGGGGAGTGAGGTAATTGACCTTGGGGTAATGTCCTGCTGCTATATTGTGTGATCAGTCAACTTTGACATGTCAAATTTTCATAAATAATACTTGACTGAGAACAACTGATCTTTATTTTTTAAATCACAGACTCTAATAATACTTACAGCATGTAAAATCTTGGATTGGAACAAAAAAATGATTGTGTTGCGCTATACAATAAAAATAGTTAACACATTTAGGTCTTTAAAATCTAAAAGTGTAAAAGCCCAATCCTATTTTTAAATTCTAAGTAGTTCATAATTTTTTTTTTCTTAATGTATGCTTTAAAATTTCCTTAATAAATTATTTTATTAAAGTCAAAACAACATAAACTTTTATTAACAGAAAGCCTATATTGAGTATCTGGATACAGACAAACTGTTTGTTGACATGTATGCTGATGACCCAGAAGGAAACAAACTCAATGAAATACCTGGTGTTGATGAGATGCTTGTTTTATATCCTTTACTTTTTTATATGTATTTTAACTAGATAACTTATCATGCGATGTGTTACTATAATACTTAGTTTAATTTATTATTCAAGCTAGATAGACAAACCAACATAGACACATGTTTTAAAAATTTACAATATTCTGTGAACACCACTTGGATGGAGAGAAATGTGTAATCAGCATACAACTAAAATAGTTTCATAGACTTTCAACATTACAGAAAAATAATTTTAACAAGGTTCAAATAATAATCTTCTGTACCTATTATATGCTCCTTAACTTAATTTCACTTTTAAAGAAAAGCTAGTCAATGTTTGTAAGGAGTTGTTCAATTTTGGTCTCCAAGAATATGAAAAGAGAAAAGCTGAGGTGGACATGTTCTGGGAGTGTGTAAATGAGGCCAAATTAGAAAACAAGCAAGAAGGCATGAAAGCTATTGCAGATTTCAATAGTAAGAAGAAGCTGGTAAGAAGTATCAAGATATAATTCTTATAAATTTAATTAAGTGCATCAGGAAAAAAAAAGCAATACAAATTTCATTTTGTTGATCCTAGACATTGTTCAATATGTTTTTTTAAAATGTGTAAAAATTTTAGTAGTAATCTGAGTGAACTTCCAACCAATTTATTTCCTCGATTTTAGATATTTCTTGAAATTCAAAGCTTGACGGACTCAAAATTGATGGAAGCAAAACTTCGAGGTTACAACGACATGATCTCACAGCTCTGGGACAAACTTATGGGGCTAGAACTTCAACTGGTTGATCAACTTGAGGTAAGGAACAAATACTATTTCATCTACTCTTGGTTCAATGATAATTTGTTTTCATGTAATGTTTATACCCTGCAATATTTTTTGACAGGAAATAATCAAAGATTTTGATCGCAACATGCAAGATTTGGTGGGTGTATTTCTTGAAAATGTACAGGGATATTTAACACAAGCAAGAGAACTGGAAAATATGCACAATGAGAAAATGATAGAGATGGCCACAACTGCACTGGAAAAAGCTGCAAAGAATGAACTGGATGATGATATCTCAGAGGATCTTAGGATGGTAAGATATTCACATTGATGTTTTTAATTAGTAGAGATGATTTTTTTTTTCTTAAAATGGTTAATAACATTGTTTGAGATAGATTAATGTTATCTTTTACTTTATTTAAAAAATGCTTATATTTTGATACTGTTATAAGTATTAAAAATAAAATCTCTAATCTAATGTATGGAGCACTATTTCTGTTTAATTTTTTATAGTTTTTTTTAAGGCCCTTCACACCTACAGTGCTACACTATGATGTTGGTGTAAAAGTTACCATTTTTTTCTCTAATCAGTTGTTAGTAGACAAAGACACAGTAATGAATGCAGTGACATCCTCCCATGATGTCCATCTCCTAAAGATTGATAACAAAGAAGATGATATAGTTACTAGAATCAATGGTTGGCTTAAGAACATGATTACCTCCATTCATAATGAAGAGGAAATAAAGCGTAATCGCACAAGGGTTACAGAAATTAATCATCTTATTGACCACTTGAGAGAAGAGTCAGAAGGATTAGACCTAGCAGCAGGTGGGTAAAACCTGCCAAAGTTTCAAAATATATAAAAAAATGATGCTTGACATGATTAGTTAGAGTGATTACTAACTTGAAGATGAATTAATTTGATTTGAAATTTGATGTCTTTTAAAATGTGTATCAACATTTCAAAATATATGCATAGCCATTAAATTTGTATCTGGAAGATAAAGGTTAAAGACATTTGCACACGATGAGTTCTACATGTATCCTCTTAGTTTTATGAAGTATACAGTTATAATATATACTTAAATAGTAACAGCTGTTTATATTGTAATAAAATTATACTCTCCAAAATGCTATAATTATTGAATAAATGGGTGGGTGATGTATACTTTTCCCCTAATTCTAAATGCTTTACAACTCTAATATAGAAAAAAAACTTGATTAAAGACTTTTACTACTTCCATAAATTAAGATTATATTTTAATTAATTTTATTACTAAAAGTAGAAAGTAAGAATGACTTTTTTTTAAATTTGTAGATGTATACTTTTCCCCTAATTCTAAATGCTTTACAACTCAAATATAGAAAAAAAACTTAATTAAAGACTTTTACTACTTCCATAAATTAAGATTATATTTTAATTAATTTTATTACTAAAAGTAGAAAGTAAGAGTGACTTTTAAAAACAAAATTTCAAATTTTATTTAAATGTTATTTGCTATAATTATTCATATTTACAGCTGATCAACTTGTAAGTAATGTTATAGTTATCTGTTATACATTCGTTCCTGACATGAAACTTTTTTTTTTTTTTGGATTAGATTCATTTTATTTTTTTCTTTTGTTATGCATGTAAATACTCTCTTTTGTACACATACATACATATATACACACACACATAGACAGATATAGGCTATATACACATCAATAGGACTAAATGCTAGTCCGAGCAATAAATATCAAAATTATATAGGCCTAATTTAAAACAAAAGCCTAAAAAAAATTTTCCTTTCTATTTTCTTTGTTGTTAGCTTTTATCTTAATATCCTAATTACACAACTTTTAAAATAAAAAACTTTATGAATGTTACGCTTACATTTTATGACATTTTACTGTTTAATATTTACTTTTTTTTCCTGTAATGCAACTTTTTATTCTGAAATAAGTGTGGTTTAAATCAATGGCAGGTTTCACTTTATAAAAGTCACAGAAATTTCATTTTATTGTATATTTTATTGTAGATTTGTATATATTGTTGAAACCTATAGAATATGCATTCTCATTTTCTGAATAAAACATGTAGTTAAATTGTTTTGTTGCTATTTAAATTTTTTAACATGTGGTAACAAGTTTATGCACAAGACCAAAGACAATTTAAGAGGGAGGAGAGCTCAAGAAAAAGTAGTTCAAGAACTAAGTGCCATTCAGATTTGTAACATTTATACTGGAGTTGTTTTTTTTTTTCTTTCATAGTAATATGATAGAGAAATCATGCAACTTAATAAATCACTAACAAGAAGAAATAACTAGATTTTACTACCGATAAATGAAAAGTATTTTACTTTTTATTTTAGGGCACTAGATCTCGGGTGGCATTTGGAGGAAGTATAATGAAGCAGTCGACGGGTGAAATAAGTACCAGCACAAAACAGTATGGGAGTTCTGCCACAAGCTCCTTACGAGGATCAAATAACTAGCTTAAAAATATGTATCACATATAGGGAAAATCTGAGCATTTTTCCTATTTACATTATTTTAAGTTGTATCTATCAACTGTTCATCGTCCTAGTATGCAGTGATGAAATTATTAACTATCAACCAAAATTCATACAAGTTATTCAGATATGTTAAAGGGTTAAAAGTAAAGCAAAAAATTATTCTAGATATGTAAAACTGGTGTAGGAACATGATGTCACATCTCTGTATTTTTAGAATTATATATTTTTCATGTACATAATAAACTGTTCACAAATGTGTTTTAAATTTTTCCACAAATTAGTTATTTAATTTGTAAATAAACATTAAAACAGTATTATGCCTTAATCTTAATTTTTAACTTGGATATTGGTCTGAAATATTTACCCTCAAATTAGAACGATAAATCTCTTTGCTGCTTTGCACACACAACTTTACAATCAGATTCTACCATTGTGTAACTCACACAAGTGGGATTTGAAGAGAGTGGTTTAATTAAAGATAATTGTTGACCTCATTTGGTGGTTAATCATTTTTCATAAGGTTGGAATTAGCCATTAGTTAACCAACTTTGATCTGGTGGATAATATTAGCTATAATATAACAAGTGTATATTAAATAGTATTTAAAAGAATCTAGTTTAGGCTACTATCTAGTAGTGGTCTTTATTTACTATTAATCTGGATTACACAACTCCTGACTTTTCAGTGGTATAAGGTAATTATTTTGTCATCACATACTCAAACAAATGAGTTACAAAATAGTTATTTGTTTAAATATTTTTAGAGTTAAAACTTTAAAAATTTAATTACAACTTAAAAATAAAGCAACAATATCTGTGAGTTATTTTGTTTAATTAGTGAAAAAAAAAATAGAATGATGGTGTTATCATACTGGTGCCAAAGAAGCTTTTTGTTTTATAGAAGAACTTTCACTGCACCAATGCACAAACAAAACTGCTGCAGCGATTCTAGACCTCAGCTCATAGACCTCAATATCGTGGTACCACTCAACACTGCCCCAATGATTGGTCTGAAAAATAGATTAACAATAAATTAAAATTAGTAATAGAAAAAGTTAAGAACATGTGAGGCCCCTAGCAGCATAGAGTGTGATATCAATATAAAATCCAATCACATTCACATCTCCAACCCCGTCACCCCCACCCCCCCTCAAGCTAAATCCAAGTAGCCATTCACATAGAAAGGATTAATAAGATTTCCCAAAAATGTCAAACTAGAAGCTCAAGCACCACATCACCTTCTCAACCATGTTGTACTCCTTTTATTTATAACACCAGTGGCGTAGCGAGGTCGGGTGTCACCCGGTGCGGCACTTATTGATGTCACCCCCCAGGGCGTAGCGACCCTTCCCGGGGACAGTTTCAATTTTCGATTTGCACCCCCCCCCCCTCAAACTTTCTATTTGCACCCCCCCCCATCAACAAATTTTTCTCTATATATTTTGCCTTGGTGTCACCCCCCTAAATGGTGTCACCCGGTGCGGTCCGCACCCCCCGCTACGCCTCTGACACTTACTGTTTTTGTATAAGATTGCAATGAAAAATATCAGAGATATTCTAAGCAAAGCTGAACTTCTTATTGTATATGAGACTTTATGACAATTAAAAAGACTAGGCGATTATAGCCAGTGGTAGACTAACCTGGAACTGCTGCTCAAGTCTAGCAAGATCTACAGCAGACTCAACATTAATATGTTTGTCAATCAATGCCATTATAAGAAGCAATGATTTTATTGTGTCGACAGCATAATGATAACCTTAGAGAGACATAAACAAATGAAAAATGTGTTGATTTCCTAAAATAGATAATAGAGATATTTAAGTGAAGTTTACTTTTGGACATGATCTATAGGGCAGTTTAAAATAGAGCATCTGTTTCTTGACTAAGTAGTATGAAGGGATGGTGTGTAGTCAGCACTATAAAAAAAAAAGTTTCCCTTTCAAACCTGACGGTCTATGGGGCAAGTGAAGTAGAGCTCATTTGTTTCTGTGACCTCAGCATATGAAGAGATAGTGTGGTCAGCACTATGCCCAGCCACCTTTACTTTCTCTAACGTGAGTTAGGTACCCATCAGAGTTGAGTGGACTAGGTACGTCTAGTGACTTGAACCCGGATTCAAACTCGAGACTTACGGGTTAGCAGTCCAGTAACCACTACGTTCCATAGTCAGCACTATACCCAGCAGTCAACATCAGAGCTGGGTACTCATGGATGTCATACAGACTTGGGTCTGAGATCCAAACTCAACACTTTTTTGGTTTGCAATTGTGCGCTACACCACAACCACCCCGTACCATAATAGAGATATTTTAACAGTTAATTAATAAACAATTAAGTTAATTATATATTACCAAAAAGCGCCCAATCACTGTATGAGTGTAAATGCCTTCGGACAATGTCTTTAGACTCGTTACTGACAACTGGAGGTGCCATACTGGAGGTTGGAGAAATTTCTAAGCCATACCTTAAACAAACAAACATTTTAATTTTTCACCATCTTTCAATTAGCTCAATTAGCATTTTTTAGCACAATTTCCATACGGACAATTGCGATTATTAACTCGTTCTGGATGGATGTGTGTCCGATGTGTGTCCGCAGCTTTAAGTCGTATCTCCCCCTCAACGAAGCAATATCGAGGACTAGTTCCAAAAGCAAATATGTTAAGCAAGTTCCGAGGATGATTGTGGGCCAAAAAAATTCCCGGAATTCCTTCCTGGATTTCCCGGAAAAGCCAAAAAACCTCGAAAAAATGCAGTTTTTGGCCCATATCTCGGCAACCAGACCACTTAGCGACTTGAAACATTTACCAATCGATTCCTGCCATAATTTAGAACAATATTGCCGAAGAAAGTTTTCAAAAATATCCTTTCGTTCGGTCACAAAAAATTAATTAAGGAAATTGCGCTTAAATTGTCACTAGACTTTTTATTAACTTGTTTTTGTTTTAGTATAAGGTTAATTAAAAAATTAGACAATATATTCAAAGGATCATTGCTTACCTCTGGGAGCACCAGTCAAGGATGGGATCCCAAGTTTCTTTTTCTAACTTATCTAGCTCGGGTGGTTCTGTTAATCTGTAGCTAAGAGAGATAAAATACTGTGTCACATAATGCAATTAATCTGTTAAAAGGGACATTTTATTAATGTGCTGCTATACAGAGTGCCATAATTGTAATGTCAACTTCTAAACAATGGCTAATGTAAAGAATAACAAGGTTTTGAGTTTTATAATGGATGGCAAATATTAAAGTAAAAATTGAATAATTATTTATACTTTTTCAACTACCTGTTTTCTCTTTTAGTTCATAGTTTCTTTTTACAAAAATGCATTTATACTTTGTTCTACATTTGTAAGCAACACTAAACCAAATAACCTCAATGTCCATAAAAAAATTTTTTAAATTAAAAGATTGCCAACATTTATGCTTACCAGATTGTGTCTGTTTCCAAAAAATGTATGATGGTATCTATTAGCTGTTCACGCGATTTGTGCATAGGATTATCAAGTGCAGTGTTGCATAATGCTGTCTGGGGAACAAGTTTGTTTAACTTTTAAAGTATTAAAAATACAAACATAACAAAATAGCAATCTGTAATAAAATCAATGACATCCACTTATAATAAACATAATGTGGTTTTTACTTTGTTTACTTACCAGGTGCATAGCCTGCCTATTAACAAGTGTGCCCTGAGAATTCCATTCTGTTGCGACAGCCAGAGCCAATGGTTCACTGGGAACTTTGAAAACATTTCCATGCGGTGTTCTTAATTTCCGTTTGTCAAGATTTATTTCATACCACCCTAAGGGTTAAGATAATTTTAAAATGGAAGTTATATTGTTTTATATTGAATAATTAAATATAGCCAAATATATTTTGTTAAATTGGTATGGTACACTACAACAATAATTTAGGTAACTGAAACATTGGGTCTAAGGAAAGTTAACCCTTAAAAATAAAATAATTTATTTGTAGTAATTTCACCCTTAAATATTATATAACAGAACTCACCGTCTGCAGTAGCTATACTGGCATTTTTGTAAAACTTCTTTAATTCTGAAAAATAAAATATAGCATGATTATTTTCTCTATTGGATCGCAAAACATACAAAAACCCTGCTTTAAATAAAATTAGAGTACTCTATTAAAAGTGGCAAGTTTTTTCAACCGTTATGATTTTTTTTAATAAAATGCTTTTTTGTATTTGTAATATCACAACGGTTTAAAAAAATGTTTTTGGTATATATGAATAAATTGGTTTTTAAAGTTGTCATTGTTTAGCATGCATAGGCCTTATAATACTACTATTATTACTACTAAAAGTAATAAAATTTCAACATCATCATTTAATTTTCTTTCATCTTTAGAATAAGAGATCAATACGTATATATTTTAAAATAAAAGTCATTAGACCTAATGTGTTAATTAATTATTCATCCGGTTAGTTTGGGTTTGTATAACATTGTTATTATTAAACATATGTTAAAATTTTGTTAGAGAGTGTAGATGATAGGAATATGCAAGTGAAATACCGCTCAATTAAAAGGAAAACAACTTATAATTAACTTAATAAAGCCCAATTAAGGCGTGCGGTGCCGTTCTACAATGATTGTCACAAGTCACTTTTCATACTGAATATCTATGTTGTTATTGATGATACAAAGATAAAACTTAGCACATAGATGCTTAAGGATGTTGGGAATAGAAACTTACAAGTCAAAAAAATGCTAGAAGAAAAAGACAATCACATATAATAAAGTCTGATTAATGGGGGTGGCACTGAAATCTTGTATCAATAATACTGGAATATGATATGGTTAGGATTATGTTGAAGTATCTAAATATTAGTAGCATTAGTTATAGGCTACTTTTAATAAGTAGCCAAGGATGGCTAATCAATCAACAGCCTACAGAAACTAGATGACATGTGCCGCAATCGAAGGATAGACAGCTGTCTTATTTGCTGATCTGAACCTACTGTTTAAAAATATTACTGTTGCTTAGTTTAAGTTATTTTTAAATAAAATTAAGTCACATTGTTCAAAGTGTTTCTGTTTTCTTTTTGACTTTTTAAAAAATGTATCTATTACTGTTGCTTTAGATCACATTGTTAAAGTGAAGTAAATTTTAATTAGGCTTGGCTATTATTTATTTACCCAATTGAAAATGACTAATATGGAAGATTATTAATGAAAGGGGCTATTAATTCCATTGCTTTAAATTTTATTTAATCCATAAAAAACATTTTATAAGCTAAGATCTTGCCAATTCAATAAATACTGTTAAACAGTAACATCAAATGTGCAATTTTTTATATTTCATGCCTGTGGAGTATGGGCGGTCATGAAAATTTCAACTCGGCTGTCATTATTAAAATTGTGTAGATCCACATCACTTCACGCAAGAAGCCATATCTGGTTATAAAGAGCTAAAAACCCCATAAAACCAACATTTCCATCCATCAAAATAGTTTGGCATTACTTATTTACTAGTTTCCTGAACTTATTCTCTTTTTTAAATGTCGACATTGTGTCCGCGGGACCCCCAAAGATTTACCAATGCTTTTTAAGTAAATTTAAGCATGTTCCAATTAAAAGAACTCTATGTCTAAGTCTTTAAACTTTACTTTCTTGCTAAAATTAATACTCAATGAAAGAGGTCGGGTACTTTGTTTAATGAGACATGCTCGCTAAGATAGCTTGATAAAAATTGGAATCGATATGTTAAAACATAACTAATAGTTTTCCATAGAAACATAGAATATAAAACAGCCCACTTATATTTGACGTATCGAATACATTAATTTATCGATTCTCTCGTGATAACTAAGCACTTGGGTTGAAAATGGCCAAAATAACAAAAGTTGGCATGAAAAAGTTCGGATGTGGCCAGATTAAACAAAATGGCGGACATTGAAATGCCTACTATAGTTTGTTGTTATAACGTGAAAGCCCAGCCATTTTGCTCGTGGTAAACATTTTGGCCGATGCTAGCCGGAAAAGATACGCATGCGCAATTGAGAAACTACAACTTGTCATCGCGGCGATGTTTTTGATGGTACTGCGCATGCGTGTGTTTACAACCACAGAACCCTAATCCTATCCCTATCCCAACCCTAATCTTATCCCTATCCCTAATTCTAACCCTAGCCATAGGTCACTGCGCATGCGCAGAACTATCTTTTGCCGACTAAGTGAAGATGTTGGGGAGAAAAATCTTCAGAGTAGTCACTTCGAAACATTTTTAAAAGTAATTCATAGAAGGTCACTGGTATTTGGCAAAAAAAATCGTCAGAAGTCATGTGTCCAATGTGGGCGCCATACTGTTGTTAGCAACCGGCCCCGTCTCCTGGCAGAACAAGCCAGCTAACAACTTGTAACAAGCCTACAGTACAGGTACAGACACCAGTCAGTGCTGAGTGAGTAGTACAGGTAATCTATCGTTTTGGGTACGTAAAATCGCCCGCGGCTATTAATGTACGAAAACGTTACCTCATTGTCAAGGCTGTAATAGAAGTATATTGTGATATGTTTGTGTCAAATATTATAGATAAATGAATAATAAACCTAAATCAATGGCTAAATATATCAATATAGGCCCGAAATTAACTTTAAACAGCAGTGTCTGCAAGCAAGATTTGCTATACTATATAAACAGCAGCCATTTGTAAAATAGAGTGACTTCCGCCTGAATCTTGCGCTATAAGTCTATAAAAATAAAACTTTAACAAGATGGCTGCTATAGTAAATGAGCATGGTTGCATCTGTTGGAAACATCGCTGGTGTTCATTTATTACTGAAAAGTTTTAATTCAATTGTTTAGAAACAGGTACATAAATGAAACAAGGAAACATTTTTGTATTTTTCAAAACATAAATCCTCCTCAAAATGTGAAATAATTATTAAAATGTAAGGAGTCACCTGTTTTTCACATTACTAGTCGCGGGCGATTTTACGTACCTAAAACGATAGATTACCGTAGTACAGTAGTCTACTAGCTAGGCCAATGCAAAAATTTAATTTCAGTAAAACAATATAATAGTTACATATTTGGATAGGGACTGTCAATCTGATTACAGATCAGTTTGAATTTTCAAAATCTGCCCATAAACAAAAAAGTTATGAATTTTTTTGTCATTAAAAAACAGCAGTTTTTTCAGACAACCGGGGTAGACCCTGAAAGAGGAAAAATACTGGGAGGGTATGGACCAAATTTTTAAGAGTTTTTCACTAAAAGTGGTATAAAAGCAAGCAGACTTCACCAATTGATGTCATTTTATGATATTTTGTAGATTTTTCTATGCCGAATCCAATGATGCTATTTTAAAAAGTGTCTTTTGATTATATAACAGACTTATTTCATGGATTATGTAATACCCCCTTCAATTTTTTTTTACAACATCTGATAATCCGTGTGATAAGAAGTCATTCTTTAAATTAAACACTGTTTTAAACCATAATATGACATTTGTATATGCTGAAGCTAATGGTGATATTTAAAATGGTAGAACATTATTACAAAACTATTATAAAGGTCAGGTTATGTAATTCGCACCTTTTGCTCATAATTTACCATGCATTTATTTTAAAATCTCTTTTGCTCATTGTCAGTTAACTGAATAGCCTACTTAAAGAAAAGATAACTAATACAGTTTTAATACAAAGAGAAGGATGCTATAACAATAGTATATTTGTGATGATGTAACTTCTTAAAATATTTTATGTAATCTATGTGCAATCGTACAGGCCTACTCTATTCCAAAAATATAGGCATATCTTATTATATTTATATTTCTTGTTACTTTAAATGTCATACCATTGATACAACTTTCTTCTATAGAATTAGCCTAGTTACAAATGTGTCTTATCAGAATCAAGGTGCTTTATGACAAATTTGTAATATTTTTAAACACAAAAAAATTGCTCATTTTTACAATTTTAATAACATAAACATTGGAGGAAAATTGTTTTTTTTTAGCTTGTACAAGGTAGTGTAAGTTATAGGTCTATAACATAGATTTATATATGCTCAATTTTTATGCTAGTTGTAAGCTTGTGTATTTTGTAGGCCTACCATAGGCCTATTACATTGGGGGAAAAAAGCACGTGTTTGAGTGCTTGACTGTGTGTAGTAGATGCTAGGCATTTTTAAAGTTTCCTGTGTCTGGCTAAACACCGAGGCGTTTATCACCATCAGCATTTGCCTAGATTTAGTTCAATCAGACGTGGTTAACCAGGTTTTCTGACCAACGAATTTTATTGCCGTATTACGTAAACACGAGGCAAGATAGGCTAGTCGGCCAACCCGATGAACGTGTTGGACGAATGTTATGTAATTTTAGAGACAAAAGTCTGGGAAGATTTCCTGATCTATGCCCGAGGGTTAGTAACATCAACTCCACAAAGTGAAGGGGGAGGGAGGTGGGGTATGAAACCACCGCGAGCCGCTCGGGTACCGTACGGGTGTTATACAACATCAAAGGCGCCGACCCTCGGCTTGTCGCGTCACGGAGTAGTGGGGGCGGGGTGAGGCTATGGATGTTACATACGGTGTTACAATTGTTACATACCGTGTAGGATGGTCAGTGACTCCCCATACCCACCCCATCCCATTTTGGTCGATTTGGCAAGCTAGTAACCTCCACGTTGTTACGGGTTTTAAAATTTTTTAGTCAACCGAAAAAAAAAAGAGCCCGGGGTAAAATTTAATTTATTTTTAACACGTTTTTCTTAACTCAGCTTCGCGTTTGTTTGTTTGGTTGTTTGGATGTTTGTTGTTAAAATTGACATCGAAAATTAGCCCACTTCTGATTGCTCTAGAGACCTGAAATTTGGCATGCATGCTACTTTCGCCTAACAATTTCAGATGCAATCATAAAAACTAGCAATTAGTGACCGTAATTAGCTTAATTTAATTACGCCCCAAGGACCATAAAATTGAGGACATGATTTCTAAAGATACCGACAAGACTGGAGGCTTATTGACACAGTTACTTCGGCCCCAATCGATGTGAGCGCGCTGGCCGTGATCGTATAGTGGTTAGTACTTCGCGTTGTGGCCGCGACAACCCAGGTTCGAATCCTGGTCGCTCAAGATTTTTAGTCCGTGTATTTATAAACACTTTTTTAAAAACCACGTTTTTCATGTGTAGCAACGGACTAAAAAGGAGAAAATAAAATACTTAAAAAAAAACTTTTTAAAAAACCACGTTTTTCTTGTGGACTAAAAAGTAGAAAATAAATTTTTCTTTTGTGCTTCCTCGAGCTGTGCAGGTTCTTGTGATGATTGACAAAAAACGTGGGTCGGGCAGATGGGTCGGGAAATTTGATGGTGAACGTACCCACGTTTTTTGTCAGTCATCACAAGAACCTGCACAGCTCGAGGAAGCACAAAAGAAAAATTTATTTTCTACTTTTTAGTCCACAAGAAAAACGTGGTTTTTTAAAAAGTTTTTTTTTAAGTATTTTATTTAAAGCCATTTTTACGAAAAAGTAATGTACACAATAATGAAACGTTACGGCACGCGAATCACGTCAGCATTGTTTGGTCGGGTCGCAGCTATCCGGATTAATTTCTAAAGAAGATTAATTTTGACGATTAGTAAATACTATTACGACTTTTTTTTTTTTTGCCGTTTCAATGGTTTAAAACAAAGTTATGAAACATGCCTGTCTACTTAAATATAAAATAGCAATACCCGACGAGTCAAATACGGGAACACACGTATCTATCTTTAGAAATTGTTTATAGTCTCATCCAATCGGATCAACCGCCTAGCGTCACGTGACCACACACTCGGCTGTGCTACACGATGTGTAGATTACGATTCAGTCGGACGGCGGCCGACGCGTTAATTTTTATTTTCGTTCGGTCTTAAAATGTATGGACGGCTTTATTATGAGGTGTTATAATACATGTCATACATTAAAATAATCGGCGGGATTTCAGGAATACAGCTCAAGGTTCAAATGTAAAATAGGTCAAATAATAGACCGGGAAACTTGGTTCAACTTTGCGGTCCGATATCTCCCGAAGTATTTAACTTATTTTGACCACGAACCTTGAGCGTTGTACGTCTACATTTAATCTGTTCGTCTGCCAAATTTAATTGTTGTAGTACGTAAACTCGATACGTCTATAAAAAAAAAATTGTAGCGCGTCATATTTAAAACATAGCGATTCGAAGCACAGCCGAGCGGTTCAGTCGGACAGCGGTCGGCGCGTCATGTTTTGATTTTCGGTCCACTTCAAAGTCTATAGACGTCCTTATTATAGGGCCTAATATGACATATCATACATATTAATAAACGTCGAGATTTCAGGAATACAGCTCAAGGTTCAAATTAAAAATCGGTTCATTAATAGCCCAAATAACTTAGTTCAACTTTGCCGTTCGATATCTCCAAAAGTATTTAACATATTTTCCCCAAGAACCTTGAGCGTTATACGTGAACATTTAATCTATTCTTCTACCAAGTTTCACTGTTGTAGTACGAAAACTCAAAGAGTCTATAGACTCTAAGTAACACCCCTCTTTTAAAAAGGTGAAAAAGCCTCCCCCCTAATCGGCACGTCGCCGCGGGGGGTAAAAAATGCGATTAAATCGGCGATTTCTTCAACGTCTGAAATAATAAAGAAATCAAACTTATACAGTTAAAAAGGTTGTTCAATTACGAACAGAATGATGTATAACATGTTAACATAAACACAATAAAAGCATGCAAAAAACAGAGTTAAACATGCAGGGGGTAGGGAAAAGCCGATTTGTCCGATTTTCTCGGCAGCGGCATTGGCCTAGCTACGTACAGTAACAGTCACTGAGTCAGTACTCATTGAAGTCATTGGGTGCCCAGTAACTTATATCTACCTCTTGGATTGTTGAAATTATTTCTACAGAGGAACGTATTTATTAAGTTATTGCATCTTAATGTTGAATTTAAGTGAGCTAAACTTTTCGAGGTCAATATTGTGTTCTTGGCTAATTTGCTGATCATGGACGCTGCCATCTTGTTTTTCTCAAGAAAACTAATCCAAACGAAACAACAAACTAATTATTAAAAAAAGCAGTTGAGTTTTTTTTTATTTTAGTTAAAAATAATTGTTTATTAAAATTAAAATGAAATGGATAAGAAATTTGATTTAATGAAAAATAAACTAACAGTCACTTAGCTCTGTTTTTCGTAAAGTTTAAAAAGAAAAATAAATCTAAAATCTAGATTGTGCCTTGAGTCGACTAGGCCTAGCCTACTTTTTATTTCCAAGTAAGTAGCTCTCACAGACCAAGAAAGTAGAAAACCTTACAAAAGAATCGGAAGTTTTGTTTTGTATACATCAACAATATTCTACATTGTACTTGTAGACTAGTGTCTAGACTAGGCTCAACTTTACACATCAATGTAGATCCAGATCTACTAGATCTAGACTATATTCAATAGCATAATCGCAAAAACTAGGTGTGTAAACGGTAACACCTTTGAAACTGCGTTGATTCCTATAACTACAACAGACTACGCAGTTTACTAAAGACGAAAGTTTATTTTACTTTTGGAACTAGGGGCTACATCATTAAAATTAAATTTTTAGGCCTAAAAAAGTAACATTGGAAAAGTAATTTTAATAAATATTATATTAAATATGGATGTCCAAGATATTCAAATGCAACAAATCAGGGAAATTATGAACCAACGAAACCACCATGAAGGACTAATGATTGGCCTTTTTAATAATGACATGAATGATATATCTGATTCGGAACTTGATCCACCTACTCCAGCATATTCCAGTTTGATGGGTATCCCAACTTCATTGTTGTACAATGGCTCACGATTTCAAGGACATCAAAAGAGTAAAGGGAATCGATATGATGTGGAAGTTGTTTTACAGGTATTAAAAAAAATTAAATTTCAGAAAAAGCACTCATAGTGTCATAGTCTTTGTACTTTGTTGGTTTACTTTAAACAGCCAGACCAAGATTTATCAAACATGTTCTTTCACGTTAAATTCCCTTTTTACCTGGCCTTCCAAGGGGCATGTGAAGTAGAGTTCTCCTTTTTTTTGTGACTTTGGGATATAAAGAGATAGTGTGATCAGCACTAAGCCCAGCCATCTTTACTTTCCCTAAGGTGAATTAGGTACCTATCAGTATCAGAATTAGGTAGACTCTGTGATGTTCTGTGGGCTTGAACCTGGATTCAAACTTGAGACTATCAGGTTAGCGGTCGTATGCTGTACCGTGCCGTCCTTTTGTTTGTTAAACTATATTCATTTAATCAGTATAGGCCTAGTTATACTTCCAGATTAAACTGACAATTGCGGTTGTAGTTTTTAAGCTTCTAATTTAGATACTCATCTATTATTACTGTTAGCATGGAATATTCACAAGGTTTTTAAATTTTTATTTTTCAGCATGTTGATGTGGAAAAAGCTTTTTTATGTGGGTATTTAAAAATTAAAGGTCTTACAGATGAATACCCTACACTGACCACTTATTTTGATGGTGAAATTATCAGCAGTCGTCATCCTTTTTTAACACGCAAATGGGATGCTGATGAAGATGTAGACAGAAAACACTGGGTAATATTGTTATGTTTCACATTAATTTCAATAAATTGTCAATGTTATTGTTTTTGCATTCGGTCTCTAACCAGTTTAACAATTGTTAGCCTTTTTAACATGTGAAGTTTGTAACTTATTCATTTTTCCCTTATATAAGTTGTTATTGAATAGCATATATTTTAAATCCAGTCATCATTTCCTTTTTGTAAACTACCAAGTGGAATGGCTGCGATGGCATGTCTTATACATTTTCTGTTTTTTGTCACCATTTTTTCTACCGTGATGTTATTTTCATCCAGTATTATTTAAGATTTTCTTGGATTCCACCAGACCACCATTCCTTCAACCAACTAATTATGAAATCACAACCATGTAATTTAGAAAGACTTTTTAAGTTAAATGTTTGTCATTTTTATTTTCTTAGCCATTTCCATTAATAAATAATTTATATTGAATGCCTGTTTATTGCCAGTTGACTCACTAGCACACTTTTATACCTGTGCTGTTTTGATTGCTAGTTACTTCTCTGTCATAAATGATTCAGTCACACTAGTCAAAAGAATTTTTCACACACTGCCACCATCTAGTTACGAAATTCCTGTCTTCAACAGTTATATCTAAAGATTGATTGAGCCTCTCCCTTGAGTGACACCACCTTAATGTATTTGTAGCAATGTTCTAATAATAGAAATAGATATTTATACTTTTTACACTTTGTGTATACTGTCTCCTTTCTTTTCTCTATGCAAATGTACACTGGTGGATTCTACCCATGACTTATTCCAAGGCTCTTAAAAATCCTAACCATGAAGATTAATATAACTTGAATTTTTTAATGTTCCACAGACTTGTGGTTTTAAGGAATGATATTCTTTTGTTGATTTTTTTTTTCACAACTATTTTATGATTACAAAAAAGTGAGGAAATTGTGGCGAACTAAGCTCAACTGTTTTCTTTTTACATTTATTTTCTCAGGGCAAGTTTGCATCTTTTCACAACTGTGCAAAAAATTTCAATTCTGACAACTTTGATTATGATGCATTGAAAGCTTCTGATTATGTGTATATGAGGTGGAAGGTAAGAAATAAAGCTATGAGTAAGAATATCATTTTACAATATAATCTTAACCTTAAACATATAATTTTAAAAGTGTACTATATTTGCCATAGGAACACTTTCTTGTACCTGATCATACAATTAAAGACATCAATGGAGCATCCTTTGCCGGCTTTTATTACATCTGCTTCCAAAAGTCAACAGCTACAATAGAAGGCTACTACTATCATAGAAGCTCTGAATGGTAATAATACAATCAATATATTTTAACCAAAACATTTGTTTACTTAAGACAAATGATCTTTGGTTTCATTACTTATCGGTTATTTTAAACATTTCAATTTCAGGTTTCAGTCTTTAAATCTTCAGCACGTACAGGAAAGAAATACAGGAGTGTATGAATTCAGATGATTTACTGAAGATAATAGAGTTGTTCATGATGGTACAAATATTCTTCCCATTACAGATGTGGATATTTTTCTTGAATAAAAAAGTATTTCTCCTTTGCAAGTGGACATTATAAGGATTGAGAATATTATTCACATTTGTCATGCCAACATCTTAATACCCTGCTAGTGATTAACTTCCAAAAGTTCAGTCATGCCTTTTATGTTGCATGATACTGAGACACCCACTTCTATATGAAGATTTATAAAAGCCAAATTGTAATATCTAATACATACATTTATTTCTGTTATTTATTTAACCTATCAAGTTCTGTATTTGCTTGTTTATGAGCTGCATTTTGGGAGATCAGTTAATTTTTGTTAAAGCAAAATTTAACATAATCTAAAGGTTGATGTAAATGTTGCTTTAAGAACTAATTAATAAGTAAATGTAAAAAATTATCGTAAGTACTTAACCATACTTTCGCAGTACCAGTATCATTTTAAACAGTAAGACAAGCAAATACGTTTGTTAACAATATTTATTTAAATTTAAAAAAATATTTTGTTCAAATTGTTATCAGGCAAAAAAGCCTTTGTAAATTACTAATTGGAAAATATTTAGGTTCAAGATACTTATGTATAAAAACCATAAAAGTTGTCTGTGATTTTTTTAAACCTTTTTTTATACAGATTTTATGGTCTGAATATAAATTTTTCATGATACTCAGTAACCAGAGCAAGTGAAAAAAATGTTAAATGTTATGTTAAGTATAGTAGGTTATATTTAAATAAGGTGCTACTACTTTCTGTTAATGTTTTCATGGTCAGTTCATTTTCATGAATTTAATAATTAACAGCAGTCTAATTAACACGGAAAATTTGAGTCTACATTTTTGTTAGAAAAATATTTATTAATAGTGTATATTTATTGGATAATGTTAGTATTTGAATAAGGCATAGTTTCTACTATAAAACTGTAACAGATGCTACATTGTAAAAATCAATAAAAATTCTATGTGTATCAACATGCTTAATTTTTATTTAAACTTTTCTTTTTAAAAATAATTAATAAAAAATAATCATTATATAACTAGACTTGTCTTACAATATGACACATTCAGAAAAATAAAATTATTGTGAATTTTTTTTTTAATTTAGAAAGAGCAACACAGAGTTTAAATGTGACCATTTTCATGTCTATTATAAGATCAGTTATATTTCAAAATAGTGTCTACATAATGCCCTAATAATATTTAAGAAATAAATATACAGAACAGAATATACAGAAGTAATATGTATTTTTATTTGCTAGATTTGGCAATAAACTATTAGTGTTAAAATTCCCAATAGCAACAATTTATAATTTTATTTTGGAGCATACACATTTTGCATCTAGAAATCCATTCGAGAAAACTTTTCTAACATTCACATTCTTTTTAAATCTTGCCTTAATTACCTCATAAGCCAATGTACAACATGGTAGGTTTTTTTCCCTGTAAATAAAAAGTAAAAAATATAAAAAGAGAAAAGGAAAACAGCACCATTTTTTAAAATTTACTCAAAAAAAAACTTTTTTTATATTATGCAATAAGGCATACCAGACTAGAGTAATACTCACCTACTCTAACCAGAGTTATATTATTAGGCAAAATATGCTCCCTTTCTCTAAGTATATGGTAGGGTTCGGTAAATCTTTGTTGATTTATATAGACTCCCCCTTCTTTTATGGTCCTCTCTACATCTCCTGAAATTAGCAAATCATTTTTTTTGTTAACAGAATAGTTTAACAGTACTGAGGGGTGCACATAAAACAAATGTAAGAAAATTGTATAATCCATTTCCCACAACTCACAAATGGCTAGTTGTATTTGAAAATCTTGTATTTTGTTTACCTTCACGCTTGAAACATTTTATTTTCACACACAATTCAAAAACTGTCATTTCTGGATCATATATCAGCTCTGAGGTTGAAGCATTTTTAAACAGCTGTTGTAAATCTGTTAGCTTCATGGAGGCAATAGCAGGTACAGCATCACCAAACAAAACCTCTGTGCACTTCAAAGCAGAATCAATACCATCTTCTGCAGAGGTAAAAGAATTTATATGTAAACAGCCCTTGATTTGTAGTTATAGAAATACATGTTAATTTAAACTAGTATTATTAAAATTGGGTGTTGTATTTTAGATGCCTTTGATGAATTCTCAGTTGAAGTATATTAGCATCTATTAGTGTCAATCAATATATCTAGACTGGTCATGCTTTTAGCAAACAAAACAAAAATGCAACTGAAAATAGATATGTTTATCTTATTTAAATCAAGACAACATTAGAGATTATTAGCACACAAAGAAATACTACACCTACAACACCTGTTTATATTTAAAGCAAAGCAATCTGTTGTATCAGTACATTTGTTAAATTAAAAGATTATTACCATGAAATGTATGTATGAAACATATTTCTATCAAAATGGTAGCTCACAAATAATTACATTTATCAATCACTGCTTTAAAACACCAAAACGGTGAAAAAAGCAAAGATATGCAACTTGCTAGTGATAAAAGATAATGTAAACTAATTTATAATTCCGATTTGAACCTTATTATTGTGTTACTACCATCACGAAAATGAAACTTAAGTAAATAAAACTATCCTTTAGTTATTTAATTCATTGAGCTAATTCATTGCCATCTATTTACAGGAGTATCTGTGGCTTAAAATACAACTGAAGTAGTTGATGTATTCTTACCTCCATGCACCAGCAAGGTGACCTGTTCCCCCAATTTTCTCTGTGCATGTCTCTGTTCTGGTGATCTCTGTCAAGTAAAATATAAACACAGATTACACACTTAAAATCCTGTTGTTATACATAGTATAAATGAAGTTAAAAAACAGCTTACATTTTGCTTCTCCATAATTGCTTCAATTTCACTAAGAGGGAGAAAAGTAAACAACTTCAGGTATCTTTCCACATCTGAGTCAGCAATGTTAAAAAAATACTGTGGGAACAAATAAACTATTACATACAATGAGCATTTCATATTCAGATTTAAACAGCATTACATGCAAACAATGAACTAAATATTCATCACAGTTCTCTCATTTAATTACCTATTGACTTTGCATTTGACATTTTATCATTCAAGTTCTGAATAATAAGTAAAAATTTAAAAATTGTAAAAAATTACTTGGTAAAGTTCATATGGTGAAGTTTTTGTAGGATCTAGCCATAATGAATTGCCTGAAGATTTGCCCAACTTTTCACCACCAGATGTTAACAAAAGTGGTACAAGTAAACCTTAATAAATAAGAATGAAACAAATACAAAGTTGGAATAGTGAGTTGAAACATTTACTCTTCAAAATGTATTTAAAAAACCATAATCTATAGACTTAAACCTGAACTCATTTCTGAATTAAAAACCTAACTGAAAATTTAATTGCCAGTTAAAAAAAAATAATCACAAATATCTAAATTCATTGAAAACTCACCAAATACTTGTTTTTTTGTTACTTTGTCAATGAGGTCAAACCCAGATGAGATGTTACCCATTTGATCTCCACCTCCAATCTAAAAAATATTTTTATTATAATTGGAACAATAAATAAAACAGATAATGAAAATTCTTACATTTAAATAAATTAAAAAAAAAAATTACTTGAATACTGCAGTTGTAATTTCTGTATAAATGCAACCAGTCATAAGCTTGAAAAACTTGATACATAAATTCTGTACAACTGATTCCTTGTTTACTGTTTAGGCGGCTTTTTACACTAAATTTAAAAGTAACAATAATTTTTTAATCAACACAATAGTAGAATGAGGCTAAAGAGGAATAATTTTATCATATTAAAAGAACATATTTGGCAGAATTTATGTAATTACCAGTACATATTTTCATGTGCAATAAAAGCATCTCAACTGTAACAAAAACACACCTATGCTTAGCTATCATCTCTCCAACTCTAAACTGTCTTCCAACTGTTGCCAAAAATGTAATGACATTTTGATCGGAGTACCATTCCTTGTTATTGAGTATTCTGAAATAGTAAAATTAAATTGATCATTATATTTATGTGTTTCAGTTTGTCTCTACTTTTAATAGTCATATGAAATTCAAGTAACGGTCTCTTTTTTTTCTTTCTCCTAAATGTTGTGATTTGACAGGCTTGAAGTAGGTTGCGTTTGATATCCACCCATAAAGGCTTTGTTTTGACAGAGAATAAAATGGAGAAGATGTAAACAAAACTAAAAAAATGTATAGACAAGAATGGCAGAATATGTCTATCAGGGTATTATCAGAGCACACATACACCAAACTGGCATGCATATGAGTTGCCTAATGAGACAAGGTTTTTTATACTAGTGACTATGGCAATAATGATTGATGTGGGAGTTAAGGCCTGTGACAAAAATAACTTTTTTGTATACCTTCTTAACTCAAAATAGTTGGAATACACACAGGACATACGAAGAAAGTTAAACAACAACCTGAATTTAGGTAAAGGCTTTTTATCCCGGCAAATATATTGTTCATGATTGTGAACAATACGGTTGACGTTCTCCATCAGAGCAATTACATTGTTCTCTATAACTTCTGCTTGAATAGGCTCTCTGTCTTTGGTTTTCCCACTGGGATCACCAATAACAACAGTGGCACCTCCTATCTAAATACATGAAGAAAAAGAAATGAAACAGCAGCATCTAACAAAGCAAAATGATTTAAAGACCTGAATCTGATCAATTCTGTTTAAACAAAAGATAATTTTTCTGTATATATTAAATTTTATTTGAATAATTAAAGAGACACACCACTGCAATTGGATTATGTCCTGCCCTCTGACCATGTATAAGAGCAATTAGAGACAATAAATTGCCAATATGAAGACTATCGGCTGTGGGATCAAACCCACAGTATATTGATTGGGGACTTGAGAGCAGCCTTGGTAGATCAGGAATTCTGAAAAATATATTGCATCATTATCTATATGTCTGTCTATCTATCTCTAACTATACATCAATATACACATATGTATCTATAGTGTGATAGAGGAGAAAGAGAGCTATGCAAACTATGCACATGAAATTGAAACAAACCTTTGATCAGGAAAAACACTTTCAAAGAGTCCTCTTTTTGTTAGATCTAACATATTCATTGGTGATGTGCTGCTATTTCTTACCATCTTATCTGACCTGAAAAGTTTTATGTTATTATAATTACTAATAAAATATATTTTGTATTTGCTTATTCATTAAAATTGATTACAGATAATAAGTAAAACAGCCACTTTTAATTTTTTTTGCACGCTTTTATTTAATTTGCTTCCTCTGTCTGTCATCAATTTGTCGTAGATCAAACGCACTACAGTACACGTTCAGTGACTAATTAAGTACTACACTACACAGTGTGACAGTACAGTTGAGTACAGTAAACTAAACAGCAGTAGTACAGTACACTAGATGACACTAATTAATGCAGCAATAATGCAGATGAGATACTTCGGATTTTCACAAAGTGAAAGTAGAATCTAGTATTAGTAAGGCAAGTGCAGGGCCTGGCCGGATAGTTGTAATTATTGTAATATTAATATAATAATATAAAGTAAAAGGACAAGTTGGCCTAATTACTAATTAGGCCCTAATTGTTATTGCTCTTTACCTAAAATACAATAAACTATGCTTAAGCAAACATCCTGTATACATGTATGTTTTTGTCCACTTTTTCATGAGCGCGGCCATTTTGTTATCATATAAGCGGAGCTATGATAAAAGTATGTTATTATGTTTTTGAATCGAAATAAAATGCCGCATTATTCATTAACCTAACCTATAACAGCCCACAGAACAATACGCTAATCCTTATTTTATAATAATATTTTGAAAAAAGTATGGTCAAAGCAATTAGAATCTATATTCTCTTTAATTTAATTTATTATTTAGATCCGATTATAAAGCTACTCTTTATAGCGTAAAGTGTAAAGATTTTAGTGTTTTCTTTAGTGAGGGACGGTCAACACAATCAGCTGTTAAGAAACTGTTTAGAAAGAAGTAAATAATCATGTAGATCTAGCATCCAAAGAACGGACTGTAAACATTAGGATTATTCTTGCTTCCTTATAATATAGGCCTTATACATATTGTAATATATAGATCTAGAAGCTAGGCCAAGATCAATATTATTGTAGTAAATTAAAAATTATTAGGCCTAGTCTTTAGTAATTTTAAAGTAATTTAGTTTAGGCATGGGGAGGGGGGGGGGGGGGGTTATATAAAATACAAATAATTTATAATGCCATATAATATCATAATCATGACATAATCTGATTATGATATGCCTTGCCACACAATCATTATTTTATTATATTAGTCCTAAATATAATAAATATTGACAATATTCAATAGGTCCAGGCCTAACTTAACTATTGTGTACACTGTTGGATTATTTTAGATACTGATGTCCGATAATAGAATTTTTGGATTATATTTGGACATCAGTATACCCAATTGGCAATTATCACACTTGATGTACTTTATAACTACTCTGTCTTGTCTACCTGACTCAAATTAGGGAATGTAAAGGCTACTTGGCATAGTGCTGAGGTCGCAGAAAAGTGAACCCTGTATTGATCTGCCCAATGGGCTGTAAGGTTCGAAAGGGAACTTTTTACTTGTCTACACTTTAGTCTACTGTCAAACTTTTAAAATTCACAATTTATCTTTCATTGTCATTAACATTTACAATCATGTTAATTTAGTTCAGCAGGCTGTTGTTTAGTCTTATTATTACATTAATCATCTTCTCTCAACACCCATCGGCTTCAACAAGTACAATTATTCATTCCTGTTTGAATGCTAGGCCTTTTTTCTTTAACTCTTTCTGGGGGGGGGGGGGGGGGCAAAGGGAAGCCTATATTTATAAATATTAAATATAAAGGTGATGATAAATCAACTTGTACCTTTATTTATAATATTAGGTCTGCCCATTATTTACACATCTCTTTTAGTTTTTAAGACATGTACATTTTAAAATTAATATGTAGTTTGTAATTAATGTTACTTTAACATACAATAGATGAATATCTTAAATAAGCTTATTAAATAGTAATTACCTTTAACCTTTAAAATGGGACATATAATAAAATATGTAACATTTTTTTTAAATTTCTGCCAGTAGCGGATCCAGACAGTAGTTATTTACAGATTATAGATGTAAACAACTGGAATTTATGATATATAAAAATTTGTTCACACTATCAATGTGATTAAATATGGAGAAAAAACAGAAATTGGGTCCTTTTGGAGATTACATGCCTCAACCACAAGTGAGTTTAAATGTGGTCATATTTTGTTTGGTTTGTCATCTTTAACTACAAAGGCTGCATGCAAAATGTTTATATATTTACTTTGTGTTACTAGTACAACCTCAGAGAAATTAAGTAATATCCCTCACTTAAACAAGCCTAGGCATAACTTCATATTACATTTAAGTCAAAGCTATCCTTTGTCTGCAGATTTATCCTCTTACCTTTTTGGATAAGCTCTTTAATACTTGATTAATACTTTTTTTTTTCCAGAGAGAACCTCTAACATTTAATGTAGGTGTAGAAAAACCAGAGCCTCCTACAGAAAAAGTAGTGGACTCTATTAAAAAGGTGAAGGTCCTAATTGTCAGTATACATAAGATGTATTGTAGATTTGCTACATAAGATAGGACTAGCATCAATGGCACTTAATTGCAGGCATTCTTCACAACATATACAGGGCTACACCTTATGTGCATTTCCTGTTGTGTTTGATGTGAAATCCAAATTATATGCTTTATTTTGGAAGTATTTTTATTTAATATATGATTTCTGTGTATTTTTAAGCTCGCTGAATCTTTGCTATTTCATTGGAAAACCTTTCCCATTATCCTCCCCGATTCAATAACAGAGAAACGAGCCAATGAAGGATTGGGAGATGAACCATACATAGTAAGTTCTTTAAAATAGTTTTTAAGAGTACATTTGTGATATGGATTCTCAGTCAAATGTACGTTGGAGACAAAACTATATGTCATCACAGTTTTTCTTCTATTGCAGGGGAGAGGGATATTGTTATGGTTAGATTCAGGGCTAGGGTTTGGCTTAGGAGAGTAAAACAAGTACTTAACAAGATTAATGTTTTCTACCTTATAAGAATAATTTAAAAGATTTGATTGTCAGCATATACATATTTTATTAGGGTGTGGTGCAGTTCAAAGATCTGTTTATAGCACCAACATTTGATGAACTGGAAGCGGTAGCTACAGATGAAAATGGGAAGTTAAAGAAATTGCAAGAGGATCAGCTCAACATGATAAGAAAGATGGGGTAAGGATAACTAAAAACCTTGAGTACTTACAAGCCTACATGGATGAGGATTTTAATGAAATTTATGTACATTTTTACCCGCTTATTGCTGTGTTTCATTAATTTTTTCTCTAATTAGAGAGTTTGAGGTTGCAAGCAAAAACTTTCAAGGCCAAACACACAGGTGGAGACTGAGCAAATTGATACAAAAAGGATCTGATAGGACACGAAATTCTTTGCTTGAGGTTAGCAGTAAATATTTATTTAATTTACTTTTCAACTTCATTGACATGTTATGATTATATTAGTATATTAAATTAATAAATCCATTTCAGAATCTGGCTTGCTCTTTGTCATTGCTCATCATAACAGCTCGGAACAGATTTTGCTCAGATTTTTTTAGTCTTACCAAAGCACTTCAAGGCTGGTACTCAGGGCTTTACAACTTATTAGGTAAATGAACTAATCTTGAAGGCCTACTTAAAATGTTTAAATGATTAGTTACATCTAAACATTTAATATCATAAGAATTTTAAAGAATTTTATTTTAATATGAAAAATATTTGACAGAACTGTACTTTATTGTATGCATAGTTGTTGTAATGACAATAACATTTTTTTTTCTATTAATGGTTTATCAGATTTATTTATTTTTAATTTTACTGATTTAATGTTAAAGACCATTTGAGGTCTTTCAGTAGCTATAACAAAAAATGTACTCAATTACACAGCTAACCATACTGTGATTTCTTTTCTCTTAATAAGCTTACCAACTGCAGTATTGTGATTTCAGATCTTTCAATTGGCTTACCATCAACTACAGCTGGTGACCTGTGTCAGAAACTCAGAGAAGAGCGCATGCGTTATCTTGTTGCAGAATTAGATATAAAGGTAAGCTAGCCAGACCCATATGGAGATCACTAAATCAGTTATCATTGGTTTATTGATCTCCATTAACAGTGAAAGAAAATTACTTTTGCATGGTAAATCTAAATACTTATGCTAAGCACATTTAAAATGTTGATTAAATGCCAGCAAAACAAGATTTTTTTTCTGCTGGCAAAGTAGTTAGCTCAGTGTTAGGATTATGGCCAGGGCTTTGGTTAAGACAAGGGGTAGTGTAGTAATGCTACTAAATATAGCCCCTGACACATGATGATAAGTAAGTAATAATTGCCGTAAATCCTTCAAAGCTAGAATTTCAATTAGTTAAAAATTTAACGAGACTTTCTTTATTGTAAGTGTGGAAGGGCTGTATATGTGAGTTAATAAAACTTTTTAAAAACTTGAAAATTCTAATTATAATTCATTGTTGCTATCATATTTTCATTGTGTGTGATTATTTTGAGGAATTGAGTTTTCTGCTTTTGTATATAGTAAACATTCCATAAAGTTGATAAAGCTCTTCTTTAACCGTTTATTTAAATTATAACAGCCAAATCTGAAGAAAGAGTTGAACACATACTGTCAGTATGTTAAAGCTCAATGTCATTTGCTGCTTGGAAATAAACACAAGGTCAGTTAATATGTTTAGTCAGTGATTTATTTTAGCATGTGTTGGCCTGGTCCTTATCACAATTGCTTTGTATTCCTAATCTGTTGTCTACTTGGTCCTTTTAAATTTTGTTTAAAACTAATTTATCAAAATTGTTGCATTTAACTTATGCTAAGTCTGTGGTGTTTTTATTTTCTCCTCAGACATCAGATCTGCGACCTCCCCCCATTCCCTACCGTTACCAGACTCCCAAAGGTCAAGATATAGACCTGAGACTTTTTAACAGAGGTTTGTATATTAAAAGCTTCGGAGTGACTCCAAATATTTTCATAAATATTTTATCCTCACACTTTTAAAATCTAATGTAAGCATTTTTAAAAGATTACAAATTACACTTGCATATATAAAAAAATCCAAATTGATTAGCCTAATAAGTGTGAAAGTTATGAGAGAATATATAAATTGTAATACATGTATAAGTATTACATACTTTTTTTTAAAGGGACTTTATTATTTTTTAACAGGTTCTTCCCTGTAAACATTTTTTAACAATTTAATCCTTATAATATTACAGATTTGATGAACAACAGTGTAGGGATATTGTCAAATATTCTTGATAGACAAGCTAAGGGCTGGCATGTTCAGATGAGGATCAAGTTAATACGCCACTACCAAGGTAATTTTCTATTGTCAGGTAACAAAGTTTTAAGTTAAAATAGTTATAAATAATTTACAATGTCTTTTGAAAAGAATCTGTTAATACAATAATGTTAAATAAACAATTATTTTGATAAAAAGGCCTGTTACTATTGTTTGTCTTTAGGTCAAAACTTATCCAATGAGGAAATATCAGAGGTAATCCATTTTGAATTAATTAAGGCTTATTATTTGTACAGGTACCTGAGTTGCAGTTTTTTCTTCCTTAAGTTACATACTGTCTTGTACATAAACTGTACTATTGTACAAAAATGATTATCAATTATATCAGTACAACTATAAATTACATTTTCTATTTCTGTATTCCACATTAATAAGCAAATATGATAAACTTCAAATAACTATTTCAATATTTTTCAGAAAGTAACTGAAGAAATAATGGACCATTATTTAACTAAAGTATTCAATGCAATATCCACCAATGCTGAACTGGACATCTTACAGCCAGGTTTAGGTAAAAGGATTTTAAATAGCAGATTTTAGTATCAGGGGATAAAATAGGGGAATATTCAGTTCATAATAAGGCTAAGGTGGGGGGGGGGGGGGGGCTTTGAAAGTGTAACAGTAAGTCAGATCCCCAAGGTGGACTGAGTTTGTTCTAAATTTTAAGTGGAATCTATGTAAATTTTGTATTACAAGGTCAAGACTAATCCATCCACATTTAAAATTTGCTGTTAATGAAAAAAGTTGCCGTTTTCATTCTATCAGGTGCACTATTGGTTAATCAAGCTAGGTCTGTTTTAGCCATGATGAAAGCTAAGCAAAACCTACAAGCCAAATTGGATCTTAACAAAGAAAAGGTACTTTCTTTAAACTCATCTTAAGTTAAACAACACTTTGAATATTCATTACTAGGAATAAATCTTTTTGTTTTAACTATCAAATTTTTCTTTTTTTAAATACAGTTATTGAAACATTTAAAAGACAGATACCCAATTAAATCTCGCATTAACAAGTGGATTGAGGAACAAATGCGATCATTTGAGGTAATATTTAAGGCACATTTAAAAATTGTTATTAAAACTACATGTAAAACTACTACATGTAAAAACGAGCTATACCGCTAATCATAATACAGCTTTCTTTTTTTTTTGCTCAACATTTAGTGCGATTTTATTAGACAAAACTTGTGGACTGCACATGAAGAAGCCATTAGTCTGTGTGAAGAAGAAGGTTTGGACCAGACTGTCTACTTCCTACGTAGGGATCTAAATTTCATCAAAGAGGTGAGTAGCTTATTCTAAAGTCAACAATGCTTTTATTTATGTTTTATTTGACCTAATGTTTTTTTTACCCAATTGAGATTTTTAAAAAAAACTGTTAGGTTGGATAAAAATAATTTGTATCATATTCAGCGAGAAACAGTGCTGAGAAAAGAGCTGGGCAGAGTGAAGATCCCAACTCGTGAGTACACATTCTACACCAGAATTTGGTTCCCCCACAACTGGATTGTTCGTCAGTCACACATAGTTGGCAGATCAGATGTTATCCCCACCGTTATCAGAGAGACAGAACCCCTTCAGAAAATTGCGCTTGATGCTGTAAGTACCGACTGACTGTGTTCTACAATATTTTCTGTTAGTAGATATTCTATATCCTTCCCTGAATTCATGCTATTTCTTGTTATGTCTACCATGTTGCAATTAGATTTTTAAAATGATTTTTTAAGCTTTATTTATATTTTCACATATGATATAATTTTCAAAAGACATTGGCCCTAAGTCTAATTTGAATAGAGCTGGTATAAAAAGAAGGCGTTGTTATGTTTATGCATTGTTACTAAATGTTTAAAGTTTGGCTACATGTTAAAAAAAGTACCCTATTTTTTCTTCATTATTCTGTACATTTTAATATATTGTTCTGAGAATTATTATTATACCTTAGTTTCTATATAATTTTCTGGTACGAGCTCTATTTAATATTTTTTCTTCCTCTCAGAATGCAGTTTTCACTGTGCAAAAGAAAACTGAAAGGGTAACCAGCACAAGATATCCATTTTGGAGGTGGTGGAATTTTATGCAGCGCTCCTGGAGCAATACTTGGAATCTGATTTACATGTTTGGGGTAAAACATCCACTTCCCATTCTTTGTTTCAGTTTCCATTGTCTTACACTTCCTGATTGCTGTAAATCAAGATGTATTTATTGCTACAAGCACTTGAAACACTTGAGACTGCTCAATCTCTAATATATCACAGATTGGGTCTAGAGAAATTTAAAAACTTGCATGACTAATCATAGAACAATTTAATTTTTTGTTGACTGCTAATAAATGTATTATAATCCAGATGAGTGTGATAAACCATTAAATCATAGATTTTATTTTTTCTTGTAGATTATCATACCATGGTGCAGTCCTGTTGGTTTGAGAGCCTTGTTTTGGCCCACTGCTTTTGTGCCAGATTTGACACAATCTCAGTTTGATGTAAGTTGTTGGTCTAGTGAGGAAGGGGGGATAGGCTCTCTTCTCACTATGTGTTTGCTAGAGAGTTCTAGCATTGTATTAGGTGTAAAACACATTAGTGGTGGGGGATAGACCCACAGACCACATACAATTTCACAATGATAGCCCTAGTGCACTTGACAACTAAGTGATAAGTTGCTGATATTTGAGTAAATTAAATCAATCATTTAGCTAGACCTATTCTGTTAACTGTTGTGTTAGACACTGAGGTATTCTCCTATATTGAACAGGGATCCTTGTACCCTCTTGTGTCTTCCACCACCCACTCCCTGCTGTCCCGCCTCTGGTCACTGTGGGCCAATGTCAAGGAATCTCGTGCCCAGTTTGAGGCGGCGCCAGACAGGGGTTTCCTGGGCAAGAGCTTGACACGTCACCTGAACAGGTTCTGGAATTACGTCATCAAGGGAGTTTTTGGAAGTGTCTCCATTGTGCTGGTCTTCCCAGTGATGTGTGTGACAGCTTCCACTCTTTCCTTAGCTGCTGCCATCATGGCACCTGTTTGGTAGGTCACAACGTTCTACTCTTGATTTACATGGATACAGTCTATAACCAAAGATATCTAACTAGAATTGTACCATTTATACTAGACTGAAAGCATCACTATGTATGTTTGTTTACTTCAGGGTCCCTGTGATAACTCTAGTAGCTCATTTGTTTTTCTTCTTGATCTGGGATGTGGATAACCCTGGTGAGTAATAGATTGTACAAGATTATTTATTGTCATTGTTTTTGTAACCAGCAGTCTTCTGTGTGTTAAGTGGAGTAAGGAGAGTATTTTGTGTGTGAGCAGGACCGGCGCTACTTATAAGGCGAACTAGACTGTCGCCTAGGGGGGGGGGGGGGCGCAAAATGTTAAATCGCAATTATCAAAAAGTACCTAATAATTAATAACTTTTATAAAGGAGTAGTGATCTATTTCGGCACTCAGGACGAACTATCAATTTTGCACCCCCACCCCGAAATTAGGTCCATATAGGCTGATATTTATTCGCGATAGTGAAAATGCAACCCCACCTCCCTAATTTGGAAAGGTCGGGGCGCTTTTTACCAGTCACATTGCCTTTTTAATTTGGTGTCACATAATTGATGTAGAGAACATTTAATAAGTTTGTAATTTAAATTTAGAACATTTCAAACAGTTATCTCATTTAAATAGGGCTTGCAAGTCTCGTTTTCTCTGACTTTGAATTAGAAATCTGTCCTGGTGTTTTGTAATAACGGGGTGTTCAAAGTATTGTACTTGTTTGGTAAGTTTTGATGAATCGTTTAGATTTAGGAGTAACGGCGGAAGGCTGTTGCTGATATGGTTTTGTAGGTATAAAGTATCGAAGTGTTGAAGTGTCATCATTTTTATTCGGCTGTTTTGTAGTTGAAGTTCTAGTGGAATCTGATTGGTAATAGTTGAAAAATCTTTTGTTTTTTAAGAATCTATATTACCACTCTTAAAGTATTAATATATAAGATTAAATAGGATGGAATTTATAACTAACGGTAAACTTTGTTTTTTCAAATTATAATTTTTTTTATAATAAATCAATAATTCTAGCAATGTCTAAGACAGCTAGAAGCTACCCCTGTTTGATTTTTGTGAAAGGCGTCCCTTTATTTAGGGGAACTAAAATTGTATGCACTAGAATCAACCGCTATCGTATTATAAATAAATGTATGTTATCAAAATTGAATAGAAGTATGTTATAATAAAGCTACAGTTTTTAGACTTTCAAACAAAACCTGCAGTTAAGTACTCAATAGGTAAAATATATTTTCTCACAAGGTTACATAGCTAATTTAAAAGAATTTTTATAATTATTACGTAATAAAATTTAGAGCGTTATTGTGTTTTTCATGGATGTCTTAGTTACACTTGGTTAATTTAGCTATTCTTGTGTAAGTTATTTCCCTTTAATAAAATTTTGGTATTTGGATTTCCAAATGGGAGGTAATTCGTTGCTTAACTTTTCATACATTTCAAATTCCTGCAACTTAAGTTGACCGCTTACATTTAAATACAACTTTATGTTATTATTTGCTATTGTAAAAATTATATAGAGCTTAACAACTAGTTTGGTACGTTTTTTAGCTTTATCAAGTTGAAAAACAAATACTTCAGTAGCCGTTATATATTGCAATACTTAATGTCAGTAGACATACAGTCTTAGTTGTAAATTAAACATTTAGTTAATTGTCTTTTCATATTTTTCACCCTCTCCTAAAGGATTCATATATAAGAATTTTAGGCTGGAATCTATAACATTTATTACTTTTTATTTTTCAAAAACAAAAAAAAAATCACTACTGATCACACAATGTAGACATTTTACAATTATAACTAAAGACAGTCAAACTTAAAATGAGTAAGTTCCATTTTGGAACTCACCTTGGGAGAACTGCAGAGAGCCCAACACTACAAGAACTTGTGTTTTTTTCCCAGATTTTTTTTCTCCCGGGGAGGGGGGGGGGCACTTAAAATTTTTCTAAAGGGGAGGGGGGGACTATGTCGTAAAGTACAAAGTAGACTTGTGGACTTAGCAACAATTTCAATAAAATGTGATTACGCTTGCAAACTGAAATTGAGGGAATTAGTACAAACTTTTGAGACTGAGGCAAGTAAAATTTGATTTTGATATCTACTTATAACGTTATGCAATTGATAATAAATTAATATGTCACTTTTAATTAATTCTTTTCTCATACATATGTTTTAGTAATTAATTTGTGTGAAAGAGGGCGTTTTAATTAAGTTTTGCCTAGGGCGCTAAATAACCTGAGGCCGGTTCTGTGTGTGAGGGGTGGGTTGATAAAATATATTTGATAAAATATAGTTTATGTTGTAGCTCTGAGATGGTTATGAGGATTGAACTTTGTAAATGGCAAACATATAGTATAGTAAAAAGGTTTTATTGGATGGGGGTGGATGCCTTTGAATTTTTTCCAATGAAAGGTTTATTATATTTTAAATGATTGGTTTATATATAATATAAAAGCAAAGTCACAGTATTTTAATACTGTATTATCTCTTTTAATTAAAGTTGGTGTTTTTTTTTTAAAATAATTTAACCTCTTAAGCAATTTGTTTTGATACAATAATTCAAAGTGATAATATATATTTATTTTGCATTTGATTTTGTTCTGTCTTTCTCTCATAGTTAGTTACTTTAAAAAAAAAAAAACTAACAAAAAATGTAACACGTCTCATCTAGGACCAGAGAGGAACAGGATATGTATACTGTTGGAGGCTGTTCTCTGGAACATCATTTGTCAGGGCTGTATACAGCCTGTGTCTGCACTGTTTGTGGGTGCTTTGTTGTGCCCCTTGTCTGCTCTCTCTATATTCCTATGTAAGTTTTTTAAATTCAAATTTTACATTTACTTTTTAGAAGTAGAAACTAATGACATTTCTTTATAGAGTAGGATAGCTTTTAAAAATCTCTGCTTTATACAGTTAAAGAAAATTCCTACTTTTAAAAAAATAAGATTTCATTGTTTTAAATGCGTCATTTAAGAAATAGTTTTGAACATCTAGATATCCCACCTGTAGGAAAAAACAGATATTGAACAGCATGAAAATAAACACAAATTTTGTTGATCTCATCTGCTTATATCATATCGTCTATCAATCTATGACCAGTTGGAATACTGCGCAGTGGTTTTAGAAACTTCTGGGATACAGCAATGTTCCACATCATCATCAAAAACCGAGGCAGGGTACCTTCCAGTGATGGCTTTGTGGCTAGGAGAATTTCAGGTCCTGGCCTGGCATCCAGCTATTTTTACCAGGTAAAGTTGCTAAATAATGCCTTGTTTCAGTCTCTTGTCTTTCAGTGGCTTTTTAAATTGTCTTTTATAATAATTTGCTGTGTTGGGGTGGGGCACGAAATGGTGTTTTAAATTTATTTTTCAATTGTTTAAATTTTATAAAGTTTTTCTTTAATAAGTTTTACTGTATACTTTGCTTTTTACTTTGTTTATTACTTTATTCTTTACGGGGTTACTTTTTAATTTACTTATTACTTTACTCTTTATTTTATACTTCATTCTTTACTTTACTTATTACTTTACCTACCTGTACTTTACTCTCTAGTTTACTTAAGTCTTTGTTCTACCATTAAAAACCCGCCCACAGATCCAACCAGAGCAAGCCATGGCAGCCGTGGAAGCAAGGCTGGAACATGATGAGCTGGATGCCTGGAAGAAACAGATCCTCTCAGTCATTGAGCAGCCAAAAGAAGTTTACAAGTTAGTTCATTTATTATACCCTCACGTTTTATCACTGCTGGCATTATTTCTTTTTTCTCCCCTATGTCGTTCCTTTCTCTTAGATTAAAATTTTAATGTTTCACTTAGCCTTGTCAAAAAATGTTTAACGATCTTCCTTTTTTCAGTGAGTAAATAATCTAATACAATAATTCGGTATGCAATAGTTTTTTTCAAGAAAAGACTATCATTTTTTTTTAGACACCAAAAGCGAAATTTTACATTGCATTTATTGCCAAGCCTCATATAGTCTGCAATTATTTAGCTCATGTATCCCTACAATAAATCTTTCAAATTGTTAGCTTCGTATTGAAATTTGATAACAAATAAATTTGTTGGAAATACTTTGATACAAGTACACACTTCAAATCCTATAGTAGGCCTGATACACAAAACACAAATTGGTATTCTTTCATTTCTAGTTGATGCATATTTTAAGTACACCTTTATTCCCCTTGTACTTTGGTACATTTTTAGTGCCGTATCAAACTTGATATTGAAGGGCACTTCTCTTTTACAACAATCTTGTTCTTTTTATCTTAAATATTTTCCTTCTCTAGCTAGTGATAACTTTCAGCCTTTGAAGTTTACTTATTATGCTTCATTCAGATATGTTTGTGGGTTTTAAAATGTTGAGTCTGATTAAAACCATGCTTTGATGTCAGGTGGGAAGTGGGTTTTTTTTAAGTCAAGGGCTTTTCAACATTTAAGTGTGCCTTTACCTGATAATTTATGCAGGCCTTGAAGTTTGAATGTGATGTGGTTTTGTCTTTTAGTGAAGATTTTTAGACAAGTTAGTTAATGTGTGGGAAGTGGTTTTTGTTTTGAGTTTTAAACATTTGTGTTTTGCTGGGTAGGAAGTGGGTTTTTTTTTGGTAAAGAGTTTCAACTATTTGATTGTGCCTTGAAGCTTGAAAAGTGGTCCTGTCTGAATGTCAAGAGATTAAACATCTCTGAATTTGACCTAATCTGATTAATAGTTCTCACATTAGACAACTTTTTTAAGGAAAAAAGACTTAATATATTTGTAAATGACACACAAAATCACAAACATCTCTGAATTTGACCTAACCTGATTAATAGTTCTCACATTAAACAACTTTTTTAAGGAAAAAAGACTTATTATATTTGTAAATGACACAAAAAATCACAAATGAAAACAGGTACTAAAAAGTAAAAAAAACACCATTTTATTTGTAACCTAATCTAATAAAAAGAAACCCACCAAGTCTTGAAGTTTGAGAAGTGGTTTTGTCTTGATGTCAATAGCTTAAATAGCTGAATGTGACCTAATCTGATAAAAAAAAAACGACCAAGTCTTGAAGTTTGGGAAGTGGTTTTGTCTTGATGTCAATAGCTTAAATAGCTGAATGTGACCTAATCTGATAAAAAAAAACGACCAAGTCTTGAAGTTTGGGAAGTGGTTTTGTCTTGATGTCAATAGCTTAAATAGCTGAATGTGACCTAATCTGATAAAAAAAAACGACCAAGTCTTGAAGTTTGGGAAGTGGTTTTGTCTTGATGTCAATAGCTTAAATAGCTGAATGTGACCTAATCTGATAAAAAAAAACAACAAGCAAGCTTTGAAGTTTGTGAAGTGCTGATAAAAAAAAAGATTGAAATTGAACCCAGCATAGTGATTACATTAGTTGACTGTTTGGTTAGACTGGAGGGGTAGCCAGTCAATACAGTCTGGCTCTTAGTGCCTACATTAATGCTGGCCTCAATCAATTCAAGTGCTGGGAGATCCCCCCCCCTCCCCCCCCTCCCCACACTCACACTATGGGCGGGCGAGGATTGTTTGAGTGTTGCTTAATGGAAACACTTGATCAAGTTCACCAATAGACAAAATCAATTTTAGGTTTTTTAACTTGTGTTCCAGACCTTATGCCTCCGTTTTTTTCTTCACTTCGGTTGTACTAGTTCGATCTAACTCTTGTGTCCGATGGCTTCTCATTTATGATTGTGGTCAGTGATAGAAGCGTCAATATGACGTCATGCTTGTTGACGATGTTTAGCCTGCCCTAACACATCCATACAAAATGTCATCCCCTAACCCCCTCCCCCCCCCCTCGTAAATTGCTTCCTATTTTATTCAGGCTTGATTCCAATTGCAATTTTTTTTTTTTTTGAAGCCGCCGTATCTTTTTGAGGTTAATTGGGCTGCGTCAAAATAAAGTAGATCTATATTGATCAATTTTTATTACAATTTACAAAAAAATTAATTAAAAATGCAAAATAGCTACAAAAATTATGTTTAAAATTATTTTAAAAGCAAAAGTATGTCACACTTTCTGATGTCTCTCCCTCCCCCCTCCCCCAATCGCTCTCGTCATACTCGTCACTAAAGTCCAAACCTCCCTCCCCCTCTAGTACTGAAGTCATTGATGAGGACAGCGTAGTCGGAGTAATGGGATGCAGTATACATTTTATAATTTAAAAAAAAATCAACGAAAATATTAACATTTTATTGAAGTTATTGTTTAGTAGGGCAAGGGTTTATTGTTTTTAAAGTTATTTAATTTTGTAATGGCAGTGCGGGGGTGAAATTAGCTAACATTATTTGACAACCCGCAGCTAAACGACAGTATTAGACCTACGTCAGGCTGCTGTTTGGTTTGAACTCCGAGAGCTTTGAGCTGTGGTGTCCCCGTGCGTTTTATCAACGGGTTTCCTGAGGTTGAGGAGTTGACAAATATTTGTTTAACCCGTGGATATCATTGGACTTTCCGATTGATCTGGCTTTTAGAGACCTCATATTAAAACATATTTTCTGATCCAAGTATTGCCGCTGGTCCCTACGGTGATAGCATACAATGTGAGCTCTGGCTTCAGTTACTGGGTGCCCCGTTTATAGGCAACTGAAGTGTTCACACAGTCAGTGTGTTCTTTAAAAACTAAAGCCCGATCATTTTATCAAAGAAGGGGGGGGGGGGGGGAGATTGTAAAATCCAAAGAAACTTTTGAACTCTGCTTTAACTGAGACAAGCCCCCCCCCCCCTTTACCCCACTCAACATGTCTTTAGTTGTTGACAATCGTGAACTATATTTTTTTTTGTGGAAAAGTGTCTGTTAGTGTTACCAACACCGACTTGACAAAGGTGTCAGTCTTACATAACAAAGTACCCCCTATAATACAAAGGATTTCTGGGCGTAACATTGTAACGTCATTTCATGAAGGAGGCGGTCTAGCTTTTAATGAAGATCTGTAGATGAACAGAGAGCGTCATAATGTAATACATCATTTCTGGGCGAGCTCTGAAGTAGGTAGTAGTCTAATTAAAATGTCAGTTGCGTCATGTGATGTTGATCACGTGACGAAGCCTCGAAGGTAGCGCGTGAGTTCACTGACTCGGTACAAAACCTATTCCAGCGCCAGCTACCACGGGGGATGGATACAGTGAGCCCTGGCGATTGTATCTCCTAGGGTCGGGGCTGGTATGTTGTTTACTGCAGGCTCCACGGGCAGGTATGGGGCCACCATCGTCAGGTATGGAGCCTGATTCCTGGGATAAGTCACACATCCCCTGGGTGGTCCTGTCTGACACATCAGCCACTTGGTTGCCCAGTCAATCAGACACGGTGGTGAAACTGTTGCCATGGTTTAATTACATCATCTGGATCGTGGTGACTTTGTTACTCCTGGTGCGTGATTATGTGAGGTAATTTTACTGAAAGCAATTGTAAGGCGGCGCTAGCTCGGTATCTGTCGCAGGTAACCACATCATCCCGGCATCTGTCCCTCGACATCCACATTATCTCGACATACACATTATCTCGACATACACATTATCTCGACATACACATTATCTCGACATACACATCATCTCGACATGCAAATCATATAGACACTAACATCATATCGACATCCACAACACCTTATCATCCACATCAAAGCCTCGTTTGTAGGAAAAAAGTCACAAGGAAAAATACGCAGGAAAAAAAGTCACAGGAAAAAAAATCACAAATGTGTATTCGCATAGAGTTTGTTAATACTTTAGGTATTAAATATTCAGAAAGTGCAAATCAACTTACGATTAATTAAAAGTAATGGAATGTGTGTATGCAGTGGCGGATTAAGAAGGGTGCTGAAAGGGCTGCAGCCAGGGGCCCCCGACTTTTAGGGGCCCCCAAATTTACCGCCTAATTGCTGGTTTTCACTATAAAAACTAAAGTTTTAATGTGTGCATCACAAGCTTTAATTTTTTTTTCAAAATTTCTAACACTTGCATACACTTACGTATAAATACCACCAGTTATCACCTTCTACCCAGACATCTATAAAATAACCCTGCTGGTAGAGTATCTAACTTAGTATCAGTCTTTCCTTCTTCCTTCCTTTCGTCATCGCTATAGATTTTAAAACCATAAAAGTAAACTCTCCTCATGTGCTTTTTACTTGCATCGCAGTGACTTATTTTAATTAGCTGGATAGGATTTATTTAAATAACGACTACAATTTTTTTAGCGCAATTTCCATTCTGGAGAATTGCGTTTATTAACCCGTCATTTCTGGATGGATGAATGAATGAATGTATGAATGTGTGTCCGCAGCTTTAAGTCGTATCTCCTCCTCAACGAAGCAATATCGAGGACTAGTTCAAAAAGCATTTATGTTAAGCAAGTTACGAGGATGAACATAGGCCATAAAAATTCCGGGTTTCTTTCATGGATTTCCCGGAAAAGCCAAAAAAACTTTTAAAAAAGCAGTTTTTGGCCCATATCTCGGCAACCCGACCACTTAGCGACTTGAAACATGTACCAATCGATTCCTGCCATAATTTAGAACAATATTGCCGAAGAAAGTTTTCAAAAAATATCCTTTCATTCGGTCACAAAATTTTATTTGAATTAATTAAAATTTGGACCGAATTAGTAGCATTTTTATCCAACCACACCACACGCGTCATCACGTTCAATAGCTGCGCCATCACGTTCAATGGCTGCGTCATCACGTTCAGTAGCTAGGCGCGCAATGGTTT